GGAGAGGGAGAGGGAGAGGGAGGGTCTTTGTGGATTATGGATCGTGGGTTGTGGGTTGTAGTTTATAGATTGTGGATTGTGAGTTTGGAGAATGAGAGTGAGTACAAGAGAAGGGAGAACGAGATAGTGAAAGATATTTTGGGAGGTGTATGTGTAAGTATGTGTATGTATGTTACTCGAGTAGAGTGAAATGAAAAGTAATAGGAAATAGGGTTTGATTGTTAATTGTAGGTCATTGATCGTAGGAGGGGACTCATGGGAGGATGAAAAATGAAAGGTGTTAAAGTTAGAGAGGGATTGGGTATTTGTGAAGAAAGTAAGAGTATCGGTGTTAGTATTAGTATATTGTGATGAATACTGTAATTAATAGATAGATAGATTGTGTGTGTGTGTAGTATGTGTACGAGTAGTATGAAAACAACAAAGCTGTTGCTGAATTAATACTGGGTTTGGGTTTTATGAGGGTCTGTGTTTGTGAAGTTTTGGAGGGTGTTGAGGGAAGGGGAAAAGTCTCCATTCGTTTCTGGCGCTCGACGGCTTCTTTCTCGCGAGTTGCAGAATCCGGTGTTTTTAGGTAATTATCTGGGTTAACTCCCATTTCGAGACACAAAAGTCTTGTTGTCTCGGATAGTTTGTTAATGGTATCTGGGATCTCGATATTATTGATATCTAGTCCAGACCTTGCAAATTCGGGCAGGAGGCACTCGTGTTGTAATCGAAGGATCCGCATGTCCGCATCTGACGTGTCGCGCATGTCTCGATAGAGAATTCTGAAATTCATTATATGACCACTGACCAACATGACTATGATTATAAAACACAGGGAGAAATAATCGATTGAGCCTTGGTCCGGCTGAGCTTCACGTTGAATTTGAGCTGCTACGTCGACAAAGTTTTCGGGCCAAAATCCTTCGTTGCACAGGTGTTTGATTGTTTCGTACATATCGTTCTCGATATCTTGCACACTTGAGATATCAACAGCTCTATGCCACCTTTCGATCTCTGAAATATAGCTTCTTAATATGATTGAAAAGTAGTGCGCTTGAAAATACTGGCGAAACAATTTCAGTTGGAGACGGAATACGTCAGAGCTACCCGCTGCATTTAACAATTTAAAAGGAGGCTTGTCTTCCTTTCTGTCAATGTCTTGCATCTTGGATTTGAAATATCTGATGAGAGCTTCGCGGTCTGCAGGTGGATTCATGTTTCTAGTAAATAGTCAGTCAGTCCAAAGACGAGATATTGCATGGATAAGAACCTTACAAGACGGATTCCAAGAAATGTTGGGAATGTCTGTAATCGACTTGAGATATGCTACAAATGTGCGTGTGATAGACCGAGACGAGTGTTGGGCTGATACGAGAGAAGAAATGCTGTGTAGGGATCTTCACCAGGCAAAACGTAGTAAGCCTTGATGGGTTGTTGCCGACGTTGTTGCTGTTGTCGCTGTTGTGCTTTCTTGTATTGTTGTATTGATTTATTGATTTGCAGAGTGCTGTAGTTTACAGGAGAATGAAGAGAATTTAAACAGAAAGAAAAGGCGGCTTACACTAGCTTGTAGTATTCAAGTATGCTTTGAAGAGTCAATGAGTGTTGTGCGTCACAAATTATGAGTTATCGAGTTTTTTAATGGTGGTGATCAGTGTAGAAAACAAATCACCGATAGCTCAATGTATACGATTGGAAGGCTGCTCTGAAAATAATGAGATTATGATTCCGAGGCGCAATATCATGGCCTTATGGAGTCAAAATACCTTAGATGCTGAAGAAATTCATCATAAATTGTGGCAGAGACCAGAAAGAACTCAAGGCTATACTGATGTTATGACTGTCTTCAAAAAATCCGCAAAGAAATTCACAAGAATGACGCGGCGCCTCCAAATATATTACACTCTTTGGGATTCATTGGTAGTGGTAAGGAAGCAGACATTTTGGAAAAAGCTCAAAATCAAACATCACTCATAGATACTCCCACACTGAGGAATTGCATTGCCCGTCTACTTATCAGGACCTCATAAATTCCAATCACTGATTTATCATGTGAAATATGAGAGATACCCGCTAGGACGTAAATTGAGATTAGGAGATCTTCATGACTGTCGACCACTGAGGACTATGCACTTGAATGCCAATAATGTCAAATGTAGCCTTCAATCTTTGGCCAACTGTTTGAGGATCTAGGTATCAGATATCCAGGATGTTCAGGTGAATGCTGATCTGGGCCTTGAAAGATCCTGTAGTGACCATACACTTGTTGATACAGTGTTTTTCTGGTCACACAAGATCCAAGCATGATTGAACACGATGAGGATATTGATGAGGATGCTGACGAGGGCATTGATGAGAACGTTGATAGGATGTTGATCTAGTTGTGTTGTCAGCGTGAAGTAGGACGAATGTGTCATGTAGCTTTGGGATGAAATGATGCTGTACTCTGTGCAGTGTACGAGTATGTATATATGATTCTGTGGTAGTCTTCAGGTACAAATTAGTAAATGGAGTAATAAGTATATAAAATAACTACGTTGACCCTATCAATTACTACAGAGCGTTTAGTGCTACGGTGTGGCGCTTGCTTCTGCTTACTCACTCAGGAACCTTAGACCTTAGACCTTAGACCTTAGATCTTACGACATCCACTCCAACCAAGCTTTCCAATATCTTGATATCTCAATCATTCCTTTCAATATCAACATTGATATCAACATATTCATCCTCGCGCTGTGCGTCGAGTGATCCTTACCAACGCCAACTTGACCGACTAGCCTAATCTCCATAATCATGTCAGACAATGCGGGGTCTCCACTACAACAACGACCATCATCGAAGCATTCTCGACTTTCAGTCGATTCTAACCACTCTGGCGACTCACACGAATCATCGCCTTTGTTAGCGCACTCTGATGATACTCCTCGTTACGATGGCGAAGAGCCTGATGATGAAGATAATCGAATTGTCTCACCAGCCGCAGCTTCTCTACGTTCTATCCATGATCGAGACTCTGCCAAGTCTGCAAACGAAGGAGGATTGCGATGGCCAACAATTGTGGCTGTCGCCACTTTATTTTTGGTCGGGATCGCCATTCTGATATGTGCCTTCTTCGCACCTGCGATTGTTCAAGAATATGCCAAGGAAGCACTTGTTATTGAACCCACGAATTTGGCTATAGATAGCTTCACCGTTGACGGAGTGACAGCCCGAATACAGATGAACTTCAAGATGGATGCATCAAGGGTCAAGAACAATGCTGTTCGAAATATTGGAAGATTTGGTACATGGGTTGCGAAAGAAGTCGAAAGTGAGGCATCAAGCGTGGAGGTCTATCTTCCAGAATATGATAATCTCTTAATTGGAACCGCCGTTTTGCCCAAGGTGGTGGTCAATATTCGAAACGGTGTTATTACACCAATCGACTTCCTTACCGATCTCAAGCCAGGGAGTGTTGATGGGTTGAGACAGGTTGCCAATGACTGGTTAGAGGGTCGTTTGGGACAGTTGCGTGTGTTGGGCAAGGCCGATGTTACATTGAAATCAGGATTACTTCCACTTGGATCTCAAAGTATATCAGAGGCTATGGTTTTCGAAGGTCAATCTCTCTATCGTTCCTTTGCGTCGCTGTATTTCGGAGAGAAGAGCATGGGATGAAGAGAATTGGTAGCTGAATTTTGGAGAATACACACATGATCTATAGTTTGATAGGTGTATGCAGACTTTTGGCCGCGAGCGCAGTCACCACTTCCTCGATTCCTCTAAGCGTAAATTTGTTACATCGAAACGAGTTGCTAACCCTATCCCACCAATAGGAAACGATATCCCAGCCATCCCCAAATATAATATAACCCGTCTCAACTTCAAGGAAGTCCCTCTCTCTACGGATGGCCGCCGTGGAATGGCTGCCGAAGTTTCACTATCTTTGGTAAATGGTTATCCAATAAGGCTAAGCATTCCTCCGCTGGGCTTCGACATCCTCGTTTCGAATTGCGCAGCCAACGAACCATATATTCATCTTGCTGATGCCGCTACTGGTAACATCATGATTGAACCATATTCTGATGTCTCACTCGATGTGGCAGGTATTATACGGGATTTGCCTAAAAGTCTTTTGCAAACTTGCCCTAACTCACACTCATCGCCTTTGGACTCGCTTCTCAGTGATTACATTCATGGTAACAATACTACTATTTTTGTACGAGGTTCAAACGTGCCATCCCCAACGACTCCTGATTGGATAACTCAGATTATATCAAGTGTCACCGTACCAGTACCTTTCCCTGGCCACACATTTGATCAACTAATCAAAAACTTTTCTCTCACGAATACAGATTTCGCCTTACCTGGACCGTTTGCAGAGCCTGGAACACCCGAGTCAAACCCAAGAATCTCTGGTGATATAATGGTTTTGGCAGCTTTGCCCAAGGAAATGAATTTCAGCCTCGAAGTTTCCAAAGTCCGTGCAACTGCCGATGTGTTCTATAAAGGAGATAAGCTAGGTGTGCTTAACTTACGAAAATGGCAAGCAGCTCGTTCGATACGAGTAAATGATGGAGGCGATGCTTCCCTAAAGATTGAATCGCATATAAAAAATGCACCTCTGGAAATTACAGACGAGGACGTCTTTAGCGATCTTGTGGCTGATTATTATCTTGGAGGCAAGGCTATCAGTCTCAAGATCGAGGCTTTGGTTGAAGTTGAGGTATCTACTGTGCTAGGTGATTTCATTATTAAGGATTTACCTGCGGAAGGAGTTGTTCCTTTGAAGCGTTAGAAGCCTATTCATTTCAGCGCGACTGCACTGAGCTGACGGGATTTGCAGCGATCTCTACGGGCGGTGATTTCCACCAACTCAACCTCAAGGTTGGCGACTTAAAAGTAATCAACACAGGCCCGACATCGATCAACCTCCAAGCGAATATCAACTTCACTAATCCAACTGAATACACGGCTCAGATTCCTTACATCAATATCCATATTTTGAATAACGGCTCTGTTATCGGTGCCGCCACGGTGCGCGATATGCAAGTCTCTCAAGGCAATAACACGAATATTATCGTGGAAGCTACCTGGGATCCTGTGAACTTCGGTGGTGAAAAGGGACATGAGATTGGTCGGGAATTGATTTCGCAATACGTTTCCGGTTTCAATACGACTCTTACTTTGGAAACTCACGAAGGATCTTTCCCATGCCAGCCTAAACTCGGAAAGGCACTAAGCAAATTCTCAGTCACGATGCCTACACCTCGATTATCGACGCCTGGGACTGACAAGGATAAAGGTTCTGATGATGCAAAGCCACATTTCATTGACGACGCAACTTTTCATCTCTTCTCATCGACGGCACAGTTTACCTTACTTTCACCTCTACAATATAGCACAGTCTATATTGAGTCTATTGATGCTCAAGCAATTTACAACCATACCGAACCAGTTGGCAGAATTGTTTATGACTATCCTTTCGCAGTACCCCCTGGGGCAAGCGAATCGCCTAGATTGCCTGTTGATTGGTCACTTGATTCAGTCGGGTATGACGCAGTCGAGAGAGCATTAGGTGGCACTTTGAAACTCGATGCGAAAGGCACTATTGGTCTTCGCCTGGGTCAATGGACGGAATCTATCCGTTATTTTGGCTCAGGAATTGGTGCCCATATTAGACTTTGAGGACCGAGATGCCCAAAATTGTATTAAAGCATAGACTGGGGAATGCATCAGGGACTACGGTTATTAGGCGTGTTTTGGTTTGGCGTTTGGAAATATCATGGGTTTTGATATTATTTTGATGTACAAATGATACATAGAATTGCAGCATAGATAATTCTCATTCTTCATTATTTTAGATGATTTGTGACGCCAACTCCATATCCATTAACCACGCATTATCATATCTATCCAGGGGGTAGAGTGCTTGCATCAACGATTTCCTCCGCGTCCTTTACTAAATTATCCTGTTCGTTGGGACCGTACAGTGGAGATCTAGGAAGAGCCATAAGACCTGTTCGTGCAGACTCGAGGATTCCGAATGGTGCGATTAGCTTCATGAATGAATCGATTCTGGTTGGCTTGGCGGAGCTATATGTGACGATTTATTAGTATATTTCCGCAAGTCAACGAACGGGTGAAGAACTTACACTTCAACAATACAGTTGTGTGTGCTGATATCTAAGACCTTGCCTCCAAATTGATGTGTGAGATATGTAATCGACTTCAAATGCTCATGTTTATGTCTCAAAGCTTGACTCTGGGCCAATTTAGTAGGATGGAAATCATCACTATCCTTTAATTCTGCCAATCGCTTTGTAGCCCAGTCATCTTGTCCCTCCAAAGCTTCAGGATCACTGGCAGTAATTTCTCTGTGATGCGCCAACAATTCCTCAAAGTATTCTGGACCGAGAAGATTGATTTTCGCAAGGAGTAATTCTCGTTGTACGAGGGGTGAAGTAGTATAATCTAGCACAGCCCAGACTGGGACCAAATCTTCCAATTGACGACGAGCTTGCTCAACAACGCCGTCTTGACCGGACAGAACGATTGTCATGCGCGACAAATCTTCAACCTCGGTCGAGCAAACGACTAAAGAATCAATGTTGAAGCCACGAGCTGCGAGAATACCGGAGACGCGGGAGAGAACACCAGGTTCGTTTTGTACGAGACAATTAAGGACATGTCGTTTTGGGGGGGTGGCAGATGGAGCGGGGGTTTCGTAGAGAATGTTGGAGACGGCTGCTTGGGCAGACCAGGCTGGAGGCGCATCGGATGTAGGAAGGGGTGAAATGCGACGGTGAAGCGCCTTGTATTCTAGAGCTGAAGTAGAAGAGGATTGATATCTTTGAACTTGTCGAGGGACGATGGAGGTGCTGCGTTTAGGAATAGCTGCCCTCACTCCAGAGAGTGAGAGAATTGCTTTGCGTGAAGACATATTGTATACTGGTAATATCAATCTACCCAATGCCTCTCAACAATTTGATAATGCTGTTTTTCTTGTTTGACTCAGAATGAGTGACAGTCTAGGTTCAAGCACCGATACCGCACAAAAGATTGAATTTGAGTCTATGCAGCAGCGATAAGTGCCGATCTTTTAATAAACTGACCCCAGATAATTTCAGAATTTAGCGTTCGTTTGTAGTCACTCAAAGCTGTGAACAACACAAAAACTTTAAGTCTCACAGGTAAACTCGAACTACCTACTTGTATCGATAAATTGTATTTATCGACCTTTACAATTCGAGGGTCATTATCAAACCTCTTATCATCTCGCCCGATATTTATTCAAAAATTAAGCAGCACTAATTGCCAATATGGATGATACTGAGCGTCGCACAGCAAAGCGTTCGCGCTTCGATCAAAAGGAGCCTGAGCCGAAGAGGACCTCTAGATTCGATAGACGTTCGCGTTCACCACCTGCACGAAAGGCAGAGTCAAGACGAAGCAGGTCTCCTCTTGGACGACGACCTTCTCGTAGCCCGGCTCCGGAGTCCACAAAGAAAGGAGCTGCAGATCCAGCTGCTGCCGCAGGTATTCACATTTCTTGAAACCACCTTCAGATATATCCAATACTAATTACGTGTTCTACAGCTGCCGCTGCTGCAAAAATCAACGCACAAATTCAAGCTAAGAAAGGTATTCAACATGCCGTCGAGGTGCCACCTATTGGCGCAGGCGAAAGCCCCGTGGGAAAGTCGGCATCTCCAGGAGCCGGAGCAGGTAATAGCGCAAGCAATATCAATGGTGAGATGTACATCGCGGATGGCGACTATATCAAAGACATTGAAGTCAACGATTTGCGAAACCGATACACACTGACTAAAGGTTCTACTCAAAAGACGGTAAATACTCCTTGTGTTAAATCCCACTGATACATCAGGCTTCGTTCATAGGTCTAGCCATGAATCGTCTCTCTATATTCTCTCCTCCCCCTTTCAAAGTAATATCATTCTCGTGTGTGGGGACTTTCAAGCTTACCCGAAGTGCGAATAGCATCATACACATATACCCTTTTGGCATCTGCTGACCTCCGCTGCGTGACATCTAGATTAAGGAAGAAACCGGCGCTGGTACGCTACAACTCACTATTTGTTATAGAGATTCTAATATTGACTTTTAAAGATGTCACCACGCGTGGAAATTATTACCCTGATAAGAGCATGGCTACGGCTGCTGTGAGTCGATCCCTCAACTTCGATGTTTGAGAAACCGAGCTGATAAATATATATAGAATCCCCCACTTTATCTCCACGTTACGAGTCAAACGAAGCGAGGCCTCGAGCAGGCGGTCCAAAAAATCGAAGAACTAATGAAGCAGGAACTTCCCAACCTAGTTGACGAACGTCGATTCCGTAGACGTGAGCCTGAACAAGTTGAGAGAGATGAATTTGGAAGAGTGGGTTTTGTTCTCAGTCGAAGTGAACTCAGTTACTGACAAGATTAACAGCGCAAATGGCCTGAAGAGAAGATTGCCATTGACTTTGAACCTATTCAGGGCTTTAACCTTCGTGCTCAAGTTGTTGGCCATGGCGGAGCTTACGTCAAGCATATTCAACAGGAAACTAGATGTCGTGTGCAAATCAAAGGACGTGGCTCTGGTTTCATGGAACATGGTACCGGCCAAGAAAGTGATGAGGACATGTATCTTCACGTTGCGTAAGTTTGGAGTTTGGTATTGTCCAGATCCCTCATTAATGATTTTCTAGTGGCCCAGATCCAAACGAGGTACAAAAAGCCAAAGAGCTCTGTGAGGATCTTCTCAAGAACGTCCGAGAGCAATACGAAGAGTTCAAGGCTCGTCCACCTCAACAACGTGGTTTCGGTGGCCAAAGCACCGGTTATTCAGGAGAGCGAGGCTACGGCGATCGCGCCCCAGACAGATCTAACTCGTATGGCGGATACAATAACAATAACAATAACTATAACAAGTCACCAGCTCCTAACACTCCTAATGTGGACAGTCCCTCAACTCCTACAGACTATACCTCTCAACAGTCTCAATACTACGCCACAGGTGCTGATCCGTATGCTGCTTATGGTGGGTACGAGGCATATGCTCAATATTATCAACAGTATATGGCAGCCATGGCCCAATATCAACAACAACAAGAAGGTGCTCCTGGCTCAGGTCCACCTGCGCCTCCACCTGCAGGCGGTTCTGTATGTATAACTCACTTTATATCTTCCTAACCCAGTCCCTTCTAGAAGCTAGTCTAGGTTTGAAAGACTGCCCTAATATCGAACGAAAAGGTGCAGTCGAATTACAATTTGAGAGAAACTAACCTTGGATTTCTAGGCTCCTCCACCGTCATCAGGGGGAAACGGCTATAGCGCCGTTCCACCTCCACCTGGAATGTGAATCTTGTTTTCTTCATTTTCGTCCTTGTGGTATTTGTAATCCAACTAGATCTCTGGCGCCGAAAAGTATGGATAATTTTCTCTTGTGCTTAGGTACTTGGGGTAATTTGGTTGCATTTTCAATCACATAGGGAACATTTTGCATCAAAATGGGAAATGGATAGTCAGTTAATCAATCAACTCAATTACACTTAGTAACTCGTTCTCATCCCCCACTTCCTTCAGTGCCTCTGCCTCAGTGTCAATATCTTCAAATGTCAACCGTGATCCATATGAGATACATAATTCCTCTCCTTCTTTGATATCCCTTATTGCAGTGTAGGTCATGAGGAGATGTTCGATATCTCTTTCCCATCCAACATTTGGGTATAAAGTTGAATGATTGAAGATGCTACCTAGTCCGAGAACAATAGCTTGGGTCGTCGTCGGTGTCGGTGGTTTCGCAATTCCATTTATGTTTTCCTTGGGGGGTACATAAGGCCAATTACTAACCCCTCCTCCATCAGCAAAACCTGTTCATTCACATATCAAAAGGATTACAGAGGGAAAGAAAACTCACTATGTATAATGGTATAATTGAGTCTTCCGGACGTGATTTTCATTCTCGCTAGGTTCTAAAACTAACGCAGGACATACTTCGAGTATGGTACGCGCGGCTATGTCGCGGGAGGCAAATACTCCTCGGCCTGTTGGAGATGGGAGAGGGGATGGTTAGTGAGGGAGGTGTAAGCGGGGTTTGAGCTGTGAAGTTAAGTTCGAGGGAGGTGGGAGGTGGGAGGTAGGAGGTAGGAGGTAGAAGGTAGGATATATGGGTATAGGAATGGGTATGGAGACTGCACCTTTAGGTGTGTGGAGGATTAGTGTTAATCCGCTAGAGCGCGTTAGAGGGATTCCTGGAACAGTTTCTTGGGGGGTCTTCTTGGGCGGAGAAGGAGAAAGAGGGGAGCCGGCGTCGCCCATTTTGAGGTGGGAGCTGGAGGATTGGGAGTTGGAAAGAGAGTAAAGAGAGTTGGGGGCTTGGAAGGTGGAAGAAGAGTTTGGGGGTATAAATTGAGTATTGAATTGCTGTGATTTGAAGTGAGGTGACTTGTATTTTATCACTTTTATTTGAAAGAAAGTGTGGTATGACGAGTGTTGTTGAAATACCCATGGGGCGCGAGATAAGGAAAGTAGGTGCTAGCGATAAGAGAGCGGTGGGAGTGGCAGAAATTAATGGATCGTCTGTTTTGTTGTTCGGACATCCTGATTCTAGACCTTGAGCTTCGAAACTTTTGAAGATTGAGAACTGCAATTTATTGAGATACAACACTATACCACGCGACAAGAATTCGAGACGGAGATAATTGATTCTAAGTTGATTTTGGTTTGGTTTAAGAGATATATGGGATAGAGAAATCGGAGAAACACAAAGCAAGGATGTCGCATCAATCATTGGATGGAGCGAAGGAACCACATTCTGTTAGTTTGAAGGTTTTGAGGTATGTTGTGTTTGACCTCTATCTGTATACTTCTTATAATTGGATGAGAGAGTAATATCAAATAACTAACCTCATCACAGACTTTCTCGTCCATCCCTCTCCATTCAACACCCGCTTCCCACACCATCTCTGCCAAACCTCCCTCTTCCGGCCCCGTCCGCCTCCCTTTCATTTCCTTCTCACGCCCCTTCAAACTTTATTCTCTCGCCTCTCCTCACGCTTCCTCCAGCTTTTGGATCAACATATGTAGGAGAGATATTCAGTTGCACTCTGTGCGCTAATAATGAACTTCCTCCTCTTTCCCAGCCCGGCCAAACCTATACCTCTCCGGATCTTGCGACATCGCCGAATACCGCGAAAATAATATCAAATATAACTCTCAGCGCCGAAATGAAGATTCCATCCAAACCAACCCCTGTTTCGCTTCCTCTTTCTGGCCCTCCCCCTACAACCTCAACCTCCACCTTAGAAAAGGATACTCCAGACGAACAAACTACCTCTCAGACCTCCCTCCAGAAAGTCCTTCATTTCGACCTCAAAGAAGAAGGTTCTCACGTTCTGGCTGTCACAGTAACCTACGCTGAATCATCTCCTTCCTCCCCCCTTCGCACCCGTACATTCCGCAAACTATACCAATTCGTCTCTAAAGGTTGTCTTGTCGTCCGTACCAAAACCGGTTCCTTACCCTCCCTAAAACCGACTCCTTCAAATCTCTCCTCAACCTCTACTCCCTCAACCTCCCCTTCCAGAGAAATAAAAAGAAAAGGAAGATATGCATTAGAAGCCCAATTAGAAAATGCCACAGAAGATAACCCCATCACATTAACATTAGTCCATCTCACAACTACCAAAGGATTCAAAGCCACAAGTCTAAATTGGGAAATTGTTGTTTCTGATTCGGAGGAGAAAGAGGGAGGAGGGAAGACGGAATTGGAGAGGCCCGTATTAGCACCGGGGGATATTCGACAAGTTTGCTTTTTGGTGGAGGAAAAGGATCCAGAGGAAAATGATGATATTGAGAAGGGGGAACAAGAAGGAGAGATTAGTGGGAAGGGGGATATGGAAATAGAGAGAGAGGAGGTTGTAGATGGAAGGTTAATGTTCGGCGTGCTATGTGTAGGATGGAGAGGAGCAATGGGCAACAACGGATTTTTAAGTACAGGAAACTTGGGTATCAGAGTTTGATGTGTATTGATGAGCGGGGAGTGATTGGGTTGGGGAAGAGAAGAGAGGATTGGTATAGTACTATAATATAATTGGTATCTAAGGCCGAAAGTTATACCTGAGAGTGAGTGAAGCAGAAATGGAAGGAGGGTCAGGTTGCACATTGATATTGATATTGATTTCGATTTAAAAGGGAGATAATGTTAGATTTGAAAAAAAGAGTATTAGATGTTCAGTTCCGGCAAGTTTTCCTAAGCGAGCGAGGGGTTGAAAAAATAGGAGGTTTCGCTTTGTATGCAAATATTGAGCGATTCCTCTTTCTTGATTTCTTGGAATTAAACTTTGATAATTTGTGATGAGTGAATTGATTGATTGATTGATTGATTGATTGATTGATTGATTGATTGGTTGATTGCTCGAGTAGTTAGATGTAATGTTTGTATATTTCTTGTGTTAGTAGTTAGATAATCTGAATCTAGATGTAAACCTTTTTTATCTAATAGATTTATTTAGAGATAGATGTAAACACATATCGCATTTCAAAACATAATATAAGAAGTTAATTAGTATATATGATTCTACGATTCTATATATATAATAAAATATTGGTCATCTACAAGTAGAAGATTTCTCTTGATTTTGTTAAGATGAGTAGTTAGAAGTTGGAAGTTTGCTGATATCATTAGCATGAGGGCCCGGGGGAGAAACGGAGGAGGGTGCGGGAATGAAGTATTGGGGATTGTGGGAGGTGGGAAATGAGAAATGGGAAATGGGAAGAGATTTTTTTTTGGTTGTTTTCTCATGGACGTGATCTGCGTTTCGTGTTATGTAAATGTAGATATAGATATAGATATACTCGAGTATATATAGAGATATTGCAGAGAACCCAATAGTCCAGACTACAATCTAACAATAAAATATACTTAATTTTTGAATACATCTCAAATATTGAAATTATTTAAAATAAAACATGATTCAATTACTTTCAGTGATTAAAAATATTTCGAACATTGGAATTTCTTTAATTAGACTATCGTCCAGACTATTGGATACCCTGGGTATCTGGAACAAGAAGATAGATGATTAGAGAAACGAAACGAGACCAAAACCCTAACATCCAATCTCTGCAAGCACCAGGAATATAGTTAGTTAGTCTTCCTCTTCAAACGTAGATCCATACGGAATACAAGCCACAAACCAAGCCAGTGCTACTGTAATCGAATCCCAACACCCTTCCCCAAAATGCACTACTATTATCATATGCTGTCCCCTAAGCCTATTTCCGAAACCTATAATGTCATCTCCGCTCTTGAGTTCTTACTTACCTATGCATTAGTTGCTATGCGATGCTAGCACAATTGATGTTGCGCGTGTGGTGGATCCGAATGAAGCTGGTTTTGCGGATGTGTTGGATGAGTAAATTAGAGGGAATTTGGGGCTGTGAGGGTTGTTTTTGAGAGGGAAATAATCGGTGGAGAAGGAAGGGGGAGACTAGGTTGCTGAGGGAGCTGGGGAGAGGAGGAACAAGGAGTTGGGAATTTGATTGTGAGTTCGCTTATTGGTTTGGGAGGGATAATTAGGAGAAATGTGTTAAGACAATTGGTGAGATTTCTGAGGAGGTTTTGAGGTGGGAGAGAGTTCACTGTGTGGTTTAAGTAGGTTTGGGTTTTGGGATGAGGATGATAAGAATTTGTATGTTAGAGTGGGAAACACCATCTTTAAGCATGATTTTGCGAGAGGAACAAATTCCTGTTTTGATATCCCTAGCTTTTGATGTTTTAATAGATGAAAATATATATTCTATACTACAAGTCTATACCGGCATGTCTCCAGCTGAGATATATATAGCTGCCACCCATCTATCCAAATAATTGTATCAGATAGTACTACCTTTCAAAAAACCTGATCTCATATACTGAACCGGCCACTTGACATCCACTCCTAATCTATACGCCACTCTAAAAACCCACTCCGGTTCCCTCATAAATTGTCTTGCAACTAAAACAAAATCTGCCTTAGCTATTTTCCCCTGTTCATCCTTAACATCCACCGTCTCCCCTGCATTCGAATATGTTGTCGATTTATCCTCCACGTGCGATTTTGCCGCCTCCGCTTCTGTAATCATACCCACACATCCGATCTTCAGACCTTTGATCCCATCTTTATGCAACGCGGCGCGGATTTCGCCTGCGATACTTACTTGATAATCAGTGTGCATGCCGATCTTCTGGGTGGGAGAATTGCCTGCTGAACTGACGTCGAGGAGATCGACTCCGAGTCCTGGAAGCAGCTTGGCTAATCTGATGGTATCAGGTACATCCCAACTCTCTACATCATCTATCCATTCCGTAGCACTGATTCTAAGCAATAGAGGCATTCCCTCTGGAATAACTTCTCTTACTGCCTTGATCGTCTCAATCATCATCCTAGTCCTGTTTTCCCAACTTCCTCCATATCGATCCGTTCTCTTGTTCGTAATCGGACTCAATGATGAATGTAATAGATATCCATGAGCACCATGAATCTCAATAACATCAATACCCGCCTCCACAGCTCTTTTTGCAGAGTCTCGAAATCCATCAATAGCATCCTGAATCTCCTCAATCGTCATCTCACTAGGTTCCGCATAGCCCTCTCCCCACTTCAAAGCACTCATCCCCTTAACTCCTTTCGGCCACCCGCCATCACTTTCCTCCGCCACCGCACTTCCGCCCCTAGGTGCCATCCATCGGGGCAACGTACTAGCCTTCCGTCCCGCATGCGCCAACTGAATCCCAATTTTCTGTCCCTGCCCATGCGCGAAATCCGCCACTCGTTTAAAGCGCGCGATTTGTGAATCTTTCCATAATCCAGCATCTCCAGGGGAGATACGTCCTTCGGGTCGCACGGCTGTCGCTTCAATAATGGTGAGGGATGCTCCGCGATAGGCAAATGCACCGAGGTGTACAAGGTGGAAATCGCTGAGGTGTCCGTCGTTGGCACTGTACATGCACATGGGGGCGACCCATATTCTGTTTTGAAACGTGATGTCGCGGATTGTGAGTGGAGAGAATAAAGTGGGCGGAGATGGAGATAGGGCGGTTCCCGCTGGAGGGACTTGGGCGGGGGTTTTGTATGGAGGCATTTTTGATGTGGGAGTGGATTGGGTGGGATTGGGTTGGATGGGAGGGGATATACGGAGTCAGGAACTGAGAGGACTAAGATGGAAAGTATAGTTGAGGGAGTTCTGGAGTTTTTATATTTGGGTATAAACTATTATTCCCGGGATCAGGAGAAGTTGTATTTGTAATCGTTTGGTGGGGCCACCGTTGGACGAATGTAGAAGGTAGATCTATCAACAACCATTGGATAGCATATATGCCGAGGTAAACCGTCCGGGTATCTGCTTCCGATCATATCGTTTTCTTTACATTACCGTTGGTATTCGCCATCAACGTCTTTTCTATCTTCTTCAACGCCGAGAATGCCCTTCCTGTTACCTTAACACTGTTGTATAAAAGTACTACATATCGCAGATTAGCAATTAGCCCTTCAGCTTGTCCTTCTCTCTACTCTTAACAACTTACTACAAGGAATCACAATCCAAAACGAATTCATAAGAACAAAATACCCCCAAAAGATTTCTTTCTCCGGTCTTGAATACTCTAACCCCAATATATAAAAATCAAACAAGCTCGTCGCATAATACAACACATCTCCATATAGTTGACCTAACGAAACGATTGTCTGTAATGGATACCGCAAAGAATGATTTGTTGTGATCATAGCTGCCAAAATAAAAGATAACGGTCCCCAACAAATAGCTGTAATAGATTCCATACAGAGGACAAAAGCATCTTGTGTCTGATACCGCGAATCCGAGAGCGAATATTCTTTCCACAGTTGTCCGAACAGATCTTGCATGCCGGGCATGCGTCGGAAATTATAGGCAAAGTATCCTTCGAAGAAAAGATGGATGCAACCGCCTAGGAAATCGCATTAGCTAGGTATCTATAGATGACGGGTTTGGGGGGGGGGGAGATATACATAGAACAAACCAGAGAACAGTCCATAAATCCGCAGCAGATATCTGCGATCTAACTCTCATCACCATCAGATAGGTAATTGAGAAAATAAAAACGCATATTGTAGCAAATATTGAGACCAATGTTATGGTATCCCATTGATTGGCCAAATATTGAGGTATTTCTAGGTGTAATGGATAGTATGGGTGAAGAGGTATATCGGTCACATCAGAAGCCATGACGAGGACACGCTGCGAAGGTGAATTGACTTGTTATGGTTTTTATAGTGTTGGAGTTGACAACAGAAATTCGAGCGGCATACGTACGGACGCGACGCGAATACTCTTTGATTGGATAATAGGGCGTGTCATATTTCATACCGGAAATTCATTTCACTCTGGTACCTGATCAGGATAAGCGATTTTCCATACTGGAGAAAGCCAATCTTATTGAATTGATTTCATTAAATCCTGAATGAATACAATACAATACTGGTTATTTGTCTAAGCTGGAGTCAAAAGCAATATCTTTTAGCTAGAAAATTTGCTTATAGATTCTCAATCAGAATCCATAACGTCTTCTTTGACTGTTTCACCTCCTTACTCTCCTTTCCATCTTTATTTTTGCGATCCCTCTTACTTCCACTTCCTTCATCACTCCCTACTTCCCTCGATTTATGCTCCAGTTTCCCCTTTTCCTTCTCTAGTTTCTTCATATCCCTCTCCAATTTCCGCTCTGTCTTTTGCACTCTCTTGTTACTCTCTCTTATCTTCAGGGCTTCCATCTCTCTTTGCATTTCTTCAACTTCGAAATTTAACTTCCTCATTTCTTTCTCCTCCTTTTCCGCTTTTCTCTGCGTCTTACTTTCACGCTTATCGTTGTTATTTTTTTCATCCGACTTGTTCATTTTCTCGAGTTGTTTCACCCGCTCCTTCCGAGCTTTTTCGTCGTTTTTAACTATCTGCTTCTTCACCTGCGTGGCACTCATCTTCGCCAACGTCGTCGTCTGTGGTGCCGGAGGAGGAACTTCAAACGTCGTTTCCATAACATACGGTCTAATTCCCTCCATTCGTCGTTCTAAAACAGTAGCACCCATATTCCCATCCGTAACAGGAGCCAAGACCGATGTATTTACAGGCAGCCCCAATACAGCAGCCATAGCTTCCATGCTAGTGATAGAAGCTTTCAGTCCTCGAGGAGCAAAGAATCTCGCATTCACATGCTGCATATAAGTATCAGTTCGACTCTTGCTCACAACAACGGTACCGAGCTTGGCAATGACTTGCACCCCCGTACCGGCGAGCTGGGCCCAGTGATGAGGTACCATGCCTAGGGCGCCACCGACAAGATCGACGATTTGTAGAGGTGGATTGGCGGTAGCGACAACGTTTAGGTTGTCGATAAATTCTACGAAATCCCACGCGTTGATGTTGTGGTAGGAGAGTGCGGGAGCATATACTCGAGCAAATGGTTGTCCAAGGCCAGCTACTGTTTGTGGTACTGCAATGGGTCGAGGAAGTTGGGGAGAAGTGTAGTTGGGTGGGGGAACATGATGGGTAAATTCTAGCGCTTGCGAAAGAATGTCATTGTCGGTGGGAGGGGTGTCGAAGAAGGGATCTTGGTGCTGGTATTGAGTACTCTGAATATTGTTCTCGTACAGCATTTTTTCCGGGCAATGAGCCATTGTGTGAAGGTGTGGATATAGATTTATCTTCGTATAGATAGCTTTAAATTAAAATCGATAGAATAGTACATAAATGGGTAATAAGTTGCTTGTACAATTCCCTGCTGAAAGGGGAAGAAGTACCATAATATAAATATCTCACATTAGCGCAGCATGAATCATTATCAAAAGCCCTCGAGATCTCCTCGCCGGATAGGATCCATGCATTTGTAATTGACATCATATCTGATAAATGAGGTAGAATCAATATCGATTCGGTGATCCAACAGAAGAATCCGCGTTGGGTGAACAGATTGCAGTCTCAGCCCTGCCACTACGCAACGCTAACCTAACATGGTTATGCGGTGGCTGTCAGGTTTGTCGATCCAAAACCTAAATTGGATCGCGAATTTCTAACGTATACTCTGTACATACTACCATACTACACGTGGATTGAAGATTAACAGTTACAATAACATTCTATGAATTGATGGTCTTTTCTCGAGCGTAGCGAGCATTAGGGGTTAGGGATTTCGGGGTATGCCCCACAATCCTACCTAACGATCAATTAAAGATCTAATACAGTTTATTTATTCATCTACATACCAGCCGATTCCTAACACTTATTGTGACGTTATAATCTTACAGAATGACTCAACTATCACTGTAGTTGCGGATTATTGACGACCTAATAAGCCAGCAGAGATAAAAATCAATTAGATTAGCGTTAAATCTACGAACCAGCACAAAAGCTCGCTTGCCGCAATTAAGGGGATGCACATATACTCAGTGTACTGAACACAGTATGCTTAATAAACAACAAGTTCTGCTACAGATTATATAGTAATTAGGTCCCTAAGCGTCGATATACTATACGAATAGAGTACTCGACGGAGACGTTCATTTTAGTATAAAAGAATATTACAATATACACACTTGATCAATTTATTATTCTGAAACTAAAAATTAGTTTTATTATGATGGCTATTTGCCCTTACAATCTTATAGAACGAAAATTATATTCCGGAATTCGAACAAACGCCATTGGACTATTAATTCAATAGAAAATACTCCCTATCTCTCCTAGCATCTCCGCATTCCAAGCTAGTTCCCATCTAGACACTGTAGTATTGAGTACCCCCTCCGTATCTCAAATCGAAGAAAACAACCAACCTCATCAACACCTCACTCACCGTCACCCACCAAATAACAAAATCAAAACACGAAAAGTGCAAAAAGAAACATACAACAGTGGGGATTCGCTGGTGGTCACCCACCCAACTACTAATCCACCGATCTGAAGCTTGTGTATGGCAGAGCGGACGGGATGCCCAATTCTCTTCAGTCTGTGGTCGTATGTGGAAGTTTGTGTTTTACGCTCGATTATATAGGGATTGAACAGGGGAGGGGAGGGGCGGAATCTTCAGAATACCAAGAGAAGCGAGGATATGATGGGGGCGAGGGAAATGGGAAGGAAGAGGAAGATAACATAACATGCATAAATAATCTCATCTCCTCTCTTAAATGTTTATCAGTAAATCCCGTCGTATCACTTTCATTTGCGTCCAAAAAAACCCGCCATAGATCCATTTCCTCGTTTCCTTCCTCCCCTTTCCCTTTCCCTTCCTCTCTCCTCCTGCGTCAGAGTATACAAAGGACTTTTCCTGAAATCATCCTTGACTAAAACTTTCTGAATGGCTGATTTGGACGAGACCATTATTTCGTTTGGACCTATGTACTCCAAACAAATAAATAAAGTGTTTTAGATGATTAAAGGGTGGAGGGGGCATACCAATCCTCACCACATCACCGTATTTCTCAAATAGTCCAGGAGCGATATTCATAGTTTTCTCCCGTAAGGTATGGTATAACCATATACTTCGACATAGTTTGAGACTTAGCGGACCAGGAACTTTGGAGAGTGGTGCGAAGAATGCGGTGTAGAGCGAGAAACAAATTATTCGAAGTATTTCGAGAGCAAGGAGAGAAGAAGGGTTGTGTAGGACATTGAGAGATTAGTTGATTAGTTCACAAAAAGTTTGATGAATGAATATATTGCGAAACAAAGGTGCAAGGGCTAAGATTTAGATATTCAGAAATGAAGCTTCACGTCGAGTGCGAATTTTTTGAAAACAGAAAAGAATATAAAAACCTCAGGAGTGTTTGCTGTAGAAAATCAGCTCTATTAGTACTGTTGGTATACGAAATACTACACAGAAAATGAACAGGCAGCACATTGCAACATCAGGATTCAATCTCGCGCATAAATCAAAGCCGAATCTCTAATTGTTGTATTGCAGTCTAGACTATTGAACACCTTGTATATTCCTGCCGAAGCAATACCTGACCATAACAAGGTCTAACGACGCAAAATTGTCTAATTTTATTTTGTGGTTTGATCAGAACAGTATTGTACAGAGTATGATTTCAAGATGTTCAAGTTCGCGCGAGAGCCAAAAGTGGGTGCTGAGGATTCTACTCAAGCGCAAATATCCAAACATATAGGCTACCTACACTTGGAAAGTACAAGAAAACAACTGCTAAGCGCCAATCAAGATATATAGAAAAAGAGGGTAGTCGCGGGGATGCTAACGATCAACCATCATCCCAACTCTGGGAGATCAATTTGCGAATCTATCTTGAGAAAAAAAAGCACAAAGCTTGAGCAAGCAACACTATAAGTTTCAGAAATATTGTGGTTTTATAATTAACTAAATCCCTCCAACCAAGTTGGCAAATTGATATACAACAATCAGCAAAAGAGGTACGTAGACGTAGACGTAGACGTGAGCGCCCATAATAAGTAAGTTATATTTTCCTCCCCAACATATCCTTGTTTGAAAACGCCGAAACTCTTGTATATATACAAACACATAACTGGCTCGCTAGAAAAAAGTGACGGAAACGCTGCGCTGAAAGCAAGCAAAGAAAAATGTCGCTATGACGAATAATATGTCTCGTGTATCGGGGTTATCTTTTTCGAGGTCATTCTTCCTAGGGTCGAATATCTTGGTGTGGGAGAGGCAGAAAGTATGGTACTTTCGCCGTCTAATTCCGTTGGCACTGGTGAAAATTGATTTTGTTGTGAGTATGGTGATGTTGGACTGGAATAATTCTCAGAAGGCGAAGTTGGGTGGTGCCAGTTAATCGTATATGGAGGAACACCCTGTTTTGAACTATGTATGTTACCATCGGCATTGACAGTTGTATAATCTCCCAAACTCGAATTGTGACCAGATAACTCGACTGCGTCAGGTGCATGGGACAGGACTTGGTATGTTGATGTGCTTCTTTGCTGAGCAATATGAGGATTTTTAGGATCGTAACTGCGATCCGGTCGTTGTGGGAACATCTTGGATGCATTACCGCCACCATACACAGGTGGAACTGGTGCCGAGACTTCAGGCACGTAAGCCCGGTTTTTGCGGATGCGAATGACACAGAAGCATGCCGCGAAAAGACCAACAATTGCAACGACAAGAACGACAACGATTCCAGCAACCACACCTGGAGCCAACTTATTTCCAGAAGAAGGCTTAGAAGTTGACGATCCAGTCGCGGTGGTTATAGCTCTGGTCGGGGTTCGATTTACCGCAGATGCTTTTTGTTGGAAGTATACACTCAAATCGTTATTTTGGAAACCAGCAGAAGGCGACTTCATGGTCGCACCACCCGTAGGACTATGTATGTCAGCAATATGTTTCAGCTTATAGAATTTCAATACGTACGATCCACCCACCCTGGATATTATAGCGGAAGGAACGACATAAGAGGTCAGGTTTGGTTGATATGTGTTCCACGGGAGGTTCGCGGCTGGTTCGTTGAGATTGAGATTATGCGTTCCCCAGGAATTCACCGTATCACATGAAAATTGGTCTCCTGGAAAGGATCCCCCCACGATCAGCATTTGAGCCCCGTCAACGACCTGGCAGCTTAGCATGTTATGTGGTTTCGCCGCAGTATCAGTGTTCGACCAAAATTTAGTCCACGTAAATGACGGAAGACTAAGGATATAGACGTCGTCGTACCCAGAAGAGTTAGCTCCAAAACCTGCACCTCCATATAGATATATGTTGAAGGAAGAATAATCAGGTGCCCAGGTAGCACCTGCGCAAAACCTCCTCCTATCTCCAGGGATATCTCCAGTCGCGTTTTGAGTGTACCATTGCGAACTTTGAATGTCATAGATATGAATTTGGTTCATAGGCGCGGACACTACCGTCTCATTTTTGTAAGGTGTCTGGATGCCACCGAAATAGACAAGAACTCCAGTGCGACTCGCCGGAAGATAGAGCATAACACCCTCTGCTCTTCCAGTTTGATCAGGTCCCGTATTGTTTGTCCATGTTCCCATTTGATAATCATACTTGATCATACCGCTCGTTGCGAGAGGAGGTCCAGACCATCCCGGAATCGAAGAATTGCTCTGCCACCCACCAAGGATGTAACCCTGGCCCAGATCTGAAATACCAACTCCCATACCATACGAAACGCTCGTGACGCCATTGTTTGGTGGACCAAAATTATCCCATTGATTGTATAGTACGTCGTATGAATAAAGGTTTGGTGAACTTGGCTGAGTAAAAAAATCCCCGCCAAAAAGATAGAATCGTTTGTTGACCTCATCAGCCCAAAGCACACCTCCACTGACGTTCGGTATTGAGGCGTTCTTCGACAGATTTGCGTGCAATTGAGGCATTCCTGCCGCCGCAGGACTTGTGTCGAGATCGTTATAGAGAAGCCAGGAGTCTATTTTCGTCAGTTAAATATCCAAGAAACTTCCAATGTTTGTGTCGGCGGTGACAACTTACTAGAGTAATTGGAAGGGTTTTGAGATAGAGGATTCCAATCGATCATTCCTCCATCTATGAACATCTGTCGATCAATCACTGTTGTCTGGTGTCCCCATCTCCTGCAAAAATCGTTCAAAGGATCTTTCTGTTGCCGGGACGGCTGCACCAAATAAAGTAAAATAATCAGTATCGTGGACATCGAGCGAGTCAATTGTCCATCCCAGGAAGAAGACACCGAGCTAGGATATCGTCGTGGCCCCGAAAGTCGTAATGAACTCGCCATATCTGAGTGCTTAGAGATGTATATTCATGGATACTTTCGAGGGTGAGATATTAGGAGAAACCTGTGGCAACAGGTAGAGACTACGGGTGGTTGAAATATTGGAGAGAAGGATTTACAAGATGAAGATGACTAAAAGCAAGTTTGCACAACAAGTCATCACAAAGGATTCAGTCCGTCCTATATGTGTAGTGATTGAGACTGATAGATTGCCTAGCACATTTCTAGCGATTGGAACTCAGCATTCCCGTGAAGCTGGGAGATAATTTACGTCTAAAGGCTTAGGATACCTTGACTTGATCATGTCGAGGTTACTTCAAGCTCTCAAACACAGGTTCAACCCCTTGACGAGGTAACATCGAAAATCTAAAATAATCGCGGTATGTACTGTAAGTCTTTCGTGCTAATCGGAACTACCAATTAGAGTAAGAATCTCATCTTAGGTAAGGCACAGTGACTGCAGGGGCCCATCGTACGAGTATAGATACCAAAATACTTTGCTTTTCCCCCAACACTGATAACAATGAGCTGCACATTCTAAACAAAGTTTCGGTATTCGACTTCGAATCCCGTATTGAACGAATCATAATGCAAAACACAAAAATATATACCATGTGCAAGCACAGCATTCGTTGCAAAAGTACCTCCAAATCGTACCAAATTGTACCGGAACAAACGCTGAAACATCGTGGGATTACGCCACTTCCTTCACCTCCCACTCATTTACCCTATGTGAGATAAGGGCAAAAAATGAAAGTTGAAGAGGTTTAAAAAGGAGGTTTTGGGGTCGAAGCCTTGTTAGGAAGAAATCGAAGATGAGACGAAAAGATCCCGCAACTCATATTTAATTATCGACTTTCCCAACTGTTACAATGAACGGATTTTGCGGCATCATCGGTTTCCAATGCAAAGCTTGACGGATTGTCCACGTTGGAGACAACACCAGATGTTGGTTCCTCATCGTAATAGAGGTAAGTCGGTCTAGAATTGAGGCTTGGATCAATCGGTACCACTTTACAGTACCATAAACATATGTTAGCAAGAGAACAAAGATACAAAAATACATTGCACTCGAGTTGAACAGAAATGTACGGTCGCAAGATCTTTTTAGTGGAGATGGAAGCCCGGAAGATAAATACTTTTCACGTGACGTGTAAGCTTCAACAACTACAACAACTATCTATGGATTCAACAAATATGATAACCAACAACCAACAACCATATACATCCCACTTCCCCTGTCATATCGCTATTACGTATTGCGTTGCTTTGAGTCGTATCCCTAGGCCCTAAGATACTTCAACTGTTGGAAGCATGATATTTGTTTGTTTGTCATTACCAAGTAACTTTTGAGATCAAAAGAGCGCTGTAGGAGTATAGCCTCAAACTTAGAACTATTTGATGATATATATTATCTCCTTCATCTCTTTCGTCTCTACTTTTCACCTCAAATCACTTATTATGCAGCAAGCTTACCTCCAAATATAGAAACATATTCCTCCTAAGCCTTCAGGCGCGTAGATCCTTCGATTCCCACACTGCGAGGGTCGGTGGACAGGCAGGCTGACAGCATTCTTGGCAGGTTCTCATAAAACCGCGTATGCCTTCCTGGAAATTAGAGTTGTACTCTGGTGATTCAAACGCTTTGCTTGTATGGTATTGGTCGTTTTTGTATAGATATTTCTCTTTTTTGATTGTATTGCTTCATACCCTTGTTTATCGATTTATCCACATTTCTTCCCTTGCCTCAATTAGTTATTCTTTTGGCCTTCTAGAATGTCTTATTCATTTGTCTTCAATGATACTCCACAAGTTTTAAACATTTTCTCCGAGTGGTTGTGCTGGTGTATTCTTTGGGCTGGTATCAAAGTATCTTCCTTCATTTCCCAAAAGAAAACACTTGATGTCCGAAGAGATAAGGCCGAGGAAGAATCAACAAGCCTTGCGTTCTTTGTCGTCACATCCAGCGTTTGTGCGTCAATCGTAGAGGTCAATTGGATACTGGTTTGTCCTCTATTGTGCTCCGAACTAGTACTCAAAGCCTGACTAATACTTGCTGTAGCCATTCCTTACTCCCGCTCTGTACATTGTCACTCAAAATAATTCTGTCGATAAATACGTCCTACCTAGCAGTTTCAAATCCGAGAGATCAGAATACCCGGCCAACTACGGCTACCATTTAATTTTCTATATTCTTATCGCTATTTCAACTAGTGTTCTCTTTCTACCCTCGTCAGCAAATCCTGTCACTATCGGCCTAGGACTTATTTTTCTCATCTGTCAAACAGCTACTTACTCTCGTCTTTCACGTCACGTTGATGAAGTTCAATCCGTACATCAACTCTTTTCAAAGCTTGAAGGAACATGCTGCTGGGTCGTTTGCTTCCTCACTGTTATCCTCCTCGTTTCACAGCAACAAGCTCCCGATATCCTTCGTCTATCAGTCTCCAGTATCTTTAAAGCTTCGTTATGGATTGCTATGATGCTTCTTGTAAGTTTTATATTCGATATGCCTGGGCCCCTCATGTTAATCGCTCTGATCACTAATGCATTACACAGTGCAATGAAGGTCATGCCTGCGTTTTGACTCTCATGTCTACATTCGGGTTATCCACGATGTACATAAACGTCATTCCATCTCCAATTCTCGCCGCCCTCTCGTGTCTTTGTGCACTTCTAATTCTAGCACATATCACGTCCACCTTACCTCACAAATGTTCTACACGTCGTATCATAATTTTCTTCGCCATTTTCCCCATTGCTGCGCTCCTCTTTCGCTTCGGAATTTCCGAGACGATTGAGGCATTCTCTGAAATGGTGAATGGGTTGTTTACTGAGACTCTTTCAAGTTGTACGATGAATGGAAATAGTACTGTGCGGGATGTTACCGACATAGTTCAAACAGTTATAGATGAGCCGTCTCGACTGGTAGCAGAATTTGGGCCTAGAGAGGAACCTAAATCGTGGCTAGATGCGATTGCAAGATTTTCGAATCCATATGAGGATTCAACTCCTGTGACTATTGAGTTACGATAGCTTTTGTAAAACTATCTTTCATTTCTGTATACTATACTCGTAGAAAAAATATAAATCTATAAAACACTTCAAGATCTCAAATGATTTCACTCTTTTAAACACTTTCATTGTTTGAAAAATTCTTAATCTTTTAAAACTCTTGAAGGATTCAAATGATTTCAGATTTCACACGGATTCAAGATTTAAAAACTTCTGATTGTTAGACTATAGTCTGGACTATTAAATAGTCTAGTCGATATACTATTTATATAGTCTCATAACAAGAAATCTACCCTTGTGCTATGAACACTATTATAAGTATATTACTTAATGATTTATAAACTATCAAAGTATATAAACTTGAAGTGCTTATAAGAATATAGCAATAGTCAAAGTATAAGATGAATGATAGATTACTTAGGTACTGATAGAATTGAAGGGACTTGAATGTGAAATGAAGATATATATACAATTGTGTATAGGTTTTCCTTGATATCCAAAGAAGAAAGGAAAAAGTTTTCCAGAAAGAGAAATGAATATAACTACTGGTATATACGTAATTACACTAGCTCACCATTTCCCTCAATATTGAGGTGGTTTAATACGGGGAATAATTGATGGTCTTATAAAAATGCTGAATCTATTATATTTTAGACTTAGTTTCCTGTTCATCCAGATATTACATTACACTACATCATAAATACGTACCCAGTAGGTACATAGGAGTAAATGGGGGGTCGTATATAAGTATCATTCCACTCTACTTCATCTCTCAACTTTCTCATCTCTATATCCATCTAAACTCTCCTCATTCTCATCCATCTAATCGTTTCTTCTATTTGTTTCCTTGTTGATTGTAATCTATAAATATAAGTTTATCTTCATTGAAATTATAAGGCAAGACTAGAACGCTCTTCAACGACGCGATCAACAGCGAAGTCGCAGGGTGAAAGAAGAAACCTATGGATCGGATGTAGATAATAAAGCGGATGGATACGACAACAAAGTTTTCGACACCCCAAAACAATAGTATTATACATCTGATTTCGTTGAGAGAAGACGGCGGAAATCATCCATCACCTCCGCGAACAGGGAAGTCGGAGGGCAACCACTGCGGTGGTGGCATTATTCAAGATAAATTGAGTGGCAATGCTACCCATAACGGGCATTATTCTATTCTTATTGGATATAGTAACGGTACATCACAAAGCTACTTAGTACATATATACTACTGTCATGATAGTGCTAACAAATATCAGGATGAGTGGAATCGATCGTTGTAGTGGTTGTGATAACAGTCACTATAATGGCAGTGTCACTCAAGACTGGAGAAAGAAAGTCGGGAACGCGTTCAGGGTGGGACTCCTCGGTGAAGTGCTGGTGATACTATTATTCCTAAATTGGCTATCATAATTCATAATTCATGGCTCGACTTGGGTGCTCAGATCCGAATTATAAATTCTTCCTTCATCTCATATAAATATCCAGATTGCTGATCATTTTGGTAATAGATAATGGGTAGTAGGTAATACGAGTAGATATTAGGTAGTAGGTAGTACGTAGAAAGATTATATAGAAATATAGAAATACAGTAAAATGCTCTGCATTTACCAAAATGGAAGGAAGGTGAGCTTAGCGTGATCACGTGGAAAGTGAAGGACATTGATGAAATGAAAATTTCCTCTTCTCTTTCCCTTCTCTTCTTTTCTTTCTCTTCTTTTCCTCCATTTCTTTTCCTCCTTCAAGTTGTGAAGTCTTAACGTTTCAATCGATATCATAAAGATACAAATATCCAAAAAACACTTTTAGTATCATCCAATCTCTCGAGTTATTATTCTCCTTTCATTTCCTCTTCTTTTATAGATACCTAACATTTCCAGATGTTCTCCAATATACAGCCAGCTCAATTAGAATAATAACTTCAATTTCTTTTCATCTTCATCAATCAGAATACAATCAACTCACTTTTGATTCCACTATAACGTTATGAATGTTCTTCATCTGCCATCAACTTATCTGGATTTCACTCTCCCAAATGGGTTTCATCTGCCAGAGTATCTACTACTTGTTTACCTGAATTCGAAACTTCAATTTCTACAACCATTCTTCATTTGTGCGGATCAACTCCTTTGCCGCATTTCCCTTAATTAAACTTATATATGCTAATACAATACAATGATTTCACAACAGGCATTTACATTATTCAAGATATACTATACTTGATGTTCAGTGGCACTATCCCAAGTTTGGAATGGTTCTTGATCCTTCTAATCCATGAATCGGTGTCTTCAAATGTGTTGACAGCTGATACCTATCCGCTGCGTATGGAAAAGGGAAAAGACGATTGAATGATCCGAATGATTCATATGATCCGAATAAATCGAATGATCTGAACGATTCGAACGAACGGTTATATACAGGGTATTACAGAGCACAGTTTTTCATCAAGTTGTGTAATGTGTAAGTGAGTGACATTATCAGATGAAATCAAGATTCTAGATTCTAGATTATGCAACGAAGCGGATGGAGGAAGACATTGACAAATTTTCTCCGTCGATATACTCGTAATAGGTACGAAGTTAATTCCTTCGATTCCAAACACTTACGAGTATATCGGGATTTCATTCGTTATCCTTCCTTGGAATATTAAATGGAATAGTATTGTATCTTATTGTGATGTTGTGGGCGCGAGTATAAGAACTTGAACGTTGATGTATGTATATATGTGCGATTAGTTTTTTTGGGGAAATCCTCCTTGTTTTGGGGACTGATGTGTTAGTGTATCATGATCCGTAATGATAAGTGAGATATTGGAATCATTGATCATGACATTGTTCAGTGGTTTATTTCATTTATTGTCAGTACAGTCGTACAAGTGCCCCGGCCATACTTTATGAGGTATGATTATCGTATCTCTATTGATTGATATTGCATGAATATTTATTTTGCAAAGTTGTGGAGGTTCTGTGGTGTTTGGTGTATGTGATGTGTGGTCTTTGGTACATGCGGTTTGCATGAAGAAAGGAAGAAAGATACTATTTGATGTTATCGTGGGATATGCACAAGATGCAAATCAATTGAACCATCTACTGTGTCGCAATACTTGCCTGATTGTCGTGGTAGTCACGTATCTGGTTCAACTCCTGATATGCTCTTCCTGGATCACTGAGAGATGGTCGATAGTTGTGGATTATGTCTAGTTTTGTATCTGTTCGCGCAAGCTTATTGAGAATAGTCATGGGGAAGGATATTTTTGGGGAGTTCCAAACTTCCACGTGGTTTCCAAAGTGAGGTTATGTTTTGGTATAATGCGTGGAAGTCACGGTGTGCGATCCATGATTTTGAATAGGTGACTTATTGCCAACTCTAGTGAGGAAAGGTAATTCCTACATTCAGATGCTCATATGATTTAAGGGATTGTATGAACATGCTTTAAGGTAACAAAAATCAGGACGAGACTTTCAAGGCTAGCGATGTCAATTATGTGGCTTATGCTACCGGTTAGATGCCAGTCACGCATACCGATCTGGAATTCTGGTCATCGTTGAAGAAATTGGAGATGAAATGACTGGAAAACCAGAACAGAGAGCCTTGTTGACTAGATTAACTTTTCACCACTTCTAAGTTCTACTGATATATCTCCTTTTCATAGCCCATTTATAAGAGGTTGATCAAGTCGCGTTCAGTGGCGCCGCATAAATCTTCTTTGCTTCAATCCCCTTTTCTGAAACACTGAGTCTGGACCGAAGTCTGGTTGCCCACCTAGCGTACCTAATATATCACCCACATAATTTGTAGCTTCAACGCCCGCTGCAAATGTACTATCCCATCCGTCTAATATACCCTCAACGACTTTGACACCAGCGAAATAGATGTTCTGAATAGAGGGTTCATACCCCTGATCCTGAAAGAAAAGATTATCCAAAATGCTTTGACCAGCATGAGGCCGATCAAAATCCGATGCGGTGCGCATGATGATGATACGGGAGAAATCGACAAGGTTGGTAGAGGCGGCTCGAAGAAGTGCTTCAAGAGTCGCGTTATCTTCTTGTTGAGTGGTGCAGTAGATGCCATTACCGTTAGTCCATACCGAAGTGGTATTCTCGAAAGCATCGGCGAGTAATTCTCCGGCGAAGTAGACATCTGAAGTTGCAGTGTCGCAAGCCACGATGCTAGGTGGTTGGGCCCCGATAGTATATGCGTTGGTGGAGCCGTAAAGAGCTCGATAGCTCATCGCATCCGCCGTATCATTAAGGATAGCCGTCTCGGCAAATGAGATGGCAATCTTGCGCAGTGGTTCATTGACTTCAAATACTTCTGTACCGTAGATTTCAACTAGGCTGTCTGTCGGTGAAGATGCTCCTTGGGGAAAATAACCGGTGCTAAAATTTGAAGGCATTTCTCGGGCATCAATTTCATATTGTAAGGCCACGGATACGGCGTACCGAGCGAACGTTACAGACTTGCATATATCATCAGTAAAATGCAGGGAGGAACCGGTCTCTTCTAATACTTACGCCGATGGTGGCAACTTTGGGAGAGACGCCTGCAATGCCCGCAATAAGGAAGTAAGTTTGGCTCAAGTTGAAGAGAGGCGAATATGCTATCGAATTGATTGAGACAGCAGCATTGATTTCTGACCAGTCAGCTAGGTGAAAGTAAAACGCTCCCAATGAAACAAGAAACATGCTTCTTACCTCCCTCTCCAGTAGTGAGTTGACATATTTCTCCATCCACCGTACAATGAACCTGGGGAAAAAGCGGCGAAAGCCCAGGCACGGTGATATTGCGAGCCAAAACATCGAATTCGGGTATTCCATACCAAGCTTCCCCTTCATCCGAAAACTATATCTAGAACTCAACGGGCTGGGACTCGAAGTGGAATTCGCTTGCTTACCATGTCTATGATGAGAACTTTCGGGGTGATGGGAGTGTGAGAGCCATTCGCAAGTCTTACACGAGGTTGCGAAGAGGTGGCTGGAGTTCGATATGCTGTGGTAAAAGAACCTAGACTTGCTGCCGCGATGAGAGTGGGAAGATGCATATTGAAGCAATTGAACCAATGAACCAATGAAGCAATGATACTAGAAACGACAGAACAAAATCTCGAGAATAAAGAGACAGCTAGGAATTGATATTTTTGTGTCTATTATTATATAAACTACGAAATGGGGCAGCTACTTGTAGGCCCCTTGACGCCTTTCTCCTAGATTAAGATGTCATGAGTAAGTGGGCTAGCTGACGACGATCAGTGCAAAGTAGCTTCTGGATCAGGGTTTAGCGGGGTCAATGTATGCTCATAGCTTATCTACAGGGGCCCTGGTCACTTTGATATGATAACGTGTTTGGTCGAACTAAGGTTAATGGAGAAAGTCTACCCTTTAGTCGCTAAACCCACTCTTGGTCTGATCAAAATGCTGAGTGCGCGGCGCACTTTTGATGCTTTGGAAATATGTTAGATTGGGCTTTGATGAGAAAGGACTGAATAGCTCCATATTGGTAGTTCTAGTTTCACCTCTTCCCTCGTTATGAGACTATAATCGGAAACTCTGTGAATACCGTTCGGTAGCCAAAGTTACAATCTTGCATCCGTCTGATTCTTTGTAAACCCAAAGACGTCAACCCATCGCATGAGACCGACTGGAGAATTCCCCCTGCCCGCTGTCTCGACATAACGAACGCAGCCAACAGGAACACCGATCGCAGAATTCCAATACAAGCTCCAATTTAGACATATTCCATCCCATGATATTTCTGTACCGACACACTTGGTAGCCTGATTTGCCTTGAAAGTAATCCATGGCTCTTTGCAGATGACAAGAACTTCATATCATTGGCACGTGCAAACCATGGCTTATAGATGCCAATTTCTTCTGTCTGTGAAGTTGCAGTGAAAGTTAGGCTTGGAGGCGTAAAGAATCGACCCCAGTTAGATTGGCTGTGTGAGGATTTGATACATGGCGTTAAGATCTGTCGTTTTAGCTTCCATAGAGCTAATCACTACGACGGTACTTCCTGTATCTTCCAATCATCTAATTGTTGGGTTTATTCCGTGGAATGTATAGGGAATGCAAAGGGTTCCTCCTCCGTCAGCACCAAGAGTGAAGAGTGTCAGATCCGCTGCTACAGCTGCATAGGCTGACCCTAATGAGGAGCTGTCTGTGTAAAAATGATCGTTATACATATATGATGGTTTCCCAAGGATATTTGCTCCACCTTTCACGAGTTTCTGGATTGGCCATGTGCTCGTTCTGGATATAGGAAGAGCTCATCATTTGTACCTCCTCCAAATGCTATTCGATAGCTCGCTATATCTGATGCGTTTTTGATAGCAGTCGGAATGCCATCGAGAAGTCGAGTGGCTGTCCAGCTGCATAACGGGCCGTTGACTTTTCAGCAGCTGCAAGGGTAGCGAAGATAGAGTGATGGGGTGGAGAGGCAACATCTCAGCGGATGAGAGGGAGCGGGCTTCACACACTGCGAGAGACTAATAGGTACTCCCGAAAGGTACTTCGCGTGGTGTTTTGAGACTGAATGGTATCGGTCCAGGATATCTTTGGAAAGACGTTTGAAGGAGGACGAGTCGTGATTGAGAACAAATGGGAGTTCCGCTTCGTTTGCAATGGGAATAACAGTCGGCAATGATTAATTAATGATATTTCACTACTTTCCGTTTATAGATATCAAGGTCTGGAATCCGTATCAACCTATAATCGGTGGAGAAGGTAAACGTCTGAAGCTATGCCAATTCAAAGGATGCAACGATGAGATTTAAGTTATAGTATATGAGATATATAATTCGTATAAGAAGACGGTTCGGAATACTCGGGAAGCTAGAGAGGTCCAGGAGTAAGGGGGTGGCCATCGATTTCGGAGGATTATTTTAGCTTTAAGTCTCAATATGTACTTTGAACCTCAATATATGTATGTATTGAGATAAAATTCCCTTACATAAGCTCTCCTTATATGAGGTTGTCTATAGGACTAATATACAGTGCACCAACCCATTTTATTTTATTATTATAAATCATCCAATAGAAGTTGATTATATAAGAGTAATCACCGAATGGACTTCTAGGAAAATACCCACGGCTGCGATATGATTGGATGAAATACGATAGATATGGACACATTGCCACATTGCCACATTGCGGGGAACGTGGTAATTGAACCAGGGGTAACAGGGGGTCTGACAATTGAGATAAACTCAGACTGCCAATGTTGTCTGACACAATGAGATGTAAATAATAGAGGCAGCAACTTGGAAACAATTTTTGGTATTTGTATGTCTTATATAACCTGAGGGACCCAAACGAGAATAGCTCTAGACAATGGTAACTCCGCCGTTGATGACTCGGTCTGAGTATAGAGAAAAAAAACGAGAGGAAAAACGAGAGGCGCAAAAACATGCTAATAATTTGGCTGATGGAGTTATATCTCAAACAGACCTTGTTGCTAGTGTTTTAGACTTGGTGGGCGTTATTAAGCACATGCTGGAACGAAACGAAGAAAGTCAGGAGAGAAGATATCGTCAAGACCTAGAAAATCAGGAGAGAAAATACCATCAAGACCAAGAGAATCAAGAGAGAATATATCATCAAGAGAGAATATATCATCAAGACCAAGAGAATCTGGAGAGAAGACATCATCAAGACCAAGAGAACCAGGGGAGAAGACATCGTGAGTTGTGTGACTTACTCATGAAATCGAAAGATACGGATACAAAGGATGTAATATCTCCCAGTCTCGAGATCCAGGATGGCCAAAAAATTAACAAAAATTCCGACTAGGTCAAAGATAGTGGGCATCGCAATGTCGACGCTAATGTAGTTAAATCTTTCGCCCATACTTCTAGTGGTTCTGCCAATATCGAAGCCAAGACTCTTGATTCTGTTGCCCCTTCTCTCGATTCTGTCGCCGATAGCATTAAACCTCTGACCAAGTCATTTAAGGATATAAGTTTGAAGGCCCCGGGTGGCGCAAATGGCATTAAATTCTCCAATTCCGATCAGTTTCGCTGGTTCCAACGTTTCCAAAATGCAACAGGTTATCACCTTCAGTTATTTCAGCTCGTACCGCAAGTCGCGCATTGCTATTCTATACCAACTGAAAACAAAACAATAGGTTATTCAGGTCATAAACTCAGGCACCGAGTCCCTTTCACCGTGGTGCTATGAATTTCGCTGACATACTACCATCAAGCCCGTCTAAGTGTAGGGGGTATCCATCGCCGCACTGCAGTTAGCGGATGGAGAAACGACACTTCAGAAAATGATATAATTTCCAACCAAATATGGACGTTAAAAGTAGAGGATCTCTGCAAGGCAATCAAACATACCTCCCCTGATTGGGGAAATTGGGACCATGGATTCCCGGGCAGGCACCATGCATGTCATGCCGAGAAGCAACTGATAGCCTGGTACATATCCGATAACATATCCGCAAAAGATCAAATCGCTAAAGCATCACCGTACGGATCTCCCTACATCAATGTCGGAGAATCGGCACCTCTAGGAGCACTTATAGTGGTGAGTCGAAAAAAATGTGACGACTGCAAGGAATTCATCAAGAAAATCAATGATGAGATCGGAATCCCTGACTACTTTCGTGTGGAGTCTCGGACATCCCCCAAGGATATATTTGACATGGAGAAGAGTTGGGACAAATTTAATGATGCTCTTAACCAGAAGGATGGTTCCAGATGAATGATTTGACTCGGGCCAGGCCGGAACGAGTGATGGATCTCGATTTCAACGAGTGGTAAAGCTGAATCTGTCGAAGTTAAGTCGAGAACCACTACTCGAGTAAAAGTATTCGTGTCAAAAATGAACAAAGTAACCATGATCAAGAGCAAGATGATAACGGAAGCTCTCGAGATCTCAAGAATGAGGTATTCGGGTCAGCGGTGTTGATCTATCAGCTCTGAGCCTTCACACGAGTAGCTAAACTCCCCACTTCGATATTGTATAGTATATACGCATCATTCAGACATTCATATCTGCCTACTCGAGTATATCTCGAACTCCAAAGAAGGAAAAGATAGCACTTAAACCCCTGATTGAAAACTAGAAAGGCATACTTTACTATTTCGGGACTACGGTACTCGTTTCTGAGTATTTAGAACTACAAGTACCCCTAACGTGGAGTATGCTAGTGTCTAGCACCAATACTTCGACTAACAAATCAAGCAATCTTCAAATAAGTTTCCGATCTATCTTACTTTACATCTACACGACCCTCAAATTGTATTCATAGTAACTCTATCACCAAACTAATCTACAAACACCCCTTAGAAACCCACAAACACACTCCGTAAAATTCACTTTTGATGTGCCGGTGTATTAGCAGTACAAACTATACATCCCACACCCGCACCTCCCCATCTCCACATTCAAACCTCAACAACCCAGTACCCAGTACCCACGATTCTCAATTATCAAACCACCCAAGTCATATCATTCATTCATTCATTCAATCCTTCATTCACTCTTTAGTCTCTCATTATACTTCGCTTTACACTTTACACTTGACACTTTACACTTTACACTACAATCCATCTATACATCTATACATCTATTCCATCCTATCCTATTCAATTTCAATTTCAGAAATAGAAATACATATCAAACTAGAAACTCCAAACCCAAAAATACACAAATGACTTACTGTAATATCACCACTAAGAAAGACCTACATATTTTCGACCAATCGACCTTGAGTACGTGGTCCAAGAAAAATACCTGAGTAATAAATTCCCCGATTGCTCCTTCCTTGTCTATGAGATAGATCGATGATTCACATTAAGTAATTATGAGAATTCATCACCAAGTACTCAAGTACATCACATACCATTCATTATACAGTAGACGCACTTCTACCCTTCCAAAACCGGAGACACAAAAATCTTTAAAAGACGATTGATTGTCATCAAACCCCATCCCCCATCCCTATCCTAAAATCAACACAAGAAACAAGGCAAAGCAATTTTGGGTATAAAAAGTCCGTCCGTCTGCACAACCAAAGCCCAAAATCCACATTCTCCCATCCTATCCCATATCATTTCTCGTATACTCATATTCATGATCATCTCATAACCATTCATCAATCCAGAACTCCATCTTCAATGCCCTCTTCTCTTCTCATATCATATCGTGACCATTATTTTCGTAATCCATCGATCAATAGTGGCAAAGAACCGATGCGTATCGATCGATCATCTCGCGATATTTATATAAATGTGTCGCTGCAGAAATGCAATTAGACCGCGACCTCCATTGCCGGATCATGATGACCGCTGCGATCTCCACGGCTGCGGGAAACATGTAATGCGGCCATGATTGTCGTAGCTGCGAATAATAACCTATGTACCCAGAATATTAGTCCACATCTTGCTAATAAAATTCAAAAACACCCGAACAAAGTCATAAGAGTAGAATAAACATACCACAAGAAAGCAGCAAAGACATCCCCCGCAATGCTCGCCTTACACACACTCCATTGACTATGACCACAGCCAACATTATTTAACATAACAGCTAGAGCAATGAAACCGGCGAACCAGAAAATCATAGTCACGGCTTCGGCGAAGAGGATTCCATATTTATGGGCTGCGGTAGGGAAGTGGGTGGGAGAAACGATTAGGTAGATGAGGGCGAGGAGAGTCCAGACGGATGTGAAGATGAGGAAGTTCACTGAGTCGGGAGACCACCAGTATGACCAAGAGTCAGCAGCTTGGGGATGTTAGTTATGCGCGAAAGGTACGATTTGAGGGGAAGGGTGGACTTACCATATGCTGTGAGACCGAGAACGATGATGGAGAACACTGCTTGCACAATTCGGAGGGGAAGAGTATATGCGAATGCCATTTTGATTGTTTGATTATTGTATGATTAATTTAAAAGATATTCTGATCTTTAAGGTTGATTTAGGTTCGTTTGTAGATCGATATTTTCAGTAGAAATATTTAACCTTTGCGAAGCGCGGGAACTATGGGATATCTTGAGGTTTTAAAATATTAAGTTTGGAGGGAGGCTGGTTATTAAGTGTTGTAATGTTTCAATAGACAAGACTCATCTGTCGATGCTTGACCGAGTATATATATATGGATAGTAGATCGTAGTACGGTATCCCCTTCCAAATACGTATTATCGTATGTGAATGGTTGGCGGTGAGGTAGACTAATTTCAAGATTTTTGATGTTAAGAAATCTTAGCTCGGCAGTGATGACGTAGCAACAGGGAATGAGTACATTTAAACATGGGTTAGATTTTAATTTATGGAGCCAATGAGCTGTCATATCGCCTAGACCACATGTGCAGTTTCTGAACGATTGATGCAGGGACCTTGACCAATGAATCGTCTTGGCAGGACAGGTTCCTCGACTCCGTGTACAACCTAATTTATGCGATTGGGCTCTGCAGATAGATCGCATATCGCATTTAACTTGCTGCGGCCCGGGCGCTAAAATTCAGATTAGCAGCATATTATCACTGCCAAATGATAGTCCTCTCCCCAACATACCACCTCTATCCTCAAGCAACAACTCGTTCTCGATTGAGCCTTCCACGACTAATAGCAAATCATCATCCTGTTCTTCATCCTCAAGCTGCCAACGGCGACCAAAGAATATCTCTTCCGTTTCGGATTCTATTGTCAATCTTTCCCTCTCATCATCCAACAGTATCTCATCTTCGTCGTCAAGTAAATCATCAAATTCATCTTCTGATGTTTCGTCAAATTTATCGAGTATACAGCCGAATGTCGATTCTTCACTATGGCTCTCGTCGATGATCCATCGAAAATCATCATCTGTCTTCAAAATTCTCAACTCATTTTCAGTACCAATTGTTTCCAAAAGGTCGTCATATCCATCATCATCCTCGATCGTAACAGCATTCTCAAAAGCCGAACGCTTGTTGGTAGCTTGGCGAGCAGCCAACGGATCATGTAATGTTCGTTGCATCATTGACCATACTCGAGCTTGAACCACGGCGGCTAGCCTTTTCTCAGAACCTAGCTCACCGTTGATCTTCTCATCATTTCTGTCATTAGGAAATTCGCACGATGGCATATTTGCAATCTGCGCAAGCTTTTGCTTGAGGCTCGGAGTGTGTGCATTGCGCGACAAGGAAGTCATCATTTGAATTATCCTAGGGATATACCGAGAGTTATCAGCCACTGACTATGCCTGTTAGTCATTGATGTTATTCACAAGTGAGTATTAAAATTACCTTCTTGAAGCCTGGAGAAAACATGACTGGGCTCAGGGATGCCAATGAGGTCGCTGAAGTATCCGAAGTACTATAAACCTTCACTCCCTTTATTGTCCTCTCCCTCGTTTCGGCGCCTGCAATCATGAGACGCATTGCCGCACTCACAAGGTTGCATGATGCTGTGGGATTGAGAACATATGCATCACTTTCATGATTGATTGCTGAGGCGTCACGTTTCCGGGGAAGAGTTTTGATGGTTAAAGATGACGATGAGTCATTTTTCGGGAGCTGAGTACTATCTTCTTCATCGCCGGCAGATAGAAGCAGCATATCATCAATCGCTGCATCTATTGATGGCACAGAATCACTTTCCAACTCTTTCAAAACCGACATGTCTGTGTTTGGCGACTTTGCGCGAGACTTCTTACGACTTGCGGTTGATGAGATCGTATGCCTAGAAGTCGAGATGCTGATGGAGAATAGACCTGAGCTTATGGACGAGCTCAACTGGGACAACGCCGGTATAGCATGTAATACTAAACTTGAATATAAATCATTTGAACACTCTTTCAAAAGCTCCGATAGCTTCTCGCTAGGGCCAAATTTGACGATGGGTGATTTCGTTGGCGTATCGGGTTGAGTGATTTTGAGGGGCTTAGAAGAGTTTTCACCAATCACCAAATTCCAGGGAGAGGCCTTAATTCTTTTTGAGCTCTGATGGCCCGGCGATGTGGATGTAAACGCTAGACACACTTTCAGTTGCTCCATTTGGGCGCAGAGCAGTGCTTCTGGCGTCCTGATATCGGTAGTTGTGTTTGACCAAGGTCTGGAGGCAGCAACGGGCAGGCTTGAGGGTTCTTTATGATTTAGATGAAGAGATATGGTTCCTTTTTGGAGTACTGCATCCTGCAGATGAAGTATTGTGGACAAGCCAAGTTGTGTCCATATCTAATGATAGTAAGTAACTAGCTTTTATGTCTTGAGTGTGTATTGATTCCACAAACCTTAGAACCTGCAATAAACCTACCCAATAACTCAATGATATGATCATTGTCATTGTCAACCAATGCTTTTCCATCAAGAGTAATGTTGAACTCTATTCGACATGAATTTCCCCGGGATACCCATACTTCACCTGAAGATAAGGCGTCCAGACACTCACCAATTGGCAAAGCCTCTAGCTTTCCGGACGGTAGTCTAACGGCAACTTCATACTCTACATTCAAAGACAGTTTGTCCGAGGGAGACGAAAGAGCGAGTGGACCAAAACTTATTCTCCTTATAGACATGGCGGGGAAGGCGGAAAATCTAATGAAGCTGAGAAACAATACCCCTCCGATTTATAATATGAAAACAGGCACCCAATACTTTCAAGGAAAGTATTGAGATCAAGGCCTGATAAAAACAATGAGAAAAAAGATTGATGAAAGGAAAAGGAAAAGGAAAAGACACGAACAGAGGAAAATGAGGAGATATGGAAATAAATAATGAATGAATTGATAGAGGAGGTTAGTAGTATAGCACAAATCGTAATATATCAAACTGTATCCTTTAATAATAATATCGTCATCATCCCTCACTATCTCATATAATAAGGTGTGATATCTAGAAAGAGAGAGAGAGAGATGGAACAAGGGGAATGTGTAATTGTCGCTGGTAGTCTTACATTCTGGTCGTTGGGAGACTCGGGAGAAAAGAAAAAGAATTTATATAGAAAGTGAAGTTGAATTGAATAATTCTGCCACTCTCTACACCGCCAATTATCCGAGCTACTACGAATAAAGTTACAACCCCTTAGTAATGACGCTGTTAAAGTGCCCATAAATAAATACAAGGATCTTGACCTCCCTCTCTCTCTCTCTCTCTCTTCAATTATTACCCAATTCTCAGTCCAGTTCCAAGAATACCGATATCGGTAGTCCATACTCTTCTGAACGCTCTACTATTTCAACTCAACACCATCCATTGACCAATCCAAGAATCTACCGAAGCTTTTCCTACGAACTAAATCAACTTCAGAAACCTAATCACCCCGCCTCGCCCCCCCCTTAAGACCACCTTCACCATGGCTTTGAGCAATGTTGGTTCAATTGTTCTGCAAATTCTAATCTTTATAACGACTCTTGTGAACTTTACTTTCACTCTCACTACCTTGGGACCCTTCCTTCTCTTAGTCTACGCAGTCTCCAAAATCTGTGCAACAGCCCCAGAGGAAGAAATATTCAAGCGATGTCAACTACGTCACCTTTACCACGATTAATGAACGATACAGCTTCAACAAATCCCCTCGAATCACAAGTTCCATATTTTAAAGATGATTCATCTGCGAATGAGAGTACACATAGGAATGGATGGCAAAGGTCTGGTCTAGAAGTAGGCCACGGGGAGACCAATAGAAGTGGAAATAGAAATATCGACCGCAATACAAATGGAGTTCCTGCGGGACCAGACACACCGATTGTGGATCGTGATCATGGAGTAGACGGGGTGGATCAGCAGCCAGATACACAGGAGACTGCAGTGGGCAAAGTCAGTGTTCGAGATCGTATTGGTTGTATGACATGGACCTGGTTCACATTGTCAATGGCAACTGGAGGAATTGCCAACGTCCTTTACTCCAGTATGCCACCATTACAAACGCTTCGAAATCAGCCCTGACGTTTCGTAGTACCTTACCGGTCGAATTGGCTTCGGATCGTAGGGGAAATAGTATTCTTCCTTAATCTTATATTTTTTGTAATGATTTGTATGTTAATATCTCTTCGCTTTAAATGGAACCCTGGAAGTTTCTCCAAATCTTTTCTTAGTCCAGCTGAATCTTTGTACATACCTGCTTGTGTAAGTCAATTCTAGTATCAATTACAATTTTACATTAATCTGACAACTTATCAGATGATATCGTATGTAATATCATTCTCGGTGATACCTATTGCGACTAAATTTTGGCAGCACTGGAACAATTCTTGTGACTATGTGCCAGTACGGGATACCCAAGACGGGCCTGTGGTTCCAGACTACCATGCAAGTCTGTTTTTGGGCATATAGTACTTTAAGTGTAATAGCGAGCTCTGGACTTTACCTCTTACTTTGGTCCACGCAGTAAGTGTAACTCCTTGTTACAGAGCATCTGCTAATATTTCTGCCTAGAGAATTCCCCATCTCCAATATGACACCGCTCTGGACCTTCCCTGCCTACCCATTACTCTTAATTGGTCCAATTGCATCAAATCTTATTTCTACTCTGCCAGATGCTTCTGCCGCTGCGCGTATTAACTCTACTGCTATCGCTTTTGGCGCAATCTGCTTTCAGGCAACAGGTTTCCTTCTCAGTCTAATGATATATAGTGCTTTCATGTATCGATTAATGACGAAAAAGTTGCCACAAGAGACAACACGACCCGGAATGGTTAATTTTATCTCTATCATTATTGACTCGGCCGCTGACTACCTACTTATAGTTCGTATCTGTGGGACCTAGTGGGTTCACAGTAACCGCAGTCGTTGGACTAGCAAGTTCTGTCAGAACAATCATCTTGCCCGACGGATATATGGGGAATGTAGATGGTCCCTTCATTCTATACTTGATGGGAAATCTCACGGGACTCTTCATCTGGGGCTTGTGCCTTTGGTTTTGCCTTATCTCAATAGGTGCTCATTGGCAAGTCGCGCGACCCAATCATCCTGAGCATCACATCAGCCCTGATATGACATGGTATATATCTTCCGCCACCGTAAACTCGAAACAGCAGCTAACACGTTTAGGAATTCATTCGTATTCCCAAATACCGCACTGGCCACTGCGACGCTACAAATTGGTACAGCATTCGGTTCTAATGCCATTCGTATCATCGGCACTGTGATTTCTGTTTTATTGGTTATTGTTTGGCTCTATGTACTAGGTATGCTAATCAGAGCGCTGTTCTTGAAACGGCTACTTATGCCGGGTCAACTTGACGGGGCGACAGCGCAAAGAAAAAAATGGGCGAATAAAGTGGGAAATGCTATAGGAAAGATATAAATCCATTATTTGTGATATTTTATTTGGATAGGTGGGGTACGTTTATTTTGGACATATATTTTTCCTATTAGGAAATATGGAGATATATAGATTTGTTTGGATATTGGATACGGTGTGATATGTGTTCTAAAGCATAGAATTTCTGCATTGTAGGATATGATAGGATAGTTGTAGAATAAAAATATAGAAAAGGGGCGATTATCATCTCAAAATACATGAGCAATTTGAACCGAGGAGCTTTGACGTCATTGATATCGCGTCGCGTCTTCAATAATCAGCAATCTCTTCATACCTCACATCACCTCAATCTCTAGATTGTTTTCACCTGCATAAAATCATTGTGTCCAACTGTCAACTCTGCGGCATCCACATACGGTACTTGTGAAGTTGAAACTGCTATAAATTAGATCGAACCAATTTAAAGTTCAAATACCGACACTGAATGGCACCACCAAAACGGCCTCTGGGGCAAGTCGATACGAATCCCATTTTACCACTGGAAAAGAGGAATAAGGGGAAGGATAATAATGATGGTATCTTGGAGGGAGAGAAAAGGGAGGGGAAGAGGGCGGAGAAGAGGGGCCAGGAGAATGGGGAAGGGAGAGGAGAATCGATGGAGATATTGACGAAGAAGGAATTGATAATGTTATTGAAGGGGAGGGGCTTGTCGATTAGTGGGTCAAAAGATATTTTGATTGGAAGATTGAAGGGGGATGTGGATGAGGGGGGAGGAGACTGATGTGGATGTGCATGAGGATTCAGATCACGGTGCGAAGGAATCGGCAGGTGGTGAAATGGGTGGGAAGACTGCAGCCACTGCGCAGAATCGGGAATCTGCCGCTTCGACGCCGCCAATTGTTGAGGAATCTCATGCGAATTCTTCGAGGAATAAAATATCGGCTTCTAAACCAAGCGGGAATGAGAATCAATTGGATTACAGGACAAAGGATGATAGTAAATTGAGAACATTATTGAGAGATTGGCGAGTAATGGAACCAAAGGAGGTGGAGAGTATGGATATAATGGCTATGATTGAGAGACTTGAGAGACATGAAATGAGAGGCTACGGAGATAATTATGAGGGATTGAGCTGCGATTAGCTTTCCAAATTGCTGGGTGCGCGGCAGTTGTCAACCGGTGGGGTTTCCAAAGCAGCACGAATTAAACGATGAAGACACAATGATATCATGGGGGAATATGCCCTATAACCGTCCCATCAATATCATCCACTGCATCTGTAAACGAATCCATCTATGCGCGGAAGGATAACAGCAAGCTGCGAGCCTTACTACGAGATCGACATCTCCAGGTATCTGGTACTCGGGAAGAGATGATTCATCGCTTAGAGACCTCTCCATACAACTACGAATCCTACAGCTTCGAAGAACTCTCCCTTATACTCAAAAACCGCCACCTGACAAATACCAACCACGGCGGTAAAGAAACGAAAAGTGATCGACTCAAGAACAATGATGAAGAATACTTTGATTCAGCCAATTTGGAAGAAACAAAAAATTACGTGCTGCTAGATTTTGCGGAACAGGAAAGAAGGATGAGGAACAAGTTCTAAAAGTCTTGTCTGATCCAACTATACCTTATGAGACGTTGGAATACCTTGGGTCTCATCGCCTTGCAATTACCCGTGGTCTGTCGACACTAGGTGTAAATGAGGCTATCATCAAGCGGCTTCGAGTTGATGATCAAAAGCCGGAGTCGAAGAGCAAAGATAAACAGTATATGAGTAACGCTATCGAGAGATTGACGGCCTTGACAAAAAGGCATACCGATGCGTACGACAAAATGAAGAAGAAATTGGAAGAAAGAGTAGGACATCCCATTAAGGATATCGCAGCAGTGATACGGCATTTCGAGGCCCTATGCAAACGAGACCAGGGAATCGTAGACAATTATCAGCCCACTCGCAAGCCAGCACCTCCATGCGATTATGACTGGAAAGCCTCACATTGGGCGAACCGAAGCACGAGAGAATTACAGGATATCTGTCAAAGAAGAGGAACACAACTGAGCGGCTCGAAAGCATCAATGATCAAGTATCTCGAGACAGGCGTTATAGATTACGAGAATTTGTATAATGCTTCTCTGGAGGGGATGTGTACGCAGAGGGGAATCAAATATAAATGGAACGAGACAAGACTGGATCTCGCGGGGAAACTTAGGGAGACGGATGACAAGGAATTAGTTTATAGAGATTTAGGAGTCACGGCGCTGAGGAAAATGTGTAAGGAGCGTGGGGTTGGGGTTAAGGCATCAGAATCGAAACAGGAGTTGGTGACTAGGCTTAGGGAGGCGGATGAGAATGCTGGTGGGGGCTAAGATGAGAAGTCTGACGAGGACTTTGCCTCATTGTACTGGATGGAATATAGGTTTGGTTAATGTGCTAGCTACTTTTGTAGATAGGAAAGATCTTACTAGTGATAATTGATGATTGATAATAGTTAGAATATTGTATGAATTTGCACAGCAAAAACTATAACTATAACACTGATATTCAAAATTTATATTTTAAAAACACTATTCTTCTTATCTGATCTACAACTTTTAAATTCACTTACACTAATTACTATACTCTTCCTTCAATAATCACACTAAAACCTTTCATAAAAACATTTCCCTCAAATCAACCCCAAAACTACCTAGGTAATGTAATAACAAAAACTTATTACTTATCAAAACTTATCAATCCCTTTCTTCCCTCAAAAATCCATAATATAGATCTCCGTGATAGAACTGTCACACCGGGTCTAGTAGACACGTATACCATACCTATATCTTCCTTCCTTCACCACGGAGATGAGACAGATTCACTGTATCTATATCAAGAACGCGACGAATATCTCATCGCCCGGCCCTCGCGCAACGAATAATTGTCGTTTAGCTCTTCTAATCGGCTATACTATACCATGTACGAGTACCGCAATCTTGGAAATTGGTGTTGAACTTGAAGGATGCTATAATGTAATGTAATGTCGATATTGGAGTTTGGGACTCTATAAAATGCGATAAAATGAATCATAGACTTATTCTATATACTTTATTCTATGATTCTGCCGGTGGGTTGTATATTGTGATTAGACGCTTAAAAGGCTTTAGCGAGTGCGCTAGTGCCTGTGCGTTCGCTAGGCGTTGTCTGGCTTCACATGAAGTTATCGCTGGTCGGATTAAAGCATCTAATTTAGAGTCTGCACCGAATGAAACGTACGTTTGAACCCCTAATTTCAAAGTACTAATGATGGATAAATGATTCTCATGATTACAACAATATCAAATCAAATGTACCATGAGTGATACAGTATGAGAAAATATTGAATATCTAAAGACTCCATAACCTGCCACTCCCCTCCACAACCAGCACATCCCCCGCCAACGCAAAACTCGCAATTTCAATCCCCGGTTCTCCCACCGGATCATCTAGAAACACCTCCGCATTAAACAAACCCAACACTTTTCCTGCATCATTCCTCACCACAATCCCTTCACTCTCAGCCGTCCATATCCTATTTTTATCATCTACATAAATACCATCCGGAATACCCGTTCTCGAAATCCCTACTAGTCTTTTGTTGATTGGAAACATGTTTTCGTCGAGATCAAATTTGTAGATCGCATTAGAGCCAGGGTTATTTGCGCCAGAATCAGTGGTTGTTATCGGAGTCGTATCTGTAATGTATAGAGTATCCATAGCGGCATTAACGTTAATTCCATTAGGTACTAATATATCAGCGCGAGAAACAACGGGAACGAGCGATTTTGTCGTAGGAGAGAAACGCCAGACGGCGTCTGGGAGGACGGCTGGGAATTCTCCATCATAGAGAGAGGACAGGGGATCATCGGTGAAAAATAGGTATGGAGTTCCATTATGATTTACCCATGTGAGATCATTGGGGCCGTTAAATGGGATGCCGAAATAGGAATTTATGATGATTTCTGTGTAGCCTGTGGTAGGATCTATAGCGTAAATTGCAGGGGAAACGGTGGCGTTCCCGTCACTAGCAAAGTAGACGCGGTGGTTGAAGTATGTGCCTCCGTTAGGATTAATGATTGGAATACTAGTGTTCGGGGTAGATATTTCGGATTTATTGAGGTTGAGAATGGAGATCGTGGTGCTATCGTTTATGGATGAACTTGTGAACCAGACTTCATTGCGATCGGGTACCCAGATACCGGCTTCGTTAGAAAATGAGTAGTTACGTTAAGCAACTAGAGTCGCCGTGGGATTTGTACTGAGAAGTGTCAGGAATTCAGCATCGTAGGATATGAATGCGGCGGACTTGGCGGAGGTGAGTAGGGTTGACACGCTTGAGTTGCTGGTTTGTGTGTCGACGAAGTTTTGTGTGATGTTCCCTTCATAATCAGGAAGTATCAAGTAAGTCAGTTCTGGATCTATAGAAATGGTTGTATTGAGTGAAAGGTTGAATGTCGCTTGGGTTTTAGCGAAGCATGCATAAACACAGAAAACAATAAGTGAATAAAGCACCATTATTTCAGTTTCAATTGAATCAGTAATGATGAATGAATATGAATATCGAATACTACAAAAGATAGTTTCGACCTTAACGGAGTATCTAAATACTTTTCGGAAGCTTTTGAATTATGCGAAACTAGTACCGAAAAGGGTATGAAGCTCGCAGTCTGACATCTCGACTGGAAAATGTCAGATGCGAAGCAATTACTCACTGTGACAAGCTCGTAGTGAAAACCGAACATAAATATACCTCCTTTTGCTTGTTCGTTATTAACGTGGACATTCTACTTAGCATTTCTAGACCTTGCTTGGAGCGAGATGTCTGCTTCCAAAAGTGCATTAGTCTAACTGGCTTTGCCTCTTCATGTGCTCTATCAACCACAATTTCTAAATGCTACTCAAGTCTTATTCAATATACAAGTCTAGTTATAAGCGACTTTGAGTAGGTTGACGAAAATCAGAATAGTCACTTCAAATCAAAGCTGTTTCCTCCAGTCCAGACGATGTATCGAGTACTTGGAGATGTGAAACATGACGTTCACGGCGGGGGAAGGTGCATGTGACGGTGCTGTACACCTCCCACAGTCAAGCCTACTTGGGACCGAGAATTGTTTATCGTCGACATCGCATCCGTGAACCGACCTCTTCTTCTATAAATATTGTGCAATACAAGAGCATAATCATGTTTGCCATGATTAAAAGGTGCTGGCCTATCTTGATGATTATCATGGAAGGTTATCGCAATAAAATTCATAATGGGGCTAGTTTGGAAAGGATATCTACCGTACACTTTTGGCAAATTCGGTGACGCTATACAATAATGCTTATTCTTGGTATGGGGAAAACTGGATAAAACCCTGTACACTATAGCCTGAAATAGTATAGTTATAAATCAGCTAAAGAGATCCTACCAATAGAAACTTAAAACTAAGATCTGTCAAGTTAACCTTAAATCTTTATCCTTGCATACCGTCACCGAAATTACCAAAATTATACGGTATCTGATTGCCACTCTGTATTACAAAATTGACAGTGCTTACGATTCTCCGGTGATCGGTCTGCCGGGAGTTGGTAGTGAAGTCACGGGCATATGTGACTATGACGATTAGCCTGAACCCAGACGAGGATCGCTTCTTAGTTAGCGCACCTACTAACCGTAGGCTTCCTAGCCCCCCTCTCTAGCTTTAAACTAACTCACACACCCATACACCGGCACAGCCAAGCACCAATCACCTATTGGGGCTAAATTGTTGATGAGTCATTACTCGGGAGAAGCTAGGGGGGACGCTTGTAGGTCTATGACTATATAGTCTCGTCTCAACCTCTCACGGGTTCAATTTCTTCAATCATACAACAAACAGCCCGTGAATGAGCGAGCATCTTATTCTACCAAACTACTTGCGACAAGACAACAGATAGAACTTCTCATTCTCACTTTTCCAGACTTTGTTCATCTCCTCTCTCATCCTACCAAAATGTTTGCAACAATGCAACACGTCTACATGTCTGTTTTCAACGGCAAATCCCTTAGATTTTATCTTCCCATCATACCGTCTGTCATCATCTTCGCGGTATTAGCTACCTGGATGACCTTCCACGAAATCCCTCCCCACTCGATCTGGCTCATGATTCTCTGGGTCTGTCCACTTATCATCGCTCCCATATACAGCTTCATTATGCTTAGAGCACTTAAACATCAGAAGTTCCAGAAGACCAAATCAACGATCCTACAGCATTGCAATGCGAGACCAGATCAACCGTGTTGTTTGTGCCTCTACTGTGACACTGTTACGCGGCTGGATTATCCATCTTATAATCGAAGGAATATACTTCAACTGGGAGCCGTTGAGAGAGAAAGGTTGTCAGGCTTGGGAACTCTTGATGGTGATATGCATTAGCTGTATTGGCATATGCCATCTCCTTTTGGTTTCGTTTGCCACTTGGAATGCAATCTTTTCTAGCAACCTGGAGGACCTGTATGACTCTAAAGCAACCAACGGAGAAAGAACGGAGTTGAGTAACTACAGGAAGATTGAAGAAGTTTGAGGAATAATGGACCTCATTGTGCTATGAGAATGGTGGGGTATCAATGACTAGCGACAGGAGTAAGAGTGCTTCTTCCTTCTGAATGTCAGGGGGCACGAGACCACCCAGCACCTTCCACTCCATTAGTATCACTCTCGTAATCAATTAACTATAAAAAAAAGAATCTCACCTTCCTGTCTTTTCTTATCTTATTGACATCTCATATCTCACCATCTCACATCTCATCACCTCAAATCCGCGCTCATTAATCAAGAACTGCCTTTTCAACGATCGGATCGTTCTTCTCTTACTTCGATTCGAATACACAAACAAAAAACAACATGAGTCCGTCTAACAAATTGTCTTTATGGTCTTCCTATACGATCATCCCGTCTCTCGCCACTTTCATAAGAACTTTGCGAGGTTTCATCATTGGAGGACCTGCCCCTGATAGCATAAAACTTTCTCTGGCTTCTCCCAAATGTTATAACTCTTGTTTACAATTCTGCCATTTATATGTTCCTCAACCTTTACTATACAAACGATCACATTAAAGCATTCCCTAGAATCCGATACGTCTATCGAAATGTTCTACATAAGATACTCTGCGCATCAAACCGGACTCTGATCCTAAGTTTCATCTACAACTCTAACGCCCTCCTCTTCCTCCTTGTGTACTATACAAACGACCACATCAAAACTTTCCCCAGCATCCGCCACGTTTACAGACTTGTGTTACGAAAGGTACACTGTGTGTCGGATTTGACTCTGATACTGAGTTTCATCTACTACGCCTGCTTCCAGGTTATTGTAAAGATCATCCAACCGATGACCCAATCCGATGTTATTGACAGCTGGACTGTCTTTGGATTTACTTTTATCCTCATGTCTGGAGTATTCTTCAAAGTGAGGATGGTAATTTGGGCAGCTAGTGGGCTTCGAGATTACGAGATCTATAAGAATGGTGGGACCACTGTTTCGACGAATTCAGTTGTTGGAAAGGAATGTCGGAGATGGAGGATATCATGTCGAAACTGAACAGTACAGCGACTCGGTCGATATATATGGAAAGCAGTATATGGGTTGATAAATGTATATGATGAGATGGCCAGTGGGACAGATTAATATCGCTTCAAAGTCTCTTCTCTGGTGGAAGTATAGTATCAAAGTAATTAAGGTTATTAAGCTGTAGAATCGATTCTTGGGGATGCTGCAACTTTTGAAGCCGATGGATGAACCTAAGTATAATGAAATGAGGCTATATATAATAGCAATAATAATTGAACAAAATTAGAGAATGTTGAGCGAGATCAGGGTATCTAATAGTTCAGACTACAATCCAATAATATAAAAGATTCTCAATTCTTGAATTTACCTTGAATATTCAAACTATTTCAATCATTGAATATATTTGGAATAATGAATTACTTAAAATGATTCAATTGTTTTCAAAAATTGAAAGTCTTTTGAATATTGGAATTTCTGTAATCAAACTATGGTCCAGATTATTGAATACCCTGACTATATTCCTGTAACATCTATCTATACATAGGTAGTACAATAGTACTGTAATACTATAGCACCCACCACAATACTAACAAACTCAGAAATCCACCCTGAAAACCATTCACCCATCTTCCCCCAAGCTCCCCAGAAACCATATACATACTAGTAGTAGTAATTTCAGGCTATTCTCGTAACCCACGATACAGGTTATTGGGTATACGGTATACTAGTAGAGCATTATCATTCCCTTTCCCATTCCCATTCCTTTCCACCTATCCATCAACCGACCAATCCAATCCATCAATCCACCTTGATATTCGAGTATAACCAACCCACTTGCACTTACACTAGCACTTGCACCCAACAGAAAATAAAGTACCGGTATATATACCACTCATCAACAAATCCAACACAGACACAATACTCTCGATTCAAAATAACTAGATCCTTTAACATCTAGAAGCAGAATCTCTTCACTCGAAAGAATTTTGAAAACCCGATGCTGAAGCTGGGCTGCTGGGTAGTGAAAGCAGTTGATAACTAGATAGAGATGAGGATTTAGAATTGGATTTAGATCGTCTGAAGACTTAGAGAAGAAAGGAATTTGAGCTTGGATTTTCTGACTGTAGATACAGTGCAGGTCTATGAGATGAGTTCTTATCAGATGTTTCCATTCGATTGTGTGGGATTGTGCTTGGTGTTGTGAATGTGAGGGGGTCTCGTATGAAGTATCTTCGTACTTGAATCCAAATCGCAAACTCGATACTCATCACCGAACATCTAGGTATACACACACCTCTAGAAAATTAGATATCCATTCATTACTCATATATTAACATCTAGACCCCCGTGAGCCTCCATTTATCCTTCATTCTCCACATCCATTATCTCGCCCTTGCACCTCCCGGGAAACTTCTCGCACTAAGTAGAACCCCCTTCACTCCCCTAATCTCCCTCTTGACCTTAGCAATCTCATCTTCTCCCCCCTTATCATTTCCATTTCCACTTCTATCCCCTGAATTCCCATAACCTCCCGACCCATACCCAAACGTCGGTGTTGAAAATACCAGCCCTTGTAGATATTCCTTCAATATACTCATTTTCGTTTCGAGCTCTTCTGTTGTGGACGATTCGTACGATGAATCTTCTAATAATGAAGCCAATGTACTCTGCAGAGTTGTGAGACGCGATGTCTGTATCAATGTTGTATTTGTCGCGGTATTCCCGTGGGATATTGAGGAGAGCGAACTGGGTGTTTGCATAGGAGATGAGGGGGGAGATGTTTGAACGCCGATGTCGCGGTGGAAAAGCTCGGTCGGATCACCGGTTGAGGAGCTAGAATCTGAGTCGAGGTATTCGGACTGTAAGGGTTTGTGGTGGTGGGTGGTAGGAGGGATTTCGGAGACGGAATTCTCGAGTTTGTGAATCAACTTTTGGAGGTTGTTGAGGGTGGCGGAGGATAGGGAGAGCCGGGATTCGGTGAGAGTGTCGAGCATGGGCCGGATGAGAAATGTGTTTGTGCCGTGAAGAAGGAAGCTGAGGGAGCCGAAAAGGTAAAGGGTGGTGAGGAGGCGGTGTTTGGTGATTAGAGGAGTGGAAGAGGTGGATGGTTGAACCAAGAATTCGGGATAAGTTATTATAGGCGGTTGATCGCGAGATGCTTGTGTATAGTCTGCTCGAGTGGATGGAGGTGAAGATCGTGGGATTGGTTGAGGTTGAGGTGAAGGTTGAGGTTGTTGTTTTGGTTCGGGTGTTGATTTAACCTCGAAGGTTGAAGTGTTTGATGCTTCATCTTTCCGCGACACACCTAATAGTTCTTGTATATCATTCTCATCAAGACCTTTGCTCTCCAAGAAAGCGACCTTCTTATCTGTGGATGCATCTTTTACTTCATCTTCATCCAAGAACTTCCTCGCCTGCTCGAGTACTGTTGTCTTATTTGGTGCTTCAAGGGGTTCTTCCAATGAATCACTGGGCTTTTCTTCTTCCTTTTTCAGCTGCCATGCAGGCACACCTGGCTTTTCGGGTTTGTCGTCAGAATCACTCATTTTGTTGAGTGTTTTTTGCTGAAGAAAATTCTTCGACAATCAAAGGTAGCTCTCCAAGCTCTGGTATGATAGATTGTCGGTGTCAATATTTAGATGTGCCTCGGCATTGAAAGCTTGATGACATAATCTTGACTAGGGACTTTGATTGGGTCCAGATTATTCAGGATTCAGTGTAGTGACCGACATCAAAGTATCAAAGATTCAATATTATCGCAAATATATCTTCATCCTTCTGATTCTGATTTTGAATATTGCATTCTCACTCTTCTCGTCCAATACGATCTATTTAATCTGATCGTATTTCTCAGCAGCCATCATCAATCTGTGCCACAATCTAATCCAATCTAACCTTTCATACACATTGTCAAACGCCGAGACCTACGAATAAGGACCAACATACATTACGAAGTGGGTATCGAGGAGTATCAAAATGTCAGGAAAACCTGAGCGACCCAGTAAGCGCGTACGAAAACTCAGTACTGATTCTGAGGGCGATGGGGAAATTGATTGGACTGATCGTCGTGGAAAATCTGGTAAGGCTGAGCCAGCCACAAACAAGACCGAGTAAGTCTTTGAACATCTTCAGAAATTTCATTATTCAGATTATACTGCGTCGATCCCCCTGTTTGCTCCTATGTACCATGTTACAGCACGCGAATCTCCGTAATTAAGCGTTACCTTTACCCATTCGCTCTATTCCTAGTTTTGATTTTAGCCCTCGTGTTTTTTTATGATAATCATATCTTGTCATCGTCGTACAAACAAGGGGCAAGAGATGAAGCATCTAGAGAATGAGCCGTATTAGCTACGTGGTTGGTCAGTCATAGAAAGACAGGATTTGGCGGTTGTGTGAAGTCAAGCGCGTTTATATATGCAACGCGCCTGTAACCACCTGTCATTCTCCGCAATTCTGTCTTATCGAGGCAGTGACCCGGCCCTTGCCAGCTGATTCACCATCCAATCCTGCTTAGACCACACCATATCTTATTGGTATTTTTGTTGTATCATCAACAACCTCAAAGAACCATTGTGGATCAAGGAATCCATCAAGATCAACAATTTCACATAGTCCCCTTCACTTTGTTCACCTTGCATTTGATTGCGGTGTAAGAGCAAGATGTCTACACGTCGCAGTCAGCGGTCGGCAGCTGCCAAGGCAAAAAATGTAATTATTGTCTCTGAACAAATATCTCCTAGGTCATCGCGATCACGTCGCACGAATCCAGAGCCCGCCTCGTCTGCCACAGTATCACGTGGACCGGCACCACCACAATCAACAAGCCCAGAGTCAATGCGTTTGACCGTCAAGACATCATCAAGCAAATTGAGAGAAGCTACAAGATCGAGCCCTGTTACTGGTCCATCGGTTATGGTCAATAGCAGAGATCAATTTGTGGGCGGCGAAATTCTCGAAGGCAAGAGAAGCAGGAAGGTTAGGAAGACCTATATTTTGGAGTCAGAGAGTGAGGAAGAGGACGAGGAAATGGAAGATGCTGAAGAAGATGATGATCCGGATGCAGAGGGCGAAGACGACGACCTAGATGCTGACGGAGATATTGATATGGATGCGCAGCCTACTCCACCTACTATCCAAGTTTCAAAGGCCCCAGCTGGAAAACCCAAGATCACTGTGAAGGAACCACCCGCGATCCCTACTGTCAATGTTGAGCAAAGAGAGATGGGACTTAGTGATGATGATGACGATGAACTCAGTGAACTCGACAGCGACTTGGGAGAGGAAATAGAAGAGGAAGAAGCAATGCAGAGTGGAAATGATGAAGATGCAGAAGGCGAAGATGAAGAGATTGAAGTGGCTGTGGAAGAAGACGAGGAACTAGATAGTGATGATGAGGCTCCTGCAAATGAAAGTAGAGCTTCTACACCCGATCTCAACAAATTGACGAGGAGACAAAGAGCAAGATTCGATGATGCAGCTAGTGGATATCTCATGGCCCTCCCTGATGGTAATATGTTTCATCCTTGCTCGTGATCATGCGCTAAAGTCTAACTTAGAGGTTCAAGTTAAGAAGCATCTCACAGCTGAAGAGCATGCTATGAGACGTGCTGAAATGGCAAGAAGAAGAAAGAATCTTAGTGAAAAGCGGAATGAAGAGGAGAAGGTAACAAATTTCTTTCCAGCCTACCACTAGCCAGTCCTTTCGCATTGTAATCTCGAATGGCTGACAAAAACCTTAGATGGAAACTATCAACAAACTTCTCAAGAAGCAAGCACCCAAGACCAATGCTCGCCGAAGAGATCTCAATGGCCCAGTTGTTGATGCAACTCCGGAAGGAGAACCCCAGAAGCCGCACCCGCTCTTTGTACGATGGGTTAGCAACAAAGACGGGAATAGGATCGGTGTACCAGAAGAGTGGATGGAAGGTCCTGTTGGTGCCTTGTTCCAAGGTGGGGTGAAGGCTGATGGAAATGGTTTGGGTGGTAAATTGATCCAGGAAGTCTCTTGAAAAATTGGAGCTTTGTCGTGTATATTAGCAATACAAGCAGCGTACTTTAGGGTCTCATAGATGGTAGAGTTTAATTCATTCGCATTTCTTCAGATCGAAGCTAGTGTTTTGATTACTCTTTCATTCATCTGTTTATCTCGAGACTGACATATTGATCTGGGGAAAAAAGCCTTCACATCTGACCAACGAAAATAATGCCCGCCTCTCATTGACTCACTCTTCTTCATTCAACTCCCCGAGTATAGGGGACCCCTCACGATCTCTCAACTCGCTTCCAACACCAACACCATCACCACCTTCTAGTGCATCATAAACAACAACCAAACGATCCCTCCACCCCCTCTCACACATCATTTGTAAGAGCCTATCCACAGCAACTCTAGGCCCACAGATGGTATCATACCAATCATCTTCAATACCCTGACCAATCTCCCATCGGACGGCAATACTTTTTACCATGCAGTTCGAAGGAATATATTCACGATTATGTCTCTGGCTGCGAATGGCGGCTACTATGTCGGCGTATGTATTGGATAGGCGGATGGGAAGGATTTCTATGTGCAGGAGTTTGGTGCTGAAAATGGGTTTGTATCTGTGGGTGGGTTTGAGGTCGGTGAGGCGATATTCGATTAGGATGGTGTGGTGGGGGTTTGTGGTTGTTGAGAGGATTGGGACGGTGGGGATGGTTGGGTTCGTATTGGTAGAGATCGAGTTCTGTCTTCTTGTGCTTGCTGCGGTGTCTCGGGAATTTCATCTGTGTCGGATGATCGAGTATCACTGGTGTCTGACATATCTGCCGCTCAATGCTTATTGACCGTTGGAATTGCGATGAGAGAGTTAAGGTTTTGTGGGTCAGTTTCTGTGAGGTGATTTTCCTATTGCTATTGGAGTTGGAATTGTTGCTCTTTGTAGGTTGGGTGGTGATTGATGTTGTTGAAGCTTTAAGAAAATCTAAGTCAATTATCTATGCCTTTATAAAAATATAGAATCAATTGTTTGGAAAGAAGTATTATTTCTTTTGTATTAGCAAAAGCATGGATAACGGAAAGCTACTTTTAGTGAAGAAAAGTAAAGAAAAAATAAAAATAAATGAAACAAGAAAAAGAAAGAAACGGTTTTGAAATACACCATCCCGATAGCATAGGCAAACAAAATAGAGGTAATGTACCCCTGAGTAAACGAACACAATACTGCTTATGATATGATACTGAATCCTGCACATAATCCCAGTCCAATATATAATCTTTTCTACTCTAATAAAGGATTGATTTTAATATACTTCTATCTCTCTAAAAGAGAACACCTGGGGTGACGCAGCTCACTCATCACAGATTCGGTAAATGAAGTTGAGGTTGGGATCACCGCGAACCTATAGAAGCTAGGTAAATGATTGGGGCGGATTGAACTTTGCGGATGAGATGACTTGCGATCTCAATCTCAATCTCGATTACAAAATGAGTTGTTTTTGTAGATCGGGTCGGTTTGACGCCATATCATATGTATCAGTTGACACGATGTTCGAGAACGATGTGTCGAAGTCAATATAAGTGGATGGAGATTATCTATATATGGGTGAAGAGGGTTCATGTGTGGCTCGGGGAATTGGAGACTGAAAGTCATGTTGAAAATTATTGTTCACTATGTATATCGAAGGATTTAGTTTGTAGGATTGGCAGTGGTTCTTCGCGAACAAAGGTCGATAGTTTCACTCAACCTCAATGGGCGTTTAATTTGCTATCTATATTCAATAATCGCACATCGTTGGATACTGCTTGAAGATATTTTAATTCCCTGTCATATTCCAAATAAGCCACGCAACCATAGCCATCCCATGCATCTCTACACAGCTTCTCCATCGGCATTCGTCTTAAACTGGATTCTTAAAAATCTATCGTCTTACATCTTGTTTTCATTATAGCCACACCGATATAATGCATTTCACAACGCCAAGTTTTTATGTGACGTCACGATGTTAGTTTCCTCCATACTCCTCAGACGACCCTTTAGACGATGTCTAGTATACCTGCCATCGCATATCTAGACATAAGTGAGATTAATAACCACTATTATCAAGTCACTAGAGACGCTTTTTGAAAAGAAAACATAAAGGTCGCTGCAAGATCCTCTATCACTTCCTGAATTATGCTTGGCTAGCAAAATAGTAAGGTAACAAGTCTAATTCCATCTAATTATCTTCCCAATCATCTACTCTGATCCTCAAATACACTGGCTTCTTCGTTGAATGTGTATAATTCCGAAATATTATTAGACTCGTTATTCGTGATGTTGTATTTCCATCTTTGATTAGTTCTTTATATTACTCGGCAAATAAATAAGAAGAGATAGGAGGTTAAGAGTGGGCATACTACTCGTAGTGCTATAACGATTTGAGAGCAGAGTAGCTCAGATTCGGCAAGCATAGCAATTGATGACTATGCGCCGTGACTGTGGATCATAATACTAATATCCGTTGTTTGTCCGGAGGAATTCTGTTTGCCAGTGAGACCGATACCGTGACAACGAGTACAGTATAAGGGGCTCAGTACTCGGACGTTGCTGCGCCGAAATTTAGATATCTGAGGAACTAGAGATGATTGGATTATATCTCATAGAGCTGAGGTAATATTTTTAGTGTCTAAAATGGAGCATAAAGTCAAATAGATACAGATCTTGAAGATTTCATAAAATTCTCGAGAGTGTGCGGTCAAACGAGTGATAACCATGGTCACGCTTCTGTCACGGTAGGGAGAATACTACGAATACAACCATGTAATGGTAGAGGAAGAGAAGAAATAGCTTTCTGCTCATTCTTAAGTCGATTAATAATTCATAAATTTCAAAAGGGAAGAATATAGCTCGCGATCTAACTGTCTGACAGTAGAAAGTTCAATGATATTATGCGGTCACTGCCCGGTAATAGCCATGCCACATAGTTTTATTTTTGCAGAAGCAATGAAGAACGAGTTCTATATTTATTTATTGTATGATACACAAGTGCTTCTATGAATATCCGCTGTAAAAGTTCCCGTGAACCTCTTGATGGGAATTTTCCATCATATGATCCGCTTGAATGGGTTATACAGCCGTATAGGCAGATCCTCGAAATGTATGTACAAGCAAACCAACCCAGACCTTCGTATCCAACTATATTAAGAGCTACCCTCTAGTTGAAACTTGCAAGGATAGGAATATTTGACTTTTGAATCCGAGAAATAGAGTTGGATACCGAAAGTAGTGCGGTGATGAAATGTCCTAGAACGAAGCAAACAGCGCCAGCTACATTTCATAAGTTGGATAATCCACCACCGGTTTTATGGTATAGTCAACCGATATATTGACAAATTGTTTATAATCCACGTCCGTTTGATTCTTGCCGCTCACCAATTCATTCTCAAGAGTCGTCGACGCTCTCCAGACAGAGGGCATACACCAGTGAGCGGGCCTACTCGCGCTAGTATCGTAGAAAAGTCCTCTCTCCTCATCATCATCATCCGCACGTTTCTCCATCCACCAAATCGTCCAATTCTGGTTCGACCACCACAATTTCTGTCGCATCTGGCGAATTGCGCCCCTCCAACTTTTAGAGTTCTGTATCAAGGTTACCGATGACATCTTATCGAGGTTATCCATTCCACTTCGAACAGCATTCAATTGCGCTCCATTGTCCCATGTAACAATGAGTTTTGTCGGTTCGAGATTCTCAGGCATGCCCGCCTCACGAGCATCTTCCTCTGCACGATCGAGAAATGCATGGAGGTTGTCTTCTCCTGGTGCGTCGGTAAACTCGATGGTCGTGGTGATGATATGGTCGGAAGCTTTCTGGAAATGGAGTATTTCGCGGGTGAGAGGTCCTGCGATCATTGGATCTTTTGATCTTGAGCCTATACCGCCAGACATTGGGTGTTTTTCCTTAATTTGCTCAACTGCAATGGATTTGACTCCATAATTAGGTTGCGTTTTATCTCGACAATTGCGACAACGTTTGTGATTTCGGATCTTGCGCTCCGTGATCGATTCGCTGTCTATTGATTCATCGTCGCTAGAAGGTGGTTTGAATGTAGAAGCTTGATTGCCTTCTGACTTAAAGGTTATTTTCATCTTTGGTCTGATCGATCTGAAAAGAGTCTGTTCATTGGAAAACGGTGCATTACCGGGCGGAGGAAGCGAAGTATTGGCTAGTTGAGGAGTGGGTGGACAAGGGGGATCAGGAAGTATTATCCTGTCTTCATTTTCATCAGACGCCTCACGATTAGCCGGTCGAAGAGACAGTGGTGGTGGCTGAGGAGGCCTATCACTACTTGATCGGTATGGCGGAAGTGACCTATTCGGCGGTCGAAGAAAACGCAAAGAAGGAATGTCAAGAGCCGCCCTACGAGGTGCATTAGAAGGTGCTTCAAAAGCATTTTGTCGTGGTGGAGATATCGATTTCCATCTCATTTCTGAGACACTTGGAGAGGGTATCTGAAAAACAGCCTTTTGGGTTGGTGACTCGGATCTATTTTGTTTCTTGAAAGGGTGCTCGGAAGTCGATTCAGTATCTATATGATGTTCCCCTAATTTGGGCGACTGGGACCTCTTCTGACTTGGCATCATTCCCAGAACGGAGAATTGGACCTCAAATTCGATGAAGTGGATTGGAGAAGCAAGGATTGGGATTGTGAAAAAAATAGAGTGGGTTATTGAAATAATGTGACCTTATCCAGATCGTCACTTTGGATATCCGAGAAGGCAAAGGTGATAGTAAAATTGATACTTTAATTGCTATTGAGACCGAAAAGAATAAGAAGTGGAATCAAGATGGTTGCTAGAGGTGAGAAGAGTAGTCGGTAACAATGATCCGAACTGTTAGTGGAAGCAAGAGCGATCCTCTAAACGGGAAAGAAGAAAGGGGTTGCTTGCTTTACTTAGTCGAAAAAAATGTTTAAAATTGCTTCTTGAAAATGGTGAAGGGAAACTCGTTGCTCAAATCTTACTCAGTCACAGTGATGAAAGTAATGAGATAATCTCATAGGTCCACATATATCAGCGTCCCAGGGGATGAAAAATAACCTGGAAGGTACGATCTCACTCCACCGTTACTCCCATATTCCTTCCAAAAACTTCGAAAACACTTAATATTCTGATTAATAAGCACCAGCCAACTATCTCTATAGCTCATCCAGCTCTCACAACAATAATTTTGGCAATAAACATTCTTTTCACACATCTCCATATCCTCATCAGATACTAAATATACTTATCAAAGTATCTCAGCTAATTTAACAAGTCAAATCATATATATTCCCACATCCTCCTGAGCTCAATTTGCCTTTCCTTGTCGGACATCAATACCATCGCTTCAAACCGCCTGTACTGATATAGGAAGTCCCGTGGTGAGTCCAATATGCACTTTATACTTGAACCTCCACCTATACGCGTCGAAGCGCTATTGATGTATACGCGGATGGATTGGAACATCTAATTCCGGTTGAATATCCAACTTTGTTTCTATATCTTAGTGGATCTGGATATCTGACAGTGTTTTCATGTCAGTTAATCTCAAAGTTTTTCCGTATTTTCGATGCTCAACTCTGTTTGGATGGTCAACTATTCTTGATTATCCAACTCCATTTGAATGCTATTCGTGGCTCTCCTAATTAATCGACAGTTACCAAGTCTCCCTCACCATCCTCCTAGCCGATTGATATAAATACACAACAAGCTCATACTTTCGACAAAAAAGATGGTTCGGAAACGAGCGAGGCGGGGTAAGCCTGTTCTACAGCCTTCCACCAACAGGATGAGATTGCCTGATCCTCCAATGGCGATGCCGACATCTTCATTTGCCGCCGAACCAAACGATGCAGCATTTCTACCACTCAAGGACATCAAGCTGGAGGACATCAAACTCGAGGACATCAAACCCAAGGACATCAAACCCGAGGACATCAAATTCGAGTATCGCTTATCGAATCGTATTACTGCAATTTTCAGCGTCTCGATCGACTATCCCCCATACAACGACGATGGTCCATGGACTGACTTCAGTCATACGCGGTGGCAGCCAATTTGGCACTGCTGCATTCAGATCGAAACACGCCAATTGACTACTCCTTCATTGTCGAAACGCTTATTCGACGCAATTGTGTCCGCAAAACCACATTTGGCTACGCCCTTCGAGTTCCAGCGCCTTGACATAAGACTCACAAGAGCAACCAGCCACATGGGAATTCAGGCGAAACTGATTGATTCATGGAGGTTCAACAAGGACTGGCAAGATTTGAACCGAAATCAGATATTACACCACAACGTGCCTCTGACCACTGTGCAGAAACAGCTCCCTTTATTATCCAAATCTAGCCTGGCGCACCTGGTGTCCTGGAAATTTGAGATAAAAGAACCTCATTTCCGTAAACTACTGCCAGTATTTGGATTGCTTAGTAGCTTGAATATGCGCCTGGCAAAAATTGAAATAACGCTGCTCCGAGAACACATTCATGAGTGTCTGGCTTTCAAAGAAAAGGACCTTCAAGAATCAGCGAATCTTACCAATTCCGATGCGAGTGCTGCGCAATTGCAATTGCAAAATACTTCGGACTATGTCACCACCGCAAATGATGGGGTTTATCCTATTTTGTGGAGAGAGGAATGTAGACCGTATCTTGAGAGGGGGAGGATTGTAGTGTGGCTTCAAAATGTATGTAACATGGATCGGATGGAGAGTGGTATAGAGCTACATTGAGTTCTGACGACAGGCTGTCTTTGCGTCAAAGATATGGTAAGGATGCAGCGTTCATTGCGCCAATCTTGTATATAAGCATGATTTGTTTTTGCATCAGTGTGGACAGCATTGATACAGCGTTTGTGTGAAATTTTCTTTGGAAATTTGGATTGTGGTTCGTGAGTTGTATAAATGAGACAGAATTGATACATTGACACTAGGCTTTGTGAACCCCTTCATCGATGATAAGATATTGGAAATAAAGACCTTCGAATGAAGCAGTAATGAATGAATAAGGATCAATAACTAAGAGAGAACTGTGCATGAAAAGTAGCCTTTGATCGGCATGCTGCCTCTGTGCAACTTGCAGGATGGTTCTAGTCCAAGCAAGCAGCCAGTGTTTATTGGGGTGAAAGAAAACGGGGAAGATTTTGATGATAGGAGAGCCTTTCTATTTTCAATCAGTCTTGATCTTCTTATAGGAAGTAAGTATATTAAGTCTCTCAATTCCATGCTAGAGTTTGATAATCAGACTTAGTCCCTCTTTTCATATTCAAACCACATCTTTGCAACCGGGTGAGTGGAGGTTCAATACGAACATGTTTCAAGTCAAGAAAAGACTAATTTATCGGCATCGACACACTCTGTAATTTGATGAGATGATTTTAGCTAATATGAGGTGTATAGCAGTGATTTTTCCCCCACTACTACGAGATCTACCACGCTAAACTCATAACAAGTAGTTAACAATCATTTCAATATGATGCCAGTAGGATCCTCCAGGTCAACATCCTTGGGAAATACAAATGCATCCGAATTCCAAAGAACAATCCAAAGAATGTATCAACTTGTAGAGAATGCCGAGGCTTCACATGGTATGAGCTCAGGTGCAAATGAGAGCGTGAAAGCTTCTGATTCTGACGACGGTGCTGACAATCTACTTGAAGTGAGACATGATGTCACTCCCACAGGCGAACCTACCGGTGAGGCTCAGAGACAGGATATGCATGGTACTAGCAATTGCTTCCTGCACGAACTGGAATCTTCCGAGGCTGACCCATACCAACAACACCTTTAGGTTCCAACGCAAACCCTTCTGACAACACAACAGGCCTGGCGGATGCCATTGGAAAGCTCGCTGCCTTGATGGATGAGCTTCGCGTGACAGAAGATCATGACAAGACCATCAAACGAGCTGCCGCTGAAGTGGTTGATGGGAAACCTTCTTTCGCTGGTTTGATACATCTTCATCATAGTTCTGGATATGATGAAAAGCAGGATGTATGGCATAAGTAGCATTCCCCCCCATAAGTTCACTTGATCCTGCCACTTGTTATCAAGGTATCCAATAGTCCAGACTGCAGTCCAACAATAAGATATTCTTAATTCCTGAATATATTTCAATCATTCATCTGTTTGAAATGTTGAATTGCTTTAAATAATTCAATTGTTTTCAATGATTAAAAATATTTCGAACATTGGAATCGCTCTGATTGGACTACATTCCGGATTATTGGATACCCTGCTTGTTATACTCATCCACTGACAATCCAATCAACAGAAGGCATCACCCTCCACACCCATGACCGACCCTTCACCGTGCGCGTCCTAATGCAACACATCCAAACCGCCATCTCAAATCTTCATCCCGACAAAGACACCAAAGGTATTGAACTCACCAAAGTTTCTTTCGTTTGGGACAACAATGCGGACATCGGATGGAGACAATACCACATCCAGGGTCGTGGTGAGGCTGATGAAGCTAGCCAGGAGGATGCTCTTGTCAGCGATAGTCTGGAAGCGATGATGGCTAGGGGTGGCCAAGCTTACATCTATGTCAAGTATCGTCTTGATAAGGTTGAGCATGCGGAGTGGTGCGGACCTCGGATGGAGTAAGTGATGGCTGTTGTTTGCAGTATGTGATGGGAGGTTTGCTGAAGCTGCAACTGGGGTGAACACAGTAGTCTTTGATGAGTGATTGCCTATCTGAAGAGTTTGCAGCAGGTATTGTTGCTGAATGCCTTATTGTACATGTTCTGCTGAGACGTGACAGGCGAGTTTGGCCCATGGTGAATTTAGTCAAAATGTGTACAAATGGTGAGAAACCTCTTTGTAAAGAAAATGCAAGTAGTACCACAGCAAGAATCTACACTTGTATGCACGCACCACTTTCCGATTGGATACCATACCTACACAATGCGATCGTGTAGTTGTTCAACATATTCAAGATTGATGTGTATTTTGGCGAGGAAACCATAGGAGGCGGTGAAGAATCATAGCCAACATCATGGTTGCTTGATGGATCTATCAACTACGAGGATCTCTTGCAAACATGTAGCGATTCATTGATCCATGAATAATCAATCTAACACAAATCTCTCTGAATTTGAGTTGATCATCAATAGAAGTTCGGAAACGGTGGTCACCGCAACTAATACTCGAGTAATTTTGGCAGTAGCAAAACTCGGTAGAGACAAGATGATGCCAGTCTACGAAAAGCATCCAGATCTAAATTCAAACTTTTGAATTATCAGCATTGACAAATTAGTTTCAAATCTTCAAAAGTCTGAGCCGATGGTATGGGATGCCCGGCTAGCAATTTATGCCCGACTTATTAATCCACACCAGTTACCGACGGATTAATATTAATGCTTTCGAATTGAGAGGACCAGATCATAATGCTCCTTCTGTGTTGAGATCCGTGTCCCAAATTTGAGAAGCCACGAGTGTTAGGAAGGTGCCTTTTATTGTCGAAAAGACCCATCAAGTCCGAATTATTTTTCTTTCTCTTGTCAAACTGCAATCGGTTTCTTAACTTCTCAACTTCTCTTCTTCACTTGAAGCAAATCATTTGCACTTTTTGGTACCAAATTTTGAAGAACACATCCACATCAAAACAGATAAAACAAAAAAATGTACCACTCAGCACTCAAGTTGATGGCCCTCTTCCTTGCCTCGACCTTGGCCATCGTTCCTACACCACCAATCTTTCCATCAGCACTCCCGCAATCAACAATTGAGCCAGCTCTCACAGCAATTATTGCAGCGCAGGCGACTCAGCAAGCAAATTCGCCCGTTTCTGACGTGGGTGGTGAGGTGTTTAGCAGATTCGTTCAGATATGGCTCGAGAATATGGTAAGATATCACCGTCCTCGCATGCTTCGATCTACATATTCCTTTGGTAGTATCTATTGACTGACATATTCGGTTCAGGATCTCAAAGAAGCTACCAATGACCCCAATTTTCAATGGCTTACTGCACAAGGGATAACACTTACCAACTATTGGGGAGTGACGCATCCTTCTCAACCAAATTATTGTGCAGTTGTCGGAGGTGATACGTTCGGGATGGACGCAGATGAATTTGTTCAAATCCCCGCCAACATATCCACAGTGGTAGATTTGCTCGACACTAAAGGCATTTCTTGGGGTGAATACCAAGAAGATATACCATACGCTGGCTTCGAAGGTTGGAACTTCTCGAACACAGATCCATTTCAAGAGGATTACGTACGCAAACACAATCCACTGGTAATGTTTGATTCTGTTACCAGCAATGCCACTAGACTCAGCTTGATCAAGAGCTTCAAAATGTTTGAAGAAGATCTGGCGAATAAAACTCTACCACAATGGTCTTTTATTACACCAAATATGACGAACAATGGCCATGATACCAACGGCACAGTAGCTGGAAACTGGTCTCGCATGTTTCTTGAGCCTTTACTAAGTAACGACTATTTCATGAACAATACCTTAGTCGTGCTCACCTGGGATGAGAACAATGAAGACGACGAGGAGAACAAAATGTTCGGTATCCTTCTCGGTGGTGCCATTCCACCTGCTTTTAAGAACACTACCGATGATACATTCTACAACCACTATAGCATGATTTCCACCATACAACTTAACTGGGGACTCCCCTCTCTTGGTCGTTGGGACTGTGGTGCAAACGTCCTTGGGCTTGTCGCCAGCAAAGCAGGATTTGAGAACTATGCCGTCAACACGACTAAGTTACTTTTCAATTCCTCGTACCCGGGTCCTCTATCAACGGAACAATTCGATCCAGTTTGGCCATTGCCCGACACGAAAGCAAATTGTGGTTCAGGCCAGGGAGTGTTGAAAAAGATTGTTGACGGATGGGGTAAATCAGATGGTACATATAACTATACCGACTCGTATCCATATGATGATGTTAGCGGTGACAACACAGGAGGTGAAGCCAGCCCGGCAACGACGACAATTTTGCCAATTACAAGTCCTACAGCCGCGCCTTCGGCTGTCCCTACGAAGAAGTCAGAGGCTATGGACATTAAGTATGGTGGAGGTAGCTGCATGGCGTTGATGATGGGACTTGTATTTGTCGTGTTGATGGGTTGAAGGTTTTAAAAGTCGTTGGGGAAGACTTGTATCGATATGGGAAATTTTTGGTACTCCTGAGTCGAGTCGCAAGTTATCTTGAGTATCCATCTCACTTATGCAAGGCAGTCGATCCTTATTAGAAAGTATAATCTTTAGGTCTCGAAATACAATATCTGATTCACCTTGCCAGATGCTTCGCTTGCATTCAAATTGATCTACTGTACTTCACTCCAGTCGGCCATACCCTTAATACAAGTGAATGGATTAGATATACTCGAGTACTGTTGTAATATCAACGAGGAGCTTAAGGGAATGAAGTGAGTAAACCTGTTTTGATACTCTGATCTCATCCAAATCGCCGCTGTATAACAAACAAACAGTACCCTTTCCCCCTTGCAAGTCTTCGAAAACTATCACCACCATACATCGGACCAGATGGTAAGGGTGTCGAGCAGGAACAGAGTGTCTCAACGCACCAAATCACGAGAAAACGCCTTTATTGTGAAGAAGTGTGGAAAATGATTATATAGATTCATCTGACCTTGAGGAAGGGGTTACAATCTAGATTGATTGTTTCCGCAGGAACTATTGTCCGTAACATTTGCAGCGTGGGGGTTTTTGGGTTGTTGTCATCTGAAGCTTGGCTAGACGAGGATCTCCCGGATGTAACATAAAACCTATGGGAATATAATAAAGAATTTGACCAATCACAATACGATAATTATATGCATGCTTGATTGCATCACGATAAGTGGATAAAAATTATAATAATATATCAGCCACAGGTACCATAATATATTATCATATTATCAATCCTTACCTGTTTTATGCTTGTCATATCTTTAGATCCTCGAGGCCACAAATCAAGTTTGTCTATTTTCACATTGACTTGACTTCATTCGTACAAAAGCGTAAACAAGAATCTTGTCTCCACTAATACCGGGCACAACTCAAGCCCTTACCATGACCGCAATATATTACCAATTGTATCACCTACAACAGCTTGATGTTGAAGATTAAGAATATTCAAGATAGCTTCCTCGCAGGCCGTTTTCCATCCCTCCTCTAATTCGCAACTCAGCCAGCTCAGTCGACTCAATAACGATAAGATATCATCTTCGAAACGACTGGACAGGGGAGGGAGTTCATATACTGACAGGCGGCAACATTTACTTGAAGATTACGAAGAATTTGAGCTCGGTGATTATCCTGGTGGCACATCAGAAGACCAAGCTTCGAAATCGCATATAAGTGAGAGTAATAGAAGAAGGGCAAAAAAGAGAAAGAGACTCGAAGAGATAGACGAGATGAAGTTCTCACATAGTATACAGTTTAATGCTGTACCAGATTGGAGTAGTCACTACATTGCTTATAGCAATTTGAAGAAACTGTAGGTTTGGTCGCGAATTTTATTCATAATAATGCTGATAAATTCGTTTTTCGCAGAATTTACCAGCTTGAGAAAAATGCGCATCGACCCTCCACTGCCCCGGAGGACGTCGAGAACTCTCCTCTCATTCGACCGGCCGAAGACCTAGATACAATCTTTCGCAGAGCGCTGGACGCGGAACTGGAAAAAATATCCTCTTTCTATGAATTGAAGGAGCTGGAGATTTATGGCGAGGTATCAGAACTGCTGAAGGAGCAAGAGGAATTTGAGGCAGAGGTTCTGGAAAGCAATCAAACGGATGGACCGAATGGTTCAGATGGGAATGGCCGGCCAAGAGCATCTAGTAGCGATCGACCGCGCCAAAGTAGCATCTTCAGACCTTTTGTTCCAAAGGGAAGACGCCCAAGCACTGTAAGTCGGTCAATAGATGAAGGCGTGGAAGACAGTGACGATGATGATGATGAGAATACCGTGCTACGCAAGCCGTCCAGACCAAGCAACCAACGAAGCAAAAGCACTTTTTATGATTCAAACAATGGGGGTTCTGGAGCTGTAGAGGATATGCGTGCTTCAACGGAGGCTCTCAAGTCTGCACGACGCAACAGTCACAACTACGAGGATTATGCGGAGCAGGAATTCAATGCAATATACTCGTCCGGCATTACGTTGAAAAAGCGGGCCGTTGGTTTATATGTGTCACTGTGTGAATTGAAGTCTTTCGTTCAGCTTAACCAGACGGGTTTCAAGAAAGTTTGCAAGAAATTTGATAAAATATTGGACAGGAATTTGAAGTCAAAATACCTCCAGGATGTCGTAGCTCCGGCATACCCTTTCCGACCAGAAACGCTCAAACATATCGAGGAGAACATTTTCCGAATAGAGCGCATGTACTCCGATTTGGCAACTCATGGAGATGTCGACCAGGCAAAGAAGGAATTGCGATTACATCTACGAGAACATGTGGTTTGGGAAAGGAATACAGTCTGGAGGGAGATGATTGGTATCGAAAGGAAAGCTCAAGCCGCGAACATGGGTATTAGGAGAACTCTGCTCGGTGCGGATAGTGATCCATCCAAGGCTCGATTGCAAGGTGATGATGACGATATTACTGATATGAAGGAACTTTCAACACCAGTTGGGAGAGTAAAATGTCCGAGGTGGCTCTTCAGTTCGACAATGTTCACGTTGGTTGGAATTATTACTATCTTCATTTTACTACTGCTTATTCCAATCATGAAGAAACCAGAACAGCAAAATTGTTTAGCGATGTTGATATTTGTCAGTTTGCTCTGGGCTACTGAGGTAAGGAACCCCCTGAAAAGTCTTAAAGCAACTTCTTAATTCTTGTCTAGGTTATACCTCTCTTCGTTACATCCCTTATGATTCCATTTCTCTGTGTACTTCTAGGAGTGGTCCGCTCTGATGATAAACCTCATCACAGGTTGGAAGCTCCAGCTGCGGCAAAATATATCTTTTCCGCAATGTGGACTCCAGTCATTATGTTACTACTTGGTGGATTTACCATAGCTGCAGCATTATCAAAGTATGACATTGCGAAGAGAATAGCCACTTTCGTACTAAGCAAGGCGGGGACAAGACCAAGAACAGTACTTATCACCAACATGTTCGTAGCAGCTTTCGCAAGTATGTGGATCAGTAATGTTGCTGCACCTGTCTTGTGCTTCTCAATCATTCAGGTAAGCTTTAAAGGGTATGCTTTTTACTAAGGTTTATTGCTGACATTGCTAGCCTATGCTTCGCAATCTTCCTTCTGAATCTCAAATGTCAAAAGCAATCATTCTTGGTATTGCACTTTCATCAAACATTGGCGGTATGCTCTCCCCAATCGCATCCCCACAGAACATTGTTGCTCTTCAGATCATGTCTCCACAACCAGACTGGGGTACCTGGTTCTTCATAGTCATACCAGTCGGTATCATATCCATCGTCCTTATTTGGATCCTCTTACTTCTCACCTTCAAGCCTGGTCGTGGAACTACAATCATTCCCATTCGTCCGGTTAAAGATGCATTCACCGGTGTTCAATGGTTCATCACCATCGTGACTCTTGGCACCATTATTCTCTGGTGTGTAAGCCATAAATTTGAATGGATATTTGGTGACATGGGCGTGGTCGCAATTATCCCGATCATTTTGTTCTTCGGAACTGGTATTCTAACCAAGGAAGATTTCAATAATTTCTTATGGACCATCATAATTCTCGCCGCTGGAGGACTCTCTCTTGGTAAAGCTGTCAACTCCTCGGGACTGCTACATACTATTGCTGGCGAAATCACTGAGAGCGTCGAGGGTTTCAGTCTTTATGGCGTACTTGTTGTATTCTCTTGTCTCGTCCTCGTTGTTGCGACATTTATCAGTCATACAGTCGCAGCTCTTATTATTCTTCCATTGGTACATAGTGTTGGAGCAGGTATGGATGAACCACATCCCAACCTTTTGGTTATGGGTGCTACATTAATGTGTAGTGCCGCTATGGGATTGCCTACCAGTGGTTTCCCTAATATGAGTATGTATATTCCTAACGATTTCCATAAACTTCATAAATGCTAATGAACTATAGCCGCAATTATGATGGAAGATTCACAAACTGGACAGAGATACCTACAAGTGAAACATTTCATCACTCGTGGCGTACCAGCAAGTATCCTTACATGGCTAGTGGTCATTTCAGTTGGATATGGATTGATGAGGGTGGTTGGGATGTAATATTTTAATCTGTACTATATTTTCAGATGGAACATTAGATTGCAATTGATTGGGACATGGAAAGGGGTCGATTGAGCGGGCATTCAGCATTGCAGCCAGGTTTTTTTGAAATGTTTGTAGGCATAGGATAGCAAATCACAATTTCGAAAGCGAGATCCACATTCTTGTGGCGGCGGGATCTACATTCTCATGCTCAAAAACTCATTCCTCAACAGCAATCTACAAAAGAAAGTTCTTAGGAATGCGGGAACCGAGGTTTCGTAACTTGTGTGTATGGCTTGTTTATATGGGAGTAGTTCCTTCTTATTTTTTTACACTTTCTTTCCGTTTCTTCGTCTTAAGATTCGAATTCGGATACTTGTATATTGTTTCGAGCGCTAAGCCAAGTGAAGCCAAGCCAGGAAGAATACTTGTTTGCACAGTCTTACACTCTCTATTACACTCCTTTACTTTGCATCTATCATCTATCATATCATCAGATATCCATCTATCACTCACCCCTCAACCTCAACCTCAACCTCAACCTCACCAACAAAAATGCACGTCCCCGCCCTCGCCTTAGCCCTCTCCCTCCTCCTCACCCCTATGGTCCTCGCTATCCCCAACGCAAACCCAGCACTGGCACCCAAAAACCTGATTGAAAACAGAGTGCAGCGACAAATCGTTAAGCCTAGTGATAGTGTGGTGAGTGGACGTTTTTTTTTTTTTTCTTCTTTTTCATATATGTGTGGGTCTTTCTTTTGGGGTTGTTGAATGTTTCGGTTGTTTTGGTGTGTAAGGAGGGGAGGAGGGGAGGAGAAGATGGGGAAAGGGGGTGGATAGAGCGAGGGAGGGAGGGGAGGGGGGCATTTTTGTGTTTACTTGGTGTGGTGTGCTGTTATTTTATGTGCTGGTTAGGCTGACAAATTCATGCGTTTGAAGGAATTGGAGAAGCGCGTGCAGAGTCGTGCTCGAACCGTTTCGAATGTGTGTCTTTCTTTTTTCTTTTCTTTTTCCTTCATCCCTTTCCATAGCGCATCCCATCCCAACCCAAAGTTCAAAGTCGCTAACACATACATCCCTCAATAGGCCTTCTGCCCCTCCCCCGGCACAGCCTACTGCTGCAACAGCAATTCGCGCACGCGCGGAACCCTCTGCAAGTGGAATGGAGATGGTCATTTGGCGGGCTGTGAACTTATCACGGGGGGTGAGAGCGTTTGTTGTACGACACTAGAGTGTAAGGGGATGGCGGGGTTGAGCGATCCGATTACTGCTATTTAGGTGGGGGGTATAGGGAGGGTTGGGGGTGGGGGTGGAAAGGGGAGAATGATGAGTGTGTTGGTGTGTTATGTGTTGAAAAATTGGTTACTTCTTTTCTGTTGCCTGATTAGTCAGTTATTGAGGTTAGGGTCTCTAGATTGAAAGTTCAAGTTATGTTTCCGTTTCTGTCGTTATTGTTATTGGTTTTGAATTACTGCTCCTCGGAAATGGTATGTTCAGATATGCACTTTGAAACAATTGAAAATGTATTAAACATTTGCCTTGTTCACTTGTGCATATTACTCGTAAAGCTTGGACACCTGACTCTCTGGATAACTGGACACTGGACTGCCTTGCGTATTGCATGTGAGTCGGTCGTTTATAGCTGACATTGAAGCCTACTCCATCTTCATTTTGATAAATTCACCGAGATTGATGTCTACATAAATTTTAAAAGCAAATCAGTATTTCTGATATTATTGTAGCATTCATTTCATATGGGAAGACATGATTTTCTTGTCCCTTGTCCTGTTTTCTTTCCCAAATTGAATGAGCTACATCCCCACCCCCGCAAGGCGTTCGAACAGGCTATACGAGAATCAGGAGACTCGCTTTCGAACACTGCATAGTTATAAGCCACAGGAAGATATTATTGGGTCGCTAGCGGATTCAATAAAGCACCCCTCACAATATTGAACTTGGACCCTGCGTATAATGGTATGTCATTCTCCAAACTCTAATTAGTGTTTCATTTAATGTAATGAATTCGTTCTTTGAAAGAATCTCGATGGATCTGACTACAGATTTGAGGTCGTAAAACTAGGCGATGCATTAAGTTACAAATTCTGTGCCCGCCTCCCCAATGATTATTTGCATATAGGTAGCATTTTGTGAAATAAGTTTAGTGGAAGCCCGACAATGGCCTGGTTCGATCTCTTCTAGTTCGAGTTCAGAGGAAACTTTGACGAGACTGCATGGAATCTAAAATCGTAACACTTCCGACAACCACCCCAGTACATGCAACCAGGGTTGAGAAAGAAAAAAACAAGTTTATGTGAGGTTTGTATTGAGATTGCCAATGATATATCAGCTTGCACAGCACTACCTACTTACTCAGCCTACTCAGTTGAGAAAAGAAAAAGGGTAATCACTACAATAATATCCTTGGAAAAGTTCTCATTAGTTTGGATTCGGACATCAATACATATACAGATACAGATACAATCACTGCGTTGTTACAGCTAAAGTTGATGATCGTAAGCCACAGAGATATTATTGAGCCGTTAGTGAATTCAATAAAGCTCCCCTCACAATATGCACCTGCGGTTGGATTATGAGAACAATACAGTAAGCCCTGGGCATAATGACACTGTATTTTTTCAGCCTCTAGGTGAAGAAGTGAGTCACAAGGGGTCTGGTGTCGCATTGAAACCCTGTTTTGTAGTGTGCATACATTCTGAGGTTTGTTGCCTCATTTCTCTGTTATAAAAAGTGACGATTAGACTAAGAATGGCGTATATATATATCTCTCGTCTTCTAGATGTCATACTCCCATCTTCTCTCAACACTTTTGCTCCCTCTACCCACAATACAAGATAATCCAATCTTTGCATTGCGGCTGCTGAAGTGACTGCCCCTTGAAAGTTAAAAGCCTACCACCACGCGTACACATTCTCACTACTCCTGACAGCATGGCCAAGTGCCCCAAGTGTAATCAAAGTTCGCCAACGCGCACGATAGTATCCACATGCAATAACGTCATTACAAAAACTCGTTAAGCTCCTGACGGGAAAGGTGGCACCAAAACGCAAACCTATAAAGTGGTGTGCGATGGCCAACTCCCTGCATTTCAAAGTATAAAGAAGTCTCCCTGATATGTGATTTGGTCCCACTTTTTTGAAGGTATGTCCCCAGCAAATACGATGTACAATTGATTAGATAGTGGTATTGATGTATCAACAGATCACCTCGTGTGGAAGCGTGTGGAAGAGTGAGAAGATGGCGCATCATTAGGGTTATGGAAGGTGTTGGATGAATCTTTGGGTTTCATTAGGGTTCTTGGAAGCTGTTGAGCGAATCTTTGGGTTTCATTAGGGTTCATGGAAGCTGTTGGATGAATCTTTGGGTTTCATTGGCGCCGATATGATGAGAAGGTACAACGGGTTCGTTGGTAGAGATGTAGCCTTCTGGCTTCTTGGCAGTGATATTGTCTTTTGAACATCAGTGTTGATTCTCTGGGTTTGAATTTAATTGCTTCTGGGAATGAGCAATCTCGATATTTCAGACTATTTCATAACCTCGCTCCCTCCTATTGGGAAGTCTATTACCGGAATCCGGCATTACCATTACCTAACAATTGGACTATTCTATACACAGTAACTATAGCTAGGAACAAGTAATCAAACCTTAATCTCAAATAACTTTTCAATCTTATAAGTGTATACGCTAAGCATCACAAGAATAATCTAAGATAAAGAAGCCTTATAAGAGGCTTTGAATTAGTATTGAAATATTATATTATAGTAATAATAGACTAATCGCCTATTGTTCCCGATTAGGACAAGGTTAGATATAGATAAATAAATCGAAAAATGATATAATATTATATAATACTATATATATAAATCCTATTAGTTAGATTTAGTCTATACTACTTTAAGTTTATAAGGGATTTTTCTAGTATTACTTGGCCTTGATTAGTGAATACTATATACTATAATGAGATGATATATATTAATAGAAAGAGAGAAAATTAAGAAGAGATCCCGGATAATAGAAAAATAAAGTTGATAATAATGATATCCTATTAGAATCTCCCAAGATCGTGGAAACCGCTCGAATATGAGAGACCCTTTGATAGAGCAGATCAATTTGTTAGTTGAGTAGACCTATTATGAATAAGGCAACACGTTCAATAAGTCGAGACAGTATATAAAGTGAATAGAACGAATAAATATATTTCAGTTATCTCAAAGTTTATAGTACCTAAAAAGAGGTTCAAATAATATTATTTTACCCAAATATGATTTGCTTCTATCGATTGGAGGCGCAGCGAGCGGTCTTATGCATGTAATACCCAACAATGTTTCATCTGACCGGAGCCTTAAGGCGGTGTATCTATCAGGCTAGCGCATTCAATTATCTTTAAATTCCTATAAGAATGTTGTTTACCTTTTAATTATCTCTATAAACATACTAGTCTCTGCTTATACTCTTCAACTACAACTACTTCGCCGTTACGAAAATGACGCCGTTAGAGCAATACTTAAATGTGATGGATACTCTGCGCTTTTACGAGAAAGAACCCAGACATTTTCAGACAGCCGATCACATCCCAATGAAACAAAGGGCGCCAATGTTCGGCCTGACTACCATCAATGACAACTCCTGGCTCATCGGAGACCGCGCCGTACTCGCCCGCCGCTCCTGCGAGCCATGGCCAAGTGATACGCCTGGTCTCATCAACACCTGGACCGCGTCTGATGGGGCTCATTATGCCATTTCAGACGCGCCTGTACCGCCACTAGTTTCCCGTCCATGGGAACCTACTCACGCTCCAATTCTTGCTCATATCGCTGGCGGCGGCGCCAGTTCCTTTGAACATGGAGATGATGCCGACCTAAATGAAGTCACAAGCAAGTGTGTTTATTATATCGGAGATGTCTTCATCAAGATGCATCATACTATGCACTGCGACTCGGCCGACGAGCACGTAACTATCAACGAGCTACATAAACAACTTCCAAACCGCACATTTATGCTCCCTACAGTCCTCTACCACGCCCGATACGATAATCGCTACTTCCTCGTCACATCGAAGGTTCCCGGCGAAACGGCCGAGCGGCTCTGGTGGGGTCTTGATGACGCCGCCAAGGATCGATATGCAGAGCTTGTCGCCCAAGCCTGCCTTGAGGTTGCTACTCTGACCTCCGACAAGCCGGGCACTGGCATCGACGGGACTGCGGCAGATAACGGGCGCTTCTTGGAGAGTGTAACGCGGAAGGATATGCCGGATGTACTCGCTAATTGTAAGGCGCTCAACCTCGATATGGAGTCTTTATGTACCCTTTTTCATGGAGATCTCGGTCCCACCAACGTTATTATCAACCTCCAACAAGAAACGATTGGCATCATTGACTGGCAGGCTGCCGAATATATTCCTAGAGATATGATTGGTTTCCAGTTCGCAATTGCGTTGGCTATGTATTTTGACCCACCTATTCCAGAGGGCTACAATTGTAACGACTACGCATACCGCGTGTGGAAGGCGCTGCAGCGGTATGGGTTTAGTGATGATGGGAGTACTTGGCTGAAGTGGAAGATGGTTGATTGGGAGCAGACCCCGGAATCTTGATCTATTGGGATATCGCAAACTACCTCTAGAACGTCCTTTTCGGGGGGAAAGAAATAAAAGCCATTTTGAGTTCCGAAAGGCATATCATTGACAATATCAGAGTTTTCGTGGAATTGCAATCAAGTAGTTGAATGCCCATACGTTTTAGAAAGTTGATGCAGGGGTTCAGAGTAATTTGGAAAACATCCTCTCCAAAGCTGTGCCAGTGATCTCCACACTTAAAGTCAGAGGTTTGATTCTAATTTCTTAGTATCCTTGATACGAAATGTATTGTTTCTTAGATTCAGAAATTTAGATTTCAGGATCACAGAATTCGAAATCAACGAGAAATGGTAACCTTGGTCAAAAAAAGGGGTATTTATCCGATTAGTCACACAATCATCCAATCAGTGACAATTCGGTCTGATTCCATATAAACATGTGATCACGCGAGATCAAACGCGCTCACCGTCCGGCAATACTTTTTTATTATCTATTTACCCCTCTTCACTCAGTATAACGTCCAACGCAGCCTCAGTAATGTGAATACCAGCTACATCAAACTACAATTCTGGCACCCCAAGCTATTCCCCTCCGAACCCTCACTACTCTCCTCAACTACGAACGTCTAATCAGCGATCCAAGATATAAGAAAACCAGCCTCCATAGTAGCAGCATCAGTGACGCGAGCATACTTCCCCAACTCACCGGAGTTGAAATATTCAAAAACCGACCTAAAACGATCGAAAAAATTAAAATCACACGTTCCAAGACGACTCTTCTCCCGATTCTGCTCAGGAATCGCCGCACATTGCAGCGACATGTACCCTACACCCTACGTGCAGATCTACTGCACGACAGCTATCCCCCGCACAACTTGAGGATATATTCTACGAATCCAGGAGTCATGATGGGTGTTACAAAGCCTTGACACTCTTCCAAGAATTTTTCGAGCTATGTCCTCCAGATCAACAACTCGAGATTCAAATCAAGAATGAAGAGCCGGTTTTGGTTCGCCCATTCCCACGACTGATTATCGAATTCAAGATATTGGGTCCCAAACTCTGGAGTTGTGAGTCGCTGGATTTGAAGGATGGCGGTGCGACTTATATCACGGGAGGAGAAAACGAGACCGTGCATTCTATTCTGGGTTTTCCTGCTCCCGGTACGGATATGAAAGGAACATCCTCTCTGGATTCGTTTTTGGTGGTCGATATGACGCGCATGCAGTGGGGCGAGAAAGGAATGTACGGAGAGCCTTATTTCCTAAGAAAGGGAGCAGATTGGAAGAATGCGATGGCCAATGTTTGTCATAATATGAAAGAGTTGGGCATAGGAGCTTCATGGATTTCGAACAGTCCCCACACGACATTGATGCGGAAATGCGCGAAGAAGGTTTGGGATCGCTGGATTAATAGAGAGAACGCGGGTTGGTGCGAATACTGTGGAGTGGGAGGAAAATTGAGTGCGTGTAGTGAGTGTAGGAAGGGAGGAAGAAAAGTTTGGTATTGTGGGGCTGAACATCAGAGGAAGGGGTGGAAGTTACATAAGTTTACTTGTGAGAAGACGAGGAAAAAGACTGGGGAATTGGGGAAGAAAAAAGGGGGTATTTAGCGAGGTTTTGGATCAGCGTGAGTGTTTTGGTTTGGGATATGTTATGACAGGCAGGCCTGTTTGACAGTTTGTTTACTGCGCGTACTAGGTTCTCGCAAAACCTATGTTCTATACTCTTTCAGCGCTTATACTATCCCAACGATATTTTCTAAAACTAAATCAAATATTTCCCATTTCCCATTTACCATATCTATCAATCTATTCTACGAGTATCTCCTCCCAAACCCATAACACAAAATCAAACGTGCCAGCCTAGCCACCGTGACTACGCCCAGAATACACAACACTAGACACGGTAGAAGACCATGTGAAGGAGAACGAGCTAGATACATCCACTCATGAATCTAGATCTTCCCTCTATAATCGAGTATACTATCACTATAATAACCCCCAGCAGAACTCACAACTCACAACTCACTCTTCCAAGTACCAGGATTTGTCTAATCTAATATCTAATATCTCAAAGAAAAAGATATTCTCGTATTTACTAGGTATATATCTCTACTCGAGTATATCAACTTTTACATTATATTACTTGATTCTGACTGGTGCTATAACAGAATGATGTCCCATCTCCTAAACCAACCTAATAGGCTAAAATACCACAATAGTATTCTACTATCTTCATTCACGGACACAACAAAAACTCAATCTCCTCGCATACATCACATCATTCACTCTCAGGTATTACTGTTATAATACCACTCTTATATTATGAAAATAGATACCGTACATGACTGTTGACTGTCTGTAACATCACCTCCCGTGAAAAGGGCTTTACCTCCTCTAGTTCGCCTTTTTATTATTTTCAACACCTAAACAAATACTCGTATATTATAACATTAAATCAACCTTCTTCTTTCTTCAAATCCCCTCTCCTTTTCCCTATCTGTCTCTTTCTCTATTCTTATCTTTATTTTATACTCAGTATATCCATTTATATCCCCCCTTCTCCTTCTCCTTCTTCTTCTTCATTCTTTATTTAATTAATATGCCTGATTCTTTATATCTACTCAGTATACTATACTCGAGGACACCGTACTCCCTCTCAATCATGTTACTATAATTAATCGTGAAAATGAAGATTATTATTTGATTGAACTGTATTTACCTATCTTTATCATCTTCCACCCCCTCACCTTATTCCCTCGCCTCCCTCGTCTCCTTCCTTCCCACCTTCCCCCCTCGCCCCCCGCACCTTTTATCCCTCTATTAATCTATCACTCCATCCCTTCACCACCCCACACCCCATCCATCAACTATCAACCATCCATCACTTTGTCACAACCATCCACCAATCAACCTCGATTCTCAAGTTTCCCAAGTTTCTCCAGTTTCCCAAATTTCTCAAGTCTCTCAAACTTCAAGCTTCAAACCTCGAACCTCGCACTAATCATAATACATACCACTAACCACTAACACATCACACATCACCCACCCTATCAAACCAATTCTCATACCCATCCCCATCCTAACAATTCTCCAATACCAACCCCATTACATTACCCAATAATACCCCTACCCCTCCCTCCCCCAACTACTTCCCTCCCCTCACTCCTTCCTCTTCCACTCCCTTCCATTCTTTCACCCCGTTACTTCCCCTCCCCATACCCCTCCCTTCCCTCCCCTCACTCCCTTCCTTCCCACTCCGTTCCTCTCCCACTCCTTCCTCTCCCACTCCCTTTCATTCTTTCACCCCGTTACTTCCACTCCCCATACCCCTCCCTTCCCTCCCATCACTCCCTTCCTTCCCACTCCGTTCCTCTCCCACTCCTTCCTCTCCCACGGCTCCCCTCTCCTCTCTCCCTCCCCATACCCCTCCCCATACCCCTCCCCTCACCCCATCCCATGTCCCTTCCCTTCCTTCCCATCCCATGTTCTCCACTCTCCATCCCATCCCATCACAGAAATTCTTCTTCTAGTACCCACCTACTGAGTATATATTCTCAATTTCCCAATGTTCCCCCTCCCTTCCTCTCCCCCAATATCCATTCGTGCGAGTATTTATTTAGTCACCGGTACCCGTACGCTCATCATTCGTTGGTCCAATACTCGTACACAGACTACATGGTACATACACTGCGATGATAATCGGGGGGTTCTTCGTCTCATCGAGGTTGTCGAGTTCGTGCGTTTTCATGGATGATGATGTATGATTGGATTAAGAATGTGTTAATCATGGGTTGCGACTAAAATGATAGTTCGATCCTCACACAAACAATGAAACATCATACGAATCACAACCAAGAAGAAAACAACATAGTAAGTCGCAACCATTGTAAACTTTATTTATTTCATGAGTTAATCATGTAGGATATCTCTATATACTCTATAGCGTTTGTTCAGCCAGTCATATATATCTATAAACGCCTTTTTGTTGAAAATGCAACCCGAACACGTTGAATGTGTTTTTAACCCCCCTCATATTAACTAACCTGTTGAAACGCTAATCGAAATGCAAACCAAAAATGTGAGAATTTATTATTCTTAAAAGAGACCGTCAATTTCTCCAGTCTCCGTGTCGACATCGACGTTGATGTAACCAGGAGCGGTTGGAAGACCGGGAATGGTTTGGATATCTGCTGCAAGTGCATAGCTTGAGGAAAGTTAGTAAATGTGGTAACAGGTTCGAGTGTAACAACTTACAGGTAACCAGCTCCAGCAGCAAGTCTCACATCTCTAATTGGGACAGTGAATCCAGTTGGTGCACCCTTAAGATCGGCGTCGTGTGACAAAGAATATTGGGTTTTCGCAATACAGATTGGCAAGTTTCCAAACCCTTGCTTTGTATATGCATCAACCTTCTTTTGAGCGATCTCGCTAAACTCAACCTTATCAGCCCCATACATCTCTTTACCGATTGCTTCAATGCGAGTCTGGACGTCTCCATCAAGACTGTAGAGAAGCTTGAAATTCTTCTCCTTCTCGCTTGCAGCGATAACACCCTTGGCGAGATCGATGGCTCCCTTACCACCTTCTGCCCAGTGATTAGCTGGAATGGCATCTTCGGCTCCAGCAGCGATAGCCTCTTCTCGAATAACTTCAATCTCAGCGTCAGTATCGGTCTCAAACTTATTGATTGCGACAACGACGGGGACACCATAGAATTTGGCATTAGAGATGTGTTTCTTGAGGTTGACACAACCTTTGCGAAGAATTTCGACATTCTCCTCTCGGTAGATCTGGTGAAGAGCGGCACCTGGAGCGATTGGTGGGCCGCCACCGTGAACCTTGAGTGCCCGAACAGTTGCAACAATGACGACAACATCTGGAATCAGTCCGGATGATCGACACTTGATGTTGAAGAAACGTTCCCCTCCCATAGTGAAATCGAAACCTGCTTCAGTGATCACAAATCCAGCCTTCTCGTTGTGATTCTCATCAGGTTCAGTACCAGCGAGCTTCAAGGCAAGTTTGTCTGCGAGGACTGAGCTAGCACCGATACTGATGTTTGCAAATGGACCGGCGTGGACGAAGACGGGTGTTCCTTCCAAGGTTTGCATCAAGTTGGGCTTGATAGCATCTTTCATCAATGCTGTCAAGGCACCACCTGCACCAAGATCATCACAAGTGACGGGATCGCCATTTCTGGATGATCCAATGACCATGCGACCAAGTCTTTCTCTCATATCGTTCAAGTCGTTGCTGAGTGCAAGGATAGCCATACACTCACTAGCGACAGAGATATCGAATCCAGTTTCTCTAGACTGGCCCTTCTCGGTACTAGCGGTACCAACGGTGATACCTCTCAAATGACGATCATTAACATCAAGAACACGTCTCCAGGTGATTGTCGAAGGATCAATGTCCAATCTTGCGAATCGATGGATCTCGTCTTCTGTAAGTTCATCAGGGTTGGTCTTCGTGATACCGAGCTTCTTCAATCTGCGGAACATGATTGGCTGAAATTCACGCTTTCCCTTCTTAGCCGGAACGAGACGCTTGTAAAGCGGACCATCTTTTTGGGTGTTCTCATGGAACATTCTGGTCTCAATTGCAGCGGCCAATAAATTGTTTGCAGCCGTGACCGCGTGGATATCACCAGTCAAATGAAGATTGAATTCATCCATAGGAATGACCTGACTGTATCCACCACCTGCAGCACCTCCCTTGATACCGAAGGTTGGTCCTTGACTTGGTTGACGAACATTGGCGAATGCTATGCGATCAAGATGGCCAGCAATAGCTTGAGTAAGACCCATAGTGGTGGTAGATTTACCCTCACCAAGAGGTGTTGGGGTGATACCAGTTACAACGACATAACGACCATTGCGGCGGTGCTCAAGGCGTTTGAGTAGACTTAAGTCCACTTTACCTTTGTATGCTCCATAAGGTTCAAGTTCGTAACCGGCGATACCAATCTCCTGTGCTACACGTGTGATATGTTTTGGGTGTTGAGCTCTCGAGATAGCGATATCCGATGGCACAGGGGATTGAAGCTTGAGAGCTAAGGGCTTGATGGCTCTAGCCTTTTGGCGATCGAAATAAGATGTTGCAGATTCAACAACATTTTGCAAAAGCATTGCGATAGTCATTGGTCCCACTCCACCAGGTACTGGTGTAATTTGAGAGGCAACTTCCGAAGCAGATTCGAAATCGACATCTCCAACAAGTCTCTGACCGGATTTCTTGGTCTCGTCAGGAACAAAGTTGGTACCGACATCAATGACCACTGCACCCGGCTTAAGCCACTCTCCCTTGACAAAGTTGGCTTTACCAATGGCTGCAACAACAACATCTGCATTCTTGATGAATTGCTCAATGTTTTGGGTCCTGGAATGGCATACTGTCACAGTGGCATCGGCATTTTTGAGAAGGTAACTCGCAGGACTTCCCACGATATCGCTACGCCCAAGAACGACCGCATTCTTGCCCCTCAAATCAACACCACTCTCTTCGAGCAAGACCATGATACCTTTTGGCGTACATGGTGTAAAAAGAGGACGACCTCCACGCTTCGCAAGTTCTCCAATGTTTGATGCACCAAACCCATCTACATCCTTTTCATCGGATACGGCTGAAGTCACACTATGTTCTGACATGTGTTTGGGAACCGGCAATTGAACAAGAATACCATGCACTGAGGGATCATTGTTCAAACGCTCAATTTCATCAAGAACCTCGGCTTCGGTTGCGGTATCAGGGAATGGGATAAGTTCGCATTCGATCGATGCCTAAATACTCATGAAATAAGTGTATGCTCAAAAGAAATCATGAAGCATTACTAACCTCTTGTGCCGCCTTCAACTTCATACGAACGTAGGTGGCTAGGAGGTCGTCAGTGAGTCATTTTTGATAGGCTTCGATCACAGATACATACTTGAGTCAGAGCGATCACCGACTGTGAAAAAATCATATTAGCATAAACTTTCTCATAATATGTTTCTCGCAGAAAGTTACCTTGAATGATCTTCAATGAAGGCTTGAATCTTGGGTTTGTCTTTTGGGCATTGTCAATTTCGGCATGAATCTTCTCACGGATCTTCTTCGCAATGGCAGTGCCATCAATCTTTGTGGCTGTCATTGCTGCTGATGTACTTGAGAATTGTCTGATAGTACTGCTTTGCGGGGTGACGGGGTATATAAGTGAGACCCTTGTCGGGGAAGAGAGAGGAGTTGAGTGAGATGAATGACCCCGCAGTTGGAGTATTTGTTGGGCAACTCGCGCAATTGAAGCTGAAGCTGAAGGTGAAGGTGAACAGGAACTCAACGAAGCTCGATGTTGGGTAAAAATGGAAGCTCTTGATCTAAGAAGTGAGGGAGAATTGAGAAAAGTAAGATAATTCAAAGAAGGTAACATGTACACAATATGAGGATTGATGCGGGCACTATATGCAGCTTGGGCTCTTTTGCCGATAAACATTTCTGCACTACCTACCTAGGTACACTACACCGCAAATGAATGGTCGCAAATGAATGATGTGATTTGATAGGCGAACTTGATTATAACAAGATATGATAGATAGGTACAGTAATGAGAAGAAGAAGAAGAAGAAGAAAGGAGGAAAAGAATATCAATTGATAAGTCAGTTGAATGACTACAGTAATGATATAAAGTTCAATTATGAACAATTTTTGAAAGATAAGGAAATCAAAAGGTTGTCAAGTCAAAGCATTGTTACTCTTTTTGTTGAAGGAAAAAAAGAAAATAATAAGAATTACCTTATGAATATATGAATATATGAATATATACTATTCATCTAATTCATATATTTGGGCCCTTTAAGTTAAAAATACTGTATTCAGTATTAATATATTATGTTATATAACCAAAACTTTATTTATACCTAGCCAATTCCATTAAACCAGATCAGATCTTAAATCCCGCATTTATCCGCATCCTCCCAGCCTTGACCTTTAATAAATCCTGCCTTCGCTTATGATTGGTGGTTGGTAGCACACATTTGAAGAGTCAAATCGCAGACGATTATCGAACTTTTTGAGGGGCACGAAGCCATCTTGATCCAACCCTATCTAAATAACACCAACTCCTTACCTCCATCATATCGCGATTTGAGTAGTATCAATACTGAATCGCAAATATGAGGCCCATTCTCTTACAAGGACATGTCAGTATAAATAATCATCTGTTGGCTTGATAGATGGCCTCAACTTACTATTTGCTAACAATCATACAGGAGCGTGCTCTGACACAAATCAGGTATACAACACCCCTCGAAATCAATACCATACATGCGATATTGATGACCGAATAGATATAATAGAGATGGCGACGTCATTTTCTCGACGGCGAAGGATCAACACATTTGCGCTTGGTACGCACACAACGGAGAGAGGTTAGGCACCTACCATGGTCACCAAGGAGCTATTTGGACAGTCGATGTGGACCCAACAACTACAATCATCGCAAGTGGTGCAGCAGACAACACAGTTCGATTATGGGACGTCAAGACAGGAAAATGTTTGAAGACCTGGGATTTCAACACGGCCGTAAAGAGAGTCGAATTCAACGAAGATGCTACACAATTGTTGGCCGTCACCGAACAACGTATGGGATTCTTGGGAACGATCGTAGTTTTGGACATCAACCTGGATGTGGATGGACCACAATCCGACGACCGGGCTTTGACCATTACTTGTGCAGAGAGCAAGGCTACTGTTGCGGGATGGAGTTATATGTCGAAATACATCATTGCGGGGCACGAGGATGGAAGCGTTTCTCAATATGATGGCAAGGTAAGGTTTTATGCTGGCGTTACTTACCTTAGGTGCTGACGGATTATGTAGACTGGAGAGCTACTCTTCAACACTCAAGTCCACGAAACGGACATGCAAGTCACAGATCTCCAATGGTCACCCGACAGAACATACTTCGTTACTGCATCAAAAGACAAGACCGCTAAGGTAAATAACATACGGTCTTTTCCGAAGTGCAATGTACTAATTAGATAGCTCGTCAATGCCCAAGACCTCGAGGTCATGAAAACCTACGTAACCGACACACCACTTAACAGCGCATCTATCACACCCAAAAAGGATTTCGTCCTTCTCGGAGGTGGACAAGCTGCTATGGATGTCACAACAACCTCAGCACGTCAAGGTAAATTCGAAGCCAGATTTTACCACAAGATCTTCGAAGAGGAGATCGGTAGAGTCCGTGGACATTTCGGACCTCTGAATACAGTTGCCGTGGATCCAACTGGCAAGGGATACGCAAGTGGTGGTGAGGATGGTTATGTTCGAGTGCACCAATTCGATAAGGGATACTTCGACTTCACATACGAGGTTGAGAGACAGGTTAGACAACAACAATAATTTAGTTTATTTGGCTTGTAGGAAAGGTGCATTTGCGGGCGTTTGTGGAACAATCAAAAGGCTTGTAGAATCTGGAGGTATGAAAGAAGAATGATGAATCCCTTTTTATAAAGAATTCAATGAATGAAGCAAGCTAGCTTCATTGCAATACCTAGGTATAGCTTTATACATACTCCTCAAGATGGATGTATTTACTTCTAGGGATAATATGAGTATATCATCAAAAGTTCGAACAAAGATATTAGTGTAAATTTAACAGCCTGTGTGTAAACAACAATGACCAAAAAAGCTAGATATATGACTTTAATGCTTTTTTGAATGTTCAAACTAACTCAGATAGGTATCTATGAACAAGAGCGCAGTCAATCAGATTGTCTCGGAAGATTTAGCGCCTAACATATCAGGCATCAGGTAACTGCGCTCGCTACTCACCGCTTTAATTATGGCTAACGCAGTTGGGTGTTGCGCTACAGCCACAAGAGAATTCTCGTGGGTACATTTGGCAAAATACAAAAATTTAATTTTGTTGGACCTACCGTAATACTTATTTCAATCTCAAACTCTACTTATAAAAACTCTCGACACAATTCTCCACACCATTACATCGCATTGCGAATTTAAACAAAAATGGCTCCCTCTGAAATCACAGCGCGAAAGCGCAAAGGTATGTATTATCTTGCATTGACTCAATGGACCTCCGTTCTAACGATCAATTGTAGCTTCCACAGCTGCTGTAGTTCCCGCCGATGAGGTCACAAAAGTAAAGAAGGCCAAGAAATCTCCAAAAACTACCGAGGCCGTGAAACCCAAGAAAGTCGCAAAAGTCGCAAAGGTTGTCGAGAAGGAGGTAGAGGAGGTTATCGAGGAACCGGTCGAAGAACCAGTCGAGGAACCAGTCGAAGAGACCGAAGCAGAGGAGCAAGAGGAGGACGATCAGACTGAAGCTCTTTTGAAGGGTTTCGAGTCGGATGGTGACGAAGAAGAGAATGCTAAAGAAGGTGGACTCGAACCTGGCCAAGAAGTTCCAAACGCCCTCGAGAAACTCACCAAGAAGCAAAAGAAAGCTATTAAGAAGGCTGCCGAAGAAGCTGCCAATGATCTTCCAGGTGTTGTCTACATTGGTCGCATTCCTCACGGTTTCTACGAGACGGAGATGAAGGCTTACTTTTCTCAATTCGGAAACATTCTCAAGATTCGTTTGTCAAGAAACAGAAGAACTGGAAAGAGCAAACATTATGCATGGATTCAATTCGATAGTACGGGTGTCGCAGAGATTGTAGCCAAGACTATGGACAACTATCTGTTATTCAACCATATCTTGAGAGTTAAAGTGGTACCTGATGAGCAACTTCCCGAGAATTTGTTCAAGGGTGCCAACCGCCGCTTCAAAAAGATTCCATGGAACAAGATTGAGGGTCGCAGACTGGAGCAAGGTGCCGGAGAAGAGGTATGGGAAAAGAGAATCACCAAGGCCGAGAAGAAACGTGAGGTTGCGGCGGAAAAGTTGAAGCAGATCGGTTATGAATTCGAGGCACCAAAGATTAAGTCTGCAAAGGGTGTTTCCAAGAAGCCAGTTCCAGAGATCGAGTCTGGTGAGGATGAACTTGCTGGGGATGGGGATATAGTCATGGCTGTTGAGACTCCTGCTGAGATTGAAGTCGAAGCTCCTGCACCAGCACCAGCAAAGAAGGCTGCTAAGGCTAAGAAAGCCGTGGCTGTTGAGACTCCTGCTGAGGTTGAAGTTGAAGCTCCAGCACCAGCAAAGAAGGCTGCTAAGGCTAAGAAAGCCGTGGCTGTTGAGACTCCTGCTGAGGTTGAAGTTGAAGCTCCAGCACCAGCAAAGAAGGCAGCCAAGGCTAAGAAGGTCGTGGCTGTTGAGACTCCTGCTGAAGTTGAAGTCGAAGCTCCAGCACCAGCAAAGAAGGCTGCTAAAGCTAAGAAGGTCAAGAAGACCAAGGCTTAAGCTTAGATTTCCGGATGTCTTACTTGTGCTGCTCTGTTTTTCTGTAAATTTCTTGATGATATTCCCTGGCGTTATTAGTTAGTAGTAGGCTAATATTAAATGAATGACATATGCAACATCAGAGTAGCAGTCGAAAAAGGTGGATGAGGACAATATTTTACATGCTATACACTATTTCCATCTGCCGTCTAAATAACATCTATCCTACCAATCACATTGTGTGACACCCCCCTCATTCCTAATCATCTTCTTTGACGCCTGAAAAAGACTAATCACCATAACCGCCGCACCAAACGCCACACACGCGCCAGCCATCCAAGTCCTCCATGTCCTCCTCGTTAATTTTATATAGCACAACGGCGGTAATATATACGCCAACGCACACGCACTCGTAGCGCCAATCAACTCAAACACAGCGCCCAAATCACACGTCATCAAACTCAGCAGCATAGCGCTCACCACCAGCGACGAGGTAAAAATCAAATGTAAATGCATATTAAAAGGTTCCCCGGGAAACCAATAGTTGAACATGACTTCGCGGCAAACAAAAGCTTCGAGGGGGAGGGTAGTCAGCATATTGAGGCCGAAACAGAGACGTGCGAGGTTTACGAGCGGGTTTGCGGCGGGGAAATTGTTGAGCACGTTGCCGAGGGTGCGGGTTCCGAAGGTGAGGAATCCCGAGAGCGCCATGAGGAGACAGGCGAGCATGGATATGCTGGTGCTGTAGTGGGTTACGGTGGTGAAGCGGTCGATGGTGGGGGTGTGGAGGGAACCGTAGATTAGGAGGGAGTTGTGGTGGCAGACGAAGGCTGGGTGGGGGGAGAAGGGGGGGTTAGTTGGGTTGGGGTTGGATGGGGAAGGGGGAAAGGGGTTGGGGTGGGGAGGCTAACCGAAGGATATTACGCTGATGGCTTGGAATACGCCGTCGTTTATGGTGAGGAGGGGTGTGGGAAATTCCCCTCTGTCTTCTTTGGGTACCATGAACCCTTGTGTTACCACTGTGAATAGAATGATCATCATACTGATTAATGCCATGGTGCTCGCTTTCGCCAACTATCTCAAGTCAGTATGATCCCTGGCCCAAGTGCTTGAAAAACATACCTTGGCAATATCCCGATATAAACTCAAAGGATAACTTATCCCCAACACAAAAACTACAATCACAGCCCTCCTATTCACAAGCAATCCCAACACCGGCACATCTCTCAACCCCGGGAAAACAGCTGCCAAAACATGCGGTATAGTATCCCCCACTATAATACAAAAAGCTATCATCCCTCCAAAAGCAAACGCCCATTGCGCAACACTAATGGCAATTAACCCCGTCTTCCCAAAACAAAACTCCACCGTCCCCTGAAAACTATCCCTTCCACTCAATTTCGAATTAATCACAATAAGTCGAATGGTCCAATCCACCGTCACCGTAAGCCCAATCAAAAGAACAATCCCAGTCAAGAGTCCAGCTTGACGAAAGGCATACGGTTGTCCAATAATACCCGCTCCAATAATACTATTCGCCATATTCATAAACGCATTCCGCAGATTAGATTTCGGACGGGCCCGCTCGCGCTCAGCCCACGTATGCACATCTTCGTCGTCGGTCCAGGGGCTCGAAGCGACGGTTACGGACGGGGCTTCGATACCCGTGAGGAGCGGCGTAAAGGACTGTGTTCGAGATGAGGGATACGCATGTGGTGATTCCTCCTCATCTACAAACGGTACTTCCCTACGATTCTCCCGTTCGCCGTTGGGAGAGGGGGGTAAATCGAATCGTACACGATTGGGTGTTCGTGGTGTGTGTGTTTGATTTGCTGCTGCTCCTTGTTCTGGGAGGGGCCCAGAATGCTCTATGCTATCCTCGTCTTCACTTCCGCTTTCGGCGGCGAGAAGTCCAACGTCTTCTTCGGGATTGCGATGGGATTGGTTTTCGTCATTGCGGCGATTGCTGTGTGCATTGGATTTGGCTTTTGCCATCTTTGCTATCGTGGGAGCATGTTGTGAGATATTGGAGATTGGGAGGATTCATGGTCTGGCCAGAATGTTTCGTAACTTGTCGGGCTCGGTCAAAGCGGCCGCAATGCTGCATGCGGATTTTAGCGCGTTCTAAGAATAAAGTCTCCATAATGCTTTTATGGACCGTGACAAAATTATTCCGAGTATTTTCCCAAACTCTTTGTATCTGGTTGTTTGTATATCAAGCTCAGCCAGCATGCGAAAAGTACTCTTGAGGGGAAATCGCACTTTAAATTTAAGGTTGCAATCCGGTCAGGTATATCGGAGATGGCCTTCCCTAAGCCATATCTCTGCAATACGCCAATACTCAACAAGACCGCCGGGAGGGTTTCTTGCTAGACTCCTAGTCCATAGGCTGCGGCTTGCACTCACATCAGCATTTCAAAATCAAATCAGCCGTCGCCAAAATGAGGAATCCATAAAAATTAAGGCAAAGGCCGAAGGTCATCCTGATCATTCGAGGTATGGAGTCATGATTCTATTTTGGCGATTATTGTTCTTTTTTATTTTATTATTGGTATCTGAGTTTTACACAAGTGCTCCATTGCGAGCTATGCTCTTGACACGAAGTTATATTCTCGATATTGGGATGCGATCATTTCTTCTCCCCGAATACCGGTACCTGTATCCGTGCTGCGGAGTATGAGCTGCAGCGAGGCAGTCCTTGGTTAAGCTTCCTTTTCTGGTCACCGAAGATGAGTCTGATTAGTCTCAACTATTCCTGAAGTGATGACAATAATCATATGAGCTTGTGCTTCATGCTTCATGCTTCCTATTGGTCTAACCCAGATAGACGGCACGAATATATCAAAGTTGCAAACACACATGCCCTGTCATGCAAGGCAAAGAAGGTCTACATTGAGGCAGTTCCAAGTGGCAAACGGCTGTTGAATTTCCCTAATACTGCCCCCTGCGGAAAATATCCGTTTCGATTATTGACCTATCGATGTTACTTCGATACCATATTGAAAAACTCCCGAAACGCCCCAAAATGCCCCGAAAAACATAATCTTTCAAAGGATGGCTGCAGTCGATTTACCCCTATAATGACGACTTGCAGCCCCCTTTTCCCTCACAAAGCCTTCTATCCAACAACTATGCAGTACTCAATGGTAATCTTCAGGTGACTTTGTCAAGATCATGTATGAATTGCATTGGGGGCACGAGTCCTCTCTAGATTCTCCTACTGTTTGAAAAGACGGGCTGGAGTGGTAAATTTCAGCGAAACTGCCTCGAGCGGCGTAGACCAACATAGAAGCAGCCTACCTTTTGATGGGTTGCAATATGCTTCCGATAAACAAACCTATCGCAGATGGGAAGTTTCCCCCCTAGAAGTAAGCGAGTTTAGTTAAAGCCGATTCGATATAAACGGTATGTTTGTTCGCCTGTTGTATAATTTTGGTCATTTGTTTCTGCACTCTTTCCCACCCTTCGCAGCCATATATTAAGTCTCCTTGGAGTTCGTTATCCAGAGCTCTTTTCCGTTTTGGGCTAGTTGATCGGCTTTTCCTTAGCGTTGACACTAGGACAACCGACAATTCACAAAACACAAACCTCCATTTGGTTGTTAGACCATGAATGAATACTGATATCACACCGATCTAGCTCGACCGCAAAACCTCTTTCTGGAGCATCCGGCATACCTTATACAATCATGGAATGTGTCAAAACTCTTGCCACAGGGCTTAAAGAGATGATTGTCGGCACTGTCCCCGCAGCCAATCTCACGGACACCCCCGCAGCCATCATCAAACTCATCGACTCGCTGGCTCGCACTGATCTCCCCACTTCTCCTCCCTCTGTCTACATTGACCTCGAGGGTATTGATATCGGCCGGCAAGGCTCGATATCAATCCTCCAAGTCTATATCCTCCCATCTAAGGAGACGTTTCTTGTGGACGTTCATACTCTTGGTAAACAAGCATTCTGCACTCCAAACACATCTGGCCTCACCTTACAAACTATCCTGGAATCCGAGCTCATTCCAAAGGTTATCTTCGACGTCCGCAGTGACTCCGATGCCCTGTACAGCCACTTTGGCGTCAAGCTCGGAGGGGCTATTGACCTTCAACTTATGGAACTCGCCACTCGTTCTCACAGCCGAAAATTCGTTAACGGGCTTGCAAAATGCATGGATCGAGATCTTGTGCAAACTTCCGAAGAGTTTAGAGTACGAGGCGCCATCAAACAACGTGGAAAGGAACTTTTTGCAACGGAGAAGGGGGGTAGATGCGAAGTCTTTAATGATAGACCTCTTGACCCAGCGATCGTGGATTATTGTACTCAGGACGTTGAACTCATGCCCAAGCTCTGGGAAATATACAACGCAAAACTTAGTACGTTACACACAGGGTGGGCTACTAAAATTCAGGAAGAAACGAGGGCTAGAATTTTGCGATCTCAGAGCCCAGCGTATAATGGACAAGGCCAACAAATGGCAAGAGCACCAAGCGGGTTTTCAAGCATTGCTTGATATCTTGATAGACATATTGTATGCATACTAGATTCTGGTCCTGGGCTGGGCTCAACCCTGTCTGCTGCTTTGTTATCTTTCTTATTAGAGAAGCAGTGACTTGTTTTTGTATCTGCGATTCATGTAAATATATCGAATTCATCTAATATCCCATCTTTCTTCTCTCTTTACTGGACGACTGAGGTCATTCTTGGAAGCTGTGGGATAATTTCCCAAAACATTATGATTTGAGATTGACGATGTGTTAGCAAATAACATTGAATATTTACAGTCGCCGGATCTGTATTCCTGCCACAAGCCCTATGGCCTTTCCATTACTTCACATATATGTTAGACAGTGCAATCCTGTGAGCAGTCACGAGTGCGATTTAAAAAAAAATTCTTTGTGTTTCTGAGATAGTAATCGCAATCGCAACTATATCTACTGAATTGGAAAGGACTTGCATGATCAAAACTCGGCCAATTACCCGCATTTACCGTTTGTTCCTTCTTCATTCTCCCGCCTTAATGCTAGGCACTTGATACGGAGTCAAGCACAATTCATCTCTTCCCTTTTTACTTATTTCACATCAACACAAGATAGCACAATTTTCTGGATTACCATCAAATTTTGGTTTCAATAAAGTTGTTCCCCCATCCCATCTCGTCCGTGCAATCTGGGTAAAAATGGGTTCCTCCACTTGTTGCACCAGTCGCCAACCACCTTCCCCCGATGCAGTCTCACCTCGTCCTGTTCCATCATCATCAGTTACGCCGGTCAATACTCTGAGGAAATCTCCAAGAAAAGCAGCATCGAATTCGAGGATTGAGGGTCTTCAAACACAAGTACCTTTGTGGAGCTCGGCTACAAATATAGAAGATGAGACGGAGATGAGTGCCATTTTCGAAGGCCAGCGTCTTGCTAAGTGTGATAAAGAGAACAAAACTGTGGCAGCCGACGAGGAAGATAGTGATGAAGATGAAGAAGCCGAGAGACAACAAGAGGTTAAGCCAATGCTCAGTTCCACCACACTCAAATCTGTCAAAAGTCGTCTAAAGATGACATTTTCCCGCGAATCTGGTTCCACGAAAAATGATAAAAGAAGAAGCATAGGGACAAGTGAGGAAGAGGTGGAAAGAAGAAAAGAACTAAGAAGATTACGGCAGAAAAGAATTGAGGAGGAGTTGAGTTATGACAATGAATATGACGAGGATGCTCAATCCATGAGTACAGTAGACTGTCCTACTTCTCGGGCTGTGGATAAGGGTAAGAAGAGACAGTCGATCTTACCAGAGGATAGTGGAAATTTTCCGGTTTTCAGAAGGTAAGTACCGTCTGTCTTTGAGTGTGACAAAGAGCCCGGATTCTAATAGATTGTCATAGGCAGAGCTCTTCATTCGGACCTGAGGAGATTGGCAATGGCAGTAAGATTTCTTTCTCTGCGAGCATTATTGACAACACTAGCAAGGTATCGATATCAGCTAGCAAGCTTGACAATACCAGCAAGGTATCACCCTTGAAACCGACTGATCGTGTAAAATCCCGAACGTACCTGGATGCAACTGAGCCGAACATTGATTTTCTCAAACCGAGCAACAATTCACCACGAAGATACAGCTCACCTGGTCCTTGTCCTACACCCAGTGAAATCAACTTTCTTCAGCCTGGATTTTATCGACCTAGAAGAACAGACAGTGAAGTATGTCCGATGCCTCCTGCACCTGTAATAGTGGCCCAAATATTGCCAAGTTCTGCTATACCCGACCCAAATCTTGTTTCAAGTTGGCGGTTATCATACACTTCACATAAGAGCAACCGTGGAGCCCATCTTCGACAGCTGAGTCAACAATTCGATGTTTCGACTCAATCGGCCGCAAATTTTCCTTATGTAGGAACGCAAACACTACCATTTTGGCTCAAAAATCAAGGACTTCGATCATCTTCTCAAGCTTTTACAACCTCAGAAAGCAGTATTATTCATAGGGAGCCATTGCCTATGCGTCCACCACGTTCGGATTCAGGATTCGGTGGCGTTGATGGCAGCGGTAGCTTTTCAAGTATTCATCTGCAAGATATGGATATCTCTAAACGTCTTCTGCAGAGTTCCTGCTCTTCTCCACAACTAGTAAGCTGGGAGAAACATCACCGTGAAACTTCAGGCATTAGTGCCACCGGACAAAGCCGTGCAAGGTACATGCGGAGTCCTTCAGAAGCAATATCAATCCCTTCATGTCCGTCAATTGCTTTGAGTGAGCTTGCACCACCCAATTGGAAGAAGATCCCTCAGGATGGCACATCTTCTTTCTACCCTTCTGTGGCAAATAGCATTCAACCTTCACCAAATTGTTCACGCTTGGAATTGTTACCTTTGATGTCGGCGAACAGAAGCATTCTTGCAATGGCAGAAGCCCAAGGTATGAACTTCGAATCATTGGTTTGGATATTTCATTAATTTTTTGCAGCACTTGACAGGATTGTCACTCCCTTTCGTTCGCCATACATGCCAGCGAAGACAGGAGCCGAAACTCCAACCACAGTCAATGTATCTCTAACCAGCCTTCAGGCCCCTTTGACCAGATATTCCGCACGACAAATTGATGAGAGCTCACTTTTTGCTTCTGAGACTACAAGCTTTCGAGAACGAGAATTGGAACTAAGTCATATACAAGCACGCTTTGCTTCATCTGATTTACGTCGACCTCCAAGTACACCGATATCAAGCAAGTTTCGTGAAGAATTTGACATTTCACTCAACCCGAAGCCTAAATCTTCCTTTCAGAAACTTGTCAGGGCCTGCTCCTTAAAAAGAAGTCGTGACGATGCAGAAGATGACCTGCTACTTATTCCTCCACAGCGTAGATTTGGGTTTGGGTACCAATTCTCCTCGACTCCTACGACCCTCGGGATGAAGAGCTCTACGCGTGATTCGACGCCCACGAGGAGTTCTACCGAAAGACAGCGAATCCTTATCATAGATGAGTCGGCCAATACCCCTGTGAAGGGTAGATTCTCTGCGTTCCATAGGATCAAGAGACTTGCGAGCATGGGTGGATATGATGGTCCAGTGGATGATCGTCAAAGAAATAGGGCTGGTTCTACCACTGGTCGAAAAGTATCAGCTTTAGATGCTAGGTTAGGTCTCGGCGCTGATATGACTGCCATGGAAGGCCAGCGGAAAGTCTCTGTACCGCATATAACATTGCCGACTCCTCAAATACCTCAAATTGAAACACCAGATGCTTACGCTCTGTATACTAATCTACCTGACCAAATGGCTCCCGTCGCTACAGTCGTGCAATTTGAATCACCCAACAATCTTCTGGATCAAATTGGCGCCGCAATGCCATCCAACAAGCGTCTGGCTCGCATCGGTACAACCATGCATGTTAACCCAGCCCATAACCCTCTGGCTCGCATTGGTACAACCATGCACATCAACCCGGCCCATAATCCTCTGGCTCGTATTGGCACTGCCATGCATATCAATTTGGACCATACCCCTCTGGCTCGCATCGGTACTGCTATGCATATTGACTTGCCTACTCCGAATCTGAATCATATCGGTACTTCGATTTTTCATACTCCACATATTGAAATGCCGATTCCTCACATCAACGTGGGTCATCATGAGGCAGATGCCGCTCCAAAAGAGAAGAAGGGGCCTAAGGCCGCACCTGTAATCGTTCCAATTGCTCCACCGAAGTTAAAGGTTCAACCTCCCGCCAATGACCCCCAAGCGGGAGCTCCACAATGGAGAGGACCTCGAGCAAGAAATCGATCTGGAGCTAGAGAGGATAACAGGAGAAAAATGGACACGAGTCAAGATGATTCCGCTGCGGTGTGGATGAAAGCGGTAAAAGGCGCCGTCAACGATAAATCTAAGGCTCGCAAAGACAATCAAGACGGAGACGATATCTTCGGGGATTGGGAGGCAGAATTAGCTGGAGTGGCGTCGAAATCTAAATATGAAAGTCGAAAATTTGGATCGAGAGGTAAACCGAAGGTTCATCAAATTGAACAGTTTCCACCAGCTTGGTGTAGGTTTCCAAGTCATGAGAGGAATGCTAGGGGGCATGAAAGTGCTGGAGTGGAGGCAGCGGTCGATGCGAAGGATTTTGCTATGTTGAAAGCAGGAACTGAGGTTTTGGGAAGGACGGAACATTCTTTTGGTGCGAGGAGGAGGAGACGGCCCGGGGGAGATACTAGTAATAGTAGTGACCCCAGTTCTGCTCGAACCCTATCCGATGAGGAGTTGGATGCAATTGAAGCGGCAGAACCGTGGCTCAAGCGTTGGAGTCAAAAGATCAAAATCGCTTGGTTAGATTATAGGATTGAGGAGGGACAGAGAAAACATGCATTTAACTCGGGGAGTTTGGGGAAAAGAGGCTCGATGACTATGGATGGAAAAGTACCGTTCCCAGAGTTAGAATTGTTGCCAATGAGAGCACCACCTCCGCCAAGTGAAGTTGTGGATGATGAAGCAGATGATGTTGAGGCGGAAAGAAAGCGAGTGGAGGAGATCAAGAAGGCGAAGATTAAACCGCATTATGAGGCGGCAGATTTGATGCAGAGTAAAGGGGGTGTGAGTGATTTGTTGGATATTTTTAGTACAGGGCCCGAGGAACCAGCCGAGCCGAAGATGCCTGTGAAGAAGAAAGGTCCCAGAGCGAAGAAGGTGAAGGATCCTTATGCTTTGGATGATGATGATGATTTGGGTGGTGGTGGGGGTAAAGGTGATGAGGACGAGATGCCGAAGAAAAAGGGGAAGAAGGTCAAGGATCCCTATGCGATTGATGAGGATGATGATGAAGATCTACCACCTATTCCAAAGAAGAAAGGAAAAGCAAGAGATCCGTATGCTATCGATGATGATATGGATGGCTCATCGGAATTTGGCTCTGAAGGTAGATCGAGCAAGATTAATCAAATTGTCATGAAAGAAGTTGTGAGTGATGATGATACGATTGATCATACACGATTCGAGGACTCGATGATTAGTTTTCGTGATCCGGAATTCTATCAGGATTGCTTGGTTATGCCAAAAGAACCAAGTCCTGTACACGTTAAAGAGTGTTCTGTACTTTCCACTCATGGGATCATTGAAGAGGAAATTGATGATCCGTCTGGCAATGGAGCGGGGATTAGAGTACAAGTTCAAGAAATTAGCGACGGGGTCATCAAACAGATTGAGAAATTTAGAACGTGGAATGGAAAGGATTGGGAGAGGGAATTAGGGGGGTTCCTAAGGAGAAGAGATACGAGTGTTGGAAGAGATAGTATGAAGAGTGGAAAATCGACATGGAGTACGGGCAGTCAGGGAACGGTTAGGAGTGTGGGGACGGAGGTTAAGAGGCTTGAAGATTTGGAGAGGGAGAGGGAGTTATTGAGGAGGAGTGGGGGACATTTGACGGGGGGTGTGCCGAGGAGGGTTACGGGAAGGGATAGGGATAGGAGTAGGGGTAGGGAGAGGGAAAGGGGTCATGGGAGAAGTGTTAGTTTGGGGGTTAGAAATGAGGGATTTGAGGGACTAGGTGGTGGTGGTGGGGGTGAGATGAGGGGAAGAAGATTGACGTTTGGGAGTGGGAGGTAAGCGGTGAATGCGAGTTGAAGGACTGCAAAGGAGGGCTTTAACTTGGAGTTTCAAAAAAGAAACATGGAATGGAATGGAAGGGAAGGTTTTTTTTGGTTCGTATATATTGGGGAAACGCAACAGCTCATTATCTTAAGGGTCGCTAGATATCTTGAGTTATTGTATAGGGTTTAGGTGGATGAGTCAAAAGGGTGAATGTAGGGTTATATTGTGGTCTAGGAGTATCGGTGGGTATTGGTTTATGGCTTACGAGGGGGATAAAAAGGCTGGAATTGGTATATATAGGGGTTCTTAGGTGCGCATTCGGATAGGGCTGGTTGAGGGTGCCTGGGGGAATTTTCGGAAGGGTTTTTGGTGTTGGTATTGTTTCGTGTTGTTCTGTTTTGTTTTGTTTTTGCTGTATTTTTATATTAAGTTAGTTAGGTAATTGTATAGTTCATACGAGACTAGATATGAATAGATAGTTTAGATAGATGAATATATAGATATGTGGAATGAATGATATTTTAGCTTGTAATGTATTGTATTCGAGGATTCATACTGTTTTATACTATACTTATAGTGTAGGTTATAGACGCCATGAATACTATTAATACTATTGATGCTATAAATACCAGCAGCGGACTTGGCATCAGTGGATGTGCTTGTACTTGTTGTTGATTTTTGATATTGAGGGGGGTGTCTATTTTTGGGGGAGTGCGGAGTGAGGAGGGGAATATCTTGTGTTTAGTGTCTAGTATGCTAATGCTAGGGAAAATTCCTAAAAGGAAGGGAGAAAAAGTGAAAGAAAGTAGGAGAAGGAGAAAAAATGAAGAGACTCACCACCCTCAACCTGAAACCCCATACATGCCCTACACCTACACCTCCACCAACATCACATTCCCATTTATCTCCGTCTCCATCATATCATCCAAACCTGCATCTCCATCTCCATCTCCGGCACCCCCATCCACCAGGGCCAGGGCCTTCACATTCACACCTTTAACCTTTAACCTTTAACCTTTAACTTTGGCGGCTGGCTACAGCGGTGGAGAGGAAAGGAAAGGAGAGGAGAGGAGATATTAATATTGCATTGCATTGCATGATTATGATATGATTATGGTTGATAAACAAACTAAAATTCAAATGAAAATTTGTCTATATAGAATTGAATAATAAAAACTCGTAGATCAAATCGATTATGAACTTACTACTATTACTATATAGATTTTCATTGGTTAGGATATAAGTACGATATGAATCAGACCTATCTGCCTACTCGGAAATATAAAATTAAAAAGAAATCAAAGTAGCAAAGAAACGAGCAAAAGAAGATATTCATATTACTCGAGTATATTACGAGTAATAAGAGTAAGAGTAAGAAATCATGAAAACCATACACCCACCTACCTACCCGTTCATTCATATATACACATACATATCCAATTCACATTTCGCATACCATATATCGCATACCTTAATCGTATACCAAACAAATAAACATAACACAACATCAACTACAATAATCTCAACACTTTATCTTGATCTCATCTTAATCTCAAATCCACATCCAGATGGAAAATTCAATTCAATTCAATCAAATCAGATTACTGAGTAGATATAATATTGTTGGAAGTGCAGTCTAGGCTCACACAATGTCACGTGATACAGTTCATATGATATCGTCTATATACACATGCCTCACGCACTTATATATATATCCAATCCTATTAGAATACCTTTAAAGATATACACATACAATATTACTATTGTTATATCTATTATAATCTTAATGATATTCTAATAGGTTATAATCTATTATTAATTATTACTTGTACTAATATATTAATTAATATATTTATAAATAAATAACAAAAGAGATAACTACTCTTTTTGCCTTATATAAAAACTCTTTCACTAAGCGTGAAAACTCTGATTTTTAAATAAAATTCGAATTCATTATAATAACAGATCCTATAGATATTATACAAATTTGCTAGGGATCTGTTACAATTTTCAATAGCGATAATTGGACTGATTTCGAATAAATCTACAAAATGATATTAATAGTTGCTTAGGTATAGTTTATTATCAATGAAAACAAGAAAAAGCCAGAAGGATTAACGTGG